GTATGAACTGTTCGAGCTCCTCGTGGGAGCACGAGGCGGCTGCATAGTATACGGGAAACGACTCCTTTTGTATTTTGGACGATTTAAAAACTCATAACCATGCACCTTGCTAGTTTATTAGGAAATACTGAGGTAATTTAATATGCCTTTGTGTGAATTTAGGTTTCCTTTGATGTTCCGATCCTGATATTTCTTTTGTCATCTGTGTTAGTCTTCGATCATTTAACGTAGTCATCTCTTTCCTGATTATTTTGACCATTGCAAGGTTCTTCACATTCCCAATGTCATCCTCTAATTGTCTGGGTACTTCGCGTGTGCCTTTTACTTTCGTTTTAGTTTTGTCCTTTTTAAAAATTCATCCGTTGAGTTGCATGATTAGTTTTTTTTGTTTTAAAGAGGAACATACTTTTCAGAACGCAAACAATCTCATGTTAAAACACGTCTCAGCGCAAATCTGCCATAAGTATTTTGCTTTTCTGTCAATTTTTTGAAACTACCTTCCCTCCTTCCCTAAGCATATGTCTTCGTTAATAATTGTTTTATATCTCGCATGTTGTTAATGATGATAGTCTAAATGAAAATGGCAAATAATATATGTAAGAACACGCAACCCACCCACAGGTGAAGTTTCATTTGAATACAGCAAACGTAGGTATTCCCGGAAATAACTTCATAACATGACATACGAAATGCACACAACTCCTTAAGGAATTGCTCGTCCAAAAGTCAGTGAATTGTGGATGCAGACAATTGAATTAATCAAATGGATATATTTGATTATTTTAAGACGGTAACAGCTTTCACTTTTGTTTGACTGCACTTCTGAGATATTACGGTGAACATGGCCTATGGTGAGCAGCCAATAAGAAATTGCTCACTGAAGGACAGCCTGCCTCCGCCAATCGAATGCGAGTTTGCTTGTGTAGATCTGGGGGCGAGGACAGGCTGGTGAATTTCATATTCTGCCAGCATCGCAGCGTGAGCACCAGAAACAGGCTGGAAACTGCGCAGGCATGAAGAGGTGGCACAATGGACAGATTCATCTCTATTTCTGGCTGATATTTGAGGTCTTTGTTGAAGGTTGGGCCATAACAGCTTCTGAGGGTGCAGGTGCGGTTCACTTTAAAACAGTCGTATGTGTACGTTCAGCTGGTGTGTCGCATTTCAACGTGTCGTTGTGAATATCTGTTCTGTCAATCTATTTGTTTTACACGAATGTGGCGATTATCTGTGAATGAGGTGGTATAATATTGCCGGTTTGAATAAAAGAAACATTTCTTTTTCGAGATAAGACCGGATATTTCCCTGGCTCAAATCCAAGTGTCTTGGCACCGGTGAAGAAGGAAGCTTACTTACTTCTGTTCTGGTCGGGGTGGACTGGTAATTTCCAGAAAATGTCTTCAGCTGAGAACTGCTTATCTGCAAAGGCGTCTTTGCATCACAAAGTTCCGTGGAATAGAACGGGGCTGAAGTTTAATGTTGAACATGTTATTTGTCCCTCTCCATGTCCTTTAAATTTTGTTTTCGCTGTCAGGATGCTCACCCCACTTTTGCGTGAACCCATAACAGAGTGGGTCTAAACTACTGACCTCATGACTTGTCAAATGTTCATATGGTTGGGCAGAGGAGGTACAGTCGGAGCTGGACAGTGCCTTTATCTCTCTCTCGTGATGCATTGGGAAAGCCACGGTGTGCTAGCTGACAATGAGCAATGTTAACCTGGCCAACTGCAGCCAGCGTATTTCGAGTTGCAGGTGGTTAAACGAGACGGCTGGTTTGGAAGAACAGCATTCCAGACACCTGCACTTGGCATTTAGTAGACAGGATAAAACAGTGATGTTTCTTGGGGGAGGGGAAAGGTGGTAAATGGTGTTTGTTGTGTTGGGGGGTGAGCGGAAAGAACATGGATGAACTGGTAACATTCAAATTGTGATGCTTGTCAGTGCTCTTGATTTCATCAGAGTTGCCATGTTACCGTACTAATTGCCGTGGATTGAATAGATCTAGGTTTTGTGAGCTCGCTTTCCGATGTTCGGAAAAGTAAACTTGCCTATAGAAAACTAATTCTATGATTTAATCTTGATTTTTGGGCAAAATAGTGGTAAACTTATAAACAACTAGAATGTGGATCCTGTATCAATAATCTGGTACTTCATCTTCTGTAAATTTGTAGAAATTGTTGTTTTATTCTCTCACTGCCAATGAAATTATGTTTTGTTGAATTTTCTGTTTAGCACAGCAATATGTTTTTGAAGTGGTAAGATGGCACAGTGGTTAGCACTGTTGCCTCATGATGCCAGGGACCCAGGTTCGATTCCACCCTCTGGCAACTGTCTGTGTGGAGTTTGCACATTCTCCCCGTGTCTGCGTAGGTTTCCTCTTTCAGTCCAAAAATGAGCAGGTTAAGTGGATTGGCCATGCTGAATTGCCCATATTGTCCAGGGCTGTGTAGATTAGACATGGCAAATGCAAGGTTACAGGGAAAAGAGTAGGGGGATAGGGGTGGGATGCTCTTCAGAGGGGCAGTGTGGACTTGTTGGGCCAAATGGCCTGTTTTCAACTGTAGGGATACTATGAAATCATTTATTATCAAGCGTTTCATAACACAACATGGGTATGAAGTTCACAAATCTAAAACTTTCTTGCATTATTCTGATCAAGGATCACTAAATTGCTAAGCCTTTATACTGCTGGCAGCATTTTATTGTGTAATTTGCTTTCATTTTCAATGATTGCATGAAAGAACTGTACTCATGACTCATCCGTGTAAACTTTGGTTTTGAAATTAGTGTTCACAACCCTTGGGGACTTTTAAGAGTGAGGTGTCGTACTTCATGAAGGGAAGTAAAATAGTGCATTGCATTTAATTCTGGGGTTGGAGGTGGAATTGCATGACTGAGTATCAATCATCCTGCTGTGTTTTTTTTAAAAGTGCACGATAGTAAACAATGGAATGCTTAGTTAATTCTTCTGTTCCTGTAGTGCTATTTGTTTTGTGATCCATCAATCTTAAGTCATGAGAGACTATCAATTTACGGGGGAGAAATGTCATCTTATGATTATTTGAAATGCTGTGCTTTGGTCAGGTGGACGTCTATAATATTTATATCTTTATTCCTCATGTATGATGTGAGTTTGTTTCTAAAATAAAATGCTTAAATTAATTTGAGTTTCTCATTGCTTGTCCTTTTTTTTCCTTCTTGTCACTTAGGAAATGACATCTTTGCCATCCAGCATCAAAAGTTGAAAGAATGCATCCAAGTGAATTCCTCTGGATTTACTATGAACAAATGCAATCAGCTAGAAGAGCTTCAGCAATGGAAATGGGTGTCTGAGCACCGGCTGTTCAATATTGGCTCTAAAAAATGCCTTGGCCTTGATCCTTACAACAAGGAGCAACCATTAAAAATGTTTGAGTGTGATGCAGAAGTTACAACAATGTGGTGGCGCTGCAGAGGGGGCACACTCTATGGTTCATCTTCCTATAAACTGACTGTCAAACAAAGTCCAACAGTGAGCATTGATGCAACTGATGCATGGAAACAAAGTGGTGGTGACAATGATGTTTGTGAGCAACCGTACCATAGTAGGTAACACTTGGTATCCAATATAAATGTTAACGTAAAAACAAAATGCTGCAGATCTGCAGTTACAGTAAAAGCAAGTGCTGGAGAAACTGAGCAGGTCTGATAGCATTTGAGGGGGAATAAAAAATACCATTTTGAGCTTCTTTAGATGCAGGTGTATAAAATGATTGCTTTGCTGAGCAAGTTAGTTACATTGAACATTAAACACGGCAAGTTTCATGTCCAGTTTTGAATTTGTTACTTTTGTAGAATTTTTAATATAATTAAGTTTTTACTGAAAGTTCTTGAACATTGTCTATTCTTTGCATTTTTATTTTACAAAACTTAATTATGTATTTAGCAGGAAAATGGCAATTTGAGGTACGGTGATTGGAGACTCTTTATTAAAGGCCTGTCCATATCAGCAGTCTACAGCCTTCCCTAAAAGGAAGGGATGTGAAATTTGAGAATGGGTTTTCCCTTCTCCTATGTTACCTTTTACATTCAGAAACTTGTGTTGACGCCTTCTTAATGAATATCAAGACGAGCTTGTTTGCAGTATTGATTGGAGTAGTAGAAACCTTGAGTACTCACGCAATTGTAGGAGTGACTTTAATGCACTTGTCACACTCAACTGATTAAAATCTGACAATGAAGTTTTCAGTTGTCAGCTTAAGGTATGTTTATGTCAGCAATGAATGTGTTTCAGACTTATATTCATTTCAGTTCGTTGAAAGTTCGTACTTATGTGATAGACCTGAACAGCGCTACTGAATTTGAAGTTTACTTTAGATGCAAAGTCAAACACGAGTAAACAGCAGTCCCTGCGAGTGGCAAGAATGTTGGTTGATTTTTCACTCCAGAGTTGCCTCAGATGCCAAATTAACATAATGGAATCATTAGTAGGTATGAATATCAATGCCTGGGGACCATGCTTCCTCCTCACGTTCATTAGTCATGTGTGCCTCTCAGGCAGTTCCAAAAAAGATAAACCATCATGGCCTTGGTCATCCCTGAGGGGCCCTTTTGAATGCTGTGATGAGTGGAGACACAATTTGCCCATCCTTACTGGAAGATTTCTATCTGTTCCTGAAAGATTTCTATCTGTTCCTGAAAGGAAAGGAGCAGGAATGATGAAAGCTTAAGTTTTATCACCACATACTAATTTAGCTATCAGAGTGGTGGAACTAATAGTTCCTGGGAGGACTTTGGTGCAAAACAGTAGATCACAATAAGGTCATAAAAGACCACAAGCAGCAAAAAGATAATTTGGTGTGAGTTAGTGAGCCCCCAAGCCTTTATGCTTTACCTTGGAGAGTACTTTGTCTATGCTATTGTTTCAGTGGGGTTTTCTAGACATTTTTGTGCAATTGTGTATTTCAGAAATTGAGGTTGGGATTTAACAGGGTAATCCAAGGAGGCAAACTTTAAAAATGTCCATAAATGAGATGCTATGAACATCCTTGTATTGACCAAACAGAATTTCAATATTCAGAAAACTGTTTATATAAGCAATGTTTGTACCCCTTTTCATCATACATTGGTCTGAACTTTTAACTTTGAGGGTGCAAAATTGCCAGAATCAAATAATCTTCAGCAAAGCTGAATGTTCTTAGAACTTGAATCTCAAATTTTCAATTTAATGTTGAGCAGCAGAGTTAATTTTGCCATTGTAAACATTGAAGTTAAAATTTTTGCCCAGAAATTACTGGGAAAATAATTGAGCTTAACTCACCTGGTGTTATAACATATCAATCACAAAAATTTATGGTAAGGAAGAGATACCCTGACAAGCATGAAACACCAACTTGCTGAACAAATTGCACTAGTCCACTGTTAGTTTCACTGAAACAGCCACTCCCTGTCACTGAGTTTCAAGAAATTGCTGCAGAGATGCTGTTGAAATAAATTCACTGCAGCAAATTAGGCCTGGTGGTTATTAATGTAAGAGCTGTTTTATTGATGCAACTTATACTCCTTGAGGTCTATGAGTAGCATTTTTGTGCCATTTTTATGCAAATTTGCTGTAGACGTTTTGAAATTTTTTCTGTGTATTCTGCTGATCTTTTCCTTTTTTTTTCCGTATCTGATTTTATTCTTAATTTACATTGCTCCTTCTGTCGCTCCTCCTGTTTCTTTCTTTGTCATTGGTGCTCTATGATTAAGGGACTGTACATAATCACATCATTCACCAAGATCAATGCAATGTTGACTTCGCTGTAACAGCTTGCATGTCCAGCAACTTGCGATTTAAAAAGCTGCTTCACACAACAGGACGACAGTGAAATATCTAATACACTTGTCACACCCCTAGATACCTGTGCAGTATTCTGAAAGAACTAGTTTAAAGAGACCAGGAGCCTTTTCATTTCCTAGGTTTCAATTCCAGAAAGTGGTTGACGGTAGAACCTTGATGAATTACGATAATATACTAAAGAGAAATTCTGAGAAAGGGTCACTGGACCCAAAACATTGGCTTTGATTTCTCTTCACAGATGCTGCCAGATCTGGTGAGCTTTTCCAGCAAGTTCTGTTTTTGTTTATGATAATTATACTGTCAGTTGTGCTCACTGAAATGTACTTGTATGTTGGCTTGTGAGCATTTAAAGTCTGACTTTTCATTGGTGCTCCTTTAGTATTTTCAATATTGAATATGAAGGCAAAGAGAAAAAAGTACAGTGAACATGATTCAGAAACACAAAGACATGGTATGTCTTACAATGTGAAATATTCCAGTTCTTGTGAACTTCATTTCCATTGAAAGATATGGTAACTTTGACTGTGTGCCCATGGTTCATAATGTGGAACCAGCTGGGATGAACGAAGGGAATCATTTAATCCTGCTACTGGGCCTCAGACTTAAATTTTGAGCTGTTTCATATTGTCTGCTCCATGTCACCAGTCAGTCTTCCTAATTGTTAAACTGCAGTCATTTGGTGAAGGAGGCAACCAGAAGTCATTTTTTTTTCCTCAAGTAATACTTCACTTTGTGAATAAATCTAACAAGTCATTAGCTCCTGACCCTGCTCACCATCCCAGTGTCATTGTGTCACTTTCAGTGTGCTGAAATAATGAATGTCAGCCAACTGGTTATTCTTGCCCTGACTTTATGTAGTTAAGCTTTCTATCTCTGTCATGTCTATGTAACTAATATTCTGTCCACAATTGCAGTTCTGAATTCCCTATGATAAGATCAGTAAGTAGCACTTTCTGAACAGGTTAAAGTACGTATCACTTTTCTCTTTTCCTCTCCATTCACTGCTCTTCAGTCCTCTCTAAACATATCCAACAAACTCATTTACCCTATTACTCTTTAAATCTCTGGTCCTTCTACTTTTGATCTCTGGAAAGTTCTGGCTTCATCTACTTCCTTGCATCCTTCACCACTCAAAAACCCAGCATTCATCCTATATCACTTCCTTCTGCATTTAACTCTGAAAGGAGTAGTGGAAATTCCCTCAAAAGTGGCATTAAATATAATACTTTCACAGTCACATTTTTGAACCACTCCCTTAATCATTGTTAATTTCCTTTTTGCCCCAGCCTAATGCATTTGCCATCCAATTTTGCTCCAGTACTAATCTTTGCTGCTTAAAGTCCAAGGGGCACAGCCTTGATTATATCAGTACATAACTGACTACACCATTCTGCGTTAGATCTGGATGGCTGGCATTCTATCAACCCTGCTGCCATTTGTCAAGACCACCACAATGGGAGAATCATCCTGAAGAGGAAAGATTCTTTTCCCACAATCAACTGCCTCCTTCTATCCTGCTTCCTCTCAAAATGTGAGGAGCTCATGAATGTCTTTGTCATTAAAATAGAGACTGTCTGTTCCCCTATCTTTTGATATTTCCTCCTCGTTCCATTTGCCAGCAATAAAATTTCCATCCAACCCCCTATCCCTACCTTAGACCTGAACTCTGGATTTCCTTTTGTCTGTCTGTCTGTACTAAATTATTCTCACATAAACTGCGAACCACTCACCTTCCCGAGCAGCCAATAGATATCTAGATTGTCAGGTTTATAAACATGTGCTTACAAATCTTTGAAACATACAGTTGCAGAATTTCTGTGCAATCTTTAATCAGGTTTTTCAACTTTGTCACAGCAATGAATCAAAATTTACCATAAACGTAATTGACTCTGGCTGTGCTGCATTATTCATATTCATTGCCCTCTATCATTTTGCTGCTGTAATTGACTAGCACAAATCAGTGCTCACTTAATCCCATTCTTAAATTGTACAGTACTCAGAGCAAATCCAAAATTACCTCTCTTCTTTCCTCTAATCATTATTTTCAGTCTCTGCCAAGAATCTTTCCTTTCTTTCTCACATTATCAGAAGCATGTCATTAACTGTCAAAGGCACATTAATAATAATTACCTCTGCCTCGTCACTGCTTTTTCAATATCTAGTTTTAGATGAGCCACCATTCCCTCTCGTTAAGCATTGGGAAAACCAAAGTCATTGTCTTTGGTTCCTATCTCTCAGATTTCATATCAAATTCCACCAACTATGTTGGATTGCACAAAACTATCCAATTGTCTTGGTATCCTATTTGACTCCAAGTTGAACTTCTGACTTCACAGAGTCAGAACAACACAGGAAGAAGCCTGTCAGCCCATCATGTCCACAATGGTAATTAAACATTCATCTATTCTAATCCCATTTTCCAGCACTTGGCTTGTAGCCTTGAATGCTATATCTTTTCAAATGTTCATCTAGATAGCTCTAGTATTGATGGTTCCTACCTCTAGCACCTGTTCCAGGCTGAGTTCCAGTTACCCACAACTCTCTGGAAAATCCTCAAATCCTCTTTAAGACTCCTCCTCCTTAATTTAAAGCCATGCCCCCGATTATTTTTCCTCTGCCAAGTTTCTCCCTGTCTGCCCTGTCTACGACCTTCAAAACTTTGAATAAGTCAATCAGAACTTCACCCCTCACCCCCAGCCTTCTCTGCTCTAAGGAAACTAACTGCAGCCTATCTAGCATCTCTTCAAACATAATTGCTGCAACCCACAGCATTGTTGCACTCTTTAATGCACTCACATCCTTGCTGTCTTGTCACCAAAACTGTACACAGTACTCCATCTGTGACCTAACCAATGTTGTAAACAGCTCTATCATAAGCTGCTTGCTCTTTTATTCATCGCATTGACGAACAAAAGAAAACATCCCGTATGCTTTCTTAACCACTTTATCCACCTGTCCTGCTGTCTGTTTGCAAATATATGCCATCTACATCCAGCATGCCCTCACTTTGCCCCATCTACTGTTGAAAGACCTGTGAGTGGTTTTAACCACTCCAAACTCAGTTATTTCAATACACATGCCCTTCCCATACCAAGTCAATTCCCCTGTCACCTTACTGCCATACACTAGTTTGTGGCCCCATAATGTGTAAAATATAACATTTTTACCTTCATGTCAACATAAATTAATTATCTTACATTTCCTTTAGCTTAGTAACCTTCTCTAGCCATCCTTCTACTCTCTTTTCCTTTGACTCAGGCTTCTTGTATGTCATTCTCTTTACTCCACAGTTAAAGTCTCTTTAGCTGACTTGCTTACCATGTAGATCTTGCTCATGTAAATCAGTTGTTCAAAGCCACTTCGTCCCTTGTAATATCTTCTCCTTTTGTGGTTGATTTGTTCACGTGACAGGCAAATTTTGAGATGTATTTTTAAAGACATTACACAACTGTTCATTTCTGCAACTTTCCGTTTGAATCTGAGCCATTGATTTATGGAGATTATATCAGCAAAATGATTTTTTGTCACTGTTACGGAAACAACAATGTTAGTTTTGGATTCCTCCTATGTGATTGTCTACAAGCGTTCATAGGTTGTAAATTGGTGATTTTGGCGATGACTACATGTTTAATGATTTATCTTGTGCCTTCACCTTTTCCTAAATGCTGGGTGAATGACCAGAAACTTGCTTGAACTTGTTTAAAGTCCTGGCTCTGCTCTCAATAAGAAATTGAAAGTGTTCAAAAGACCTTTGCAGCCAGTTCCTGCGTACAAATCAGGTTTTTTTAATGGTTGCCAAGAGAAAGTTAAATGGTTGTCTAGGGTGGGTGGGGAAAGAGTGGGGAGAAAAGAAAGCAAAACCTTTTGAATTTCCCTTCCCATGAAGAAGTTTTCATGCATTTTGGGAGGTCAAATGCGAGATGAAAGTATACAGTAAATGGCAGGACCTTTAGGAGCATTGATATACAGAGGAATCTTGGGAAATAAATCCATAGCTCCCTGAAAGTGGTATCACAGTGGGATAAGGTGGTAAATAAAGCATGCAACATGCTTGCCTTCATTGGTCAGGGCATTGAGTATGCAAGTTGACAAGTCACGTTGCAGCTGTATAAAACTTTTGGTTAGGCCATATTTTTGAGAATTATGTGTAGTTCTGCTTGCCACACTAGGAAGGGCGTGTAGGCTTTGGAGAGTGTGCAAAAGACGTATACCAGGATGTTGCCTGGATTGGAGTATAGTAGCTAAAAGAGGTTGGAGAAGCTTGGATTGTTATCCAAGCGTTGGAGGCTGTGTGGCAACCTGATAGAAGTCTGTAAAATTATGAGAGACGTGGAGATAGGGCAGATAGTCGTATTCTTTTTTCCAGAGTGGAAATGTCAAATACAAGGGCGCATAGGCTTAAGATGAAAGGGGGAAAACTTAAAGGAGATGTGCGATTCATGTTTTTTACAGAGTGGTAGATGCCTGAAACGTACTGCCAGCAGAGGTGGTAGAAGCAGATACAACTGCAACATTTAAGAAGCATTTAGACAGACACGAGAACGCAGGATATGGATCACGTGCAAGCAGATAAGATTAGTTTAGAATAGCATCATGGCCGGCACAGACACGGTGGGTTGCAGGGCCTGTGCTGTAATGTTCTATGTTCTATTATAGAAATTGAAAACTCTGTCAATGCATTTTGAATATGATATTAAAGTTTATACATGAACAATATTTGCTCAATATTAGAGATCAGAAGGAGAGGACAACTTGATAAGTATGTGACTGCGTTGATACTTCCAGCTGAATTCTGGGTTGTGATCTAGTAGCCCCGGTTGTTATGAGGTAATGCCCAGTTGATGTTGGTACTGAATAAAGTTAGAACCCTGTCAGGAACTAGGATGGCAAGTTCAATTTTCAAAATTTTTGTTACGTAAGCAATTATTTACTAAAACATAAGCATGCAAAGTCGTAGTCCTTGTTTGAACAATAAAACAAATGGAATTTTATTAACGGAAATGAAAATAAACAGGAAAGGTGAGCAACAGATTGTGATGGTTAGAATGATGGCTGCAGAAGGAGAGCATCAAATGAATGTGAAGTGTCAGATAGACACTGGTACCATGTGTAACATCCAGAACTGTGTAGACCTGTGTAAAGTGGCTCAAGATGGTGATCCAAAAATGAAGCATGTAAAGGTAAGAACAAGGCAGTTTGATGGTATGCCATTCATCTTAAAGCCTGGGCAGTAAGTCATCCAGCCTCGGGGCTGGGAATGGCATTTGTCCAGAGAGGGAAAACTGTTGCTGTTGTAATTAACAGAAAGGATTTGAGAAAACAATTGCAGGCATAAATTAGTTTTGTAGTGTGATCGACTTTCCCTGGGGCATCAAATTGAATCGGGGCACAGATTCTAGACATGGCAGGTTTCTTGCCATTACCCTTCTCAAATAGCTAGCTTTTGTGTGTGATCCAAGATAGCCAAGCCAGCAAGCTAGATGAGGTTTTACATGTGAACTCCTCTTTGTCACTGCACTTGCACACCTGCAGCACAAAATTGCAGATCGGCAATTAAGTATCAGAAGCTTTGCCAATTTTCCTTTTTGCCTTGGGGCACTGAGGCCAATGATAACAGCAGGCACCACTTCCAAGCAGATCAGCTCATTTTCTGCAGACCACAGAGTGAACCTGGTGGTGTTTCTCCTTCTTCATTTTGCTCTGTCTCGTTTTTAAATATTGTTTGTCAGTCCTGTCTTCCAATTCTGAGAAGGGGCTCACATCCAAGGTATTAAGTCATATTTTGTTGCTTACTGAATGTTTCCAGCACCTTTTTTTATTTTGTTTAGCAAACACGTTTTTTAAACAAAAAATTTCGAGCAAATTGTAATGAGCAATATGTGGCGTTTTTGATAACTTTGGAAAGCTAGAACGATTCCACTGATTTCCATTTAGTTAGCAGCTTTGGCTGAAGGTGAAGTATCTCTAAGTGGGTGTACTGCTTCGTGCTGTTCTGATTTTTAATCATGTAGAAACGGAGAGGTTTTGTGATAGGCATATCAAGCAGCTGCAACATTCATTCCAGAAGTTGCCACATGCCTTAACTAAGTTCAATGACAAAACAATTAAACTTTTTGTTTCTGAATATTGGCAGTATTTTCAACTTCTTGTTAAATTGAGGGGGATATTCTATCATTGCAGCTGCTCCTTGAAATGGGCAGTGTTCCTGTTGGGGATGGAATTATCATTCCTTTAGTTGAATGTAGCTTGAGGGGTTGGGAAGGCTCCTCCCTAGGAGTGCTTCCTTGTTTTGCATTACTTCTCTGCTATATTTGCTGTATCATTTGCGCATGGTGTTAGGTCACTGAAAGTTTTTATTTCACTTTTTTCTGTTTTATTTGAACAAATAGAGAAAATTAGAACTTGCTGTTCAGTGCTGGTACGCTATGCATTTGGAACTGGTCCAAGCTGCTGGATCACAAGTTGCTCTGGATTGCCTCCCTTCTGTTCTGAAACAGGTGTGGATGACAAGATCTCGTCCTTGGGCTCAGCAATGATCGCAAAAACCTTCATTGTTTCTGAGTGAACTTGTCCAGTAAATTTTCAAGAAGCAGTGTCCTGCCTGGAACTTGTTAAAATAATGAACAACAGAATAACCCTAACAACAAAACCAAAGTTTTAAATATCAAAGCAATGTAGCTGCCCCATCATGCCTATTGGCATATTAGTTGTTTTAAAGTGTAGATACTTTACACACTGTAGTGGAAATCATTAGCTCGAAGTACAGCTTAATTTAGACTTTATATTTGCTATAAGAAGTTCTATTGCATAATGCTAAGAATGCATCTCTGCACTTTTTTGTAATTTATTCATTTGTTTTTTGCCATAGGGATTTATACAATTGATGGAACTGCTTATGGAAAACCCTGTGTCTTCCCCTTTAAGTACAGAAGAAAATGGTATTATGAATGTACCACTGAAAGCAATGATGACGAGGAATGGTGCGCCACAACTGCAAACTATGATAAAGACAGAAAATGGGGGAAATGTTTGAAGCCAGGCAAGTAATGAAGTTTACAACTGAATAATTAAAGATAGATTAAATGTCTTCTCAATTCCTTTGAAGAGATCATAGGAGATATAACAGGAATAGGCCATGTACTCCCCTTGTGCCTGTTCCACTGTTATCATAACTGAGTTGTCAGCTAACCAGGGCTTTAGTATGAGAGATAGTAGGAACTGCAGATGCTGGAGAATCCGAGACAACAAGGTGCAGGGCTGGATGAACACAGCAGGCCAAGCAGCATCATAGGAGCAGAAAGGCTGACGTTTCGGGCCGAGACCCTTCATCAGAAAAGGGTCTGATGAAGGGTCTAGGCCCGAAACGTCAGGGCTTTAGTATGCATAGTTGTAGTATGACTTCTATCCAAAGGCCAGTATTCTGTTAGTCTTTTGGAATTTTGTCTGTTTCTCTTTGTGAGATTTTAATAATATACTCAAATCATATGCACTGTTTCAGCTTTTTGCCATTTATGAAGTATCCTGTACTATCCTTTCTTGGTTCCATGTTTTTGCACAATAACTTAATTATCTATATCTCTTGTAATTTTATACTTCCATCTACTCTGCTCATAAACCTCCCTATTTCAGTGTCATCAAGTTTGCACAAATGGCGTTCTGATCCATTATCTACGTTATGAATAAATATGCTGAATAGCTGAAGGGCACTATTGGTAAAATCTTTCCAATTAGATCCTACCCTTCTATCATCTTTGTTTCTTCTCTGTACCCTATATAATCAGGTATACTCACTTCCTGTTCCTCACCGACTTGCCACCGTGTATCGTATTCAACATATCTGCCTTTAATAAAAACCAAAAGAACTGCGGATGCTGTAAATCAGGAACAAAAACAAAGTTGCTGGAAAAGCTCAGCAAGTCTGGCAGCATCTGTGGAGGAGAAAACAGAGTTAACGTTTCGGGTCCGGTGACCCTTCCTCTCCAACTTCCCCTCCAAGTTGTATGCCACTTTGACTTGGAATTATCCAGCTATTCCTTATGGTTACGGGCTCAAAATCTGACAATTTATTGTTTCCAATAGCGTTGTTGGTGTACCTCCAGTAGCTTAAGAAGACTGCTCAGGAGCAATTAGGGATTTTTTTTTTTTGGCAAAATCAACACCCTCTGGACAAATGTCCGAAGTGACCAGACTAGGCTTCTCCAAAATTGCTCCTCTGTCATCTAGCTTGGTGGAATTGCCCTAGCTTGGTTCCACTAACTAATTGCAGCCAGACAATTGCCTGTTCCCAGAATTGCACTGTCACCTTCCGCTTCAAGGATTTTCTCTCAAACCCTTCTATTCTTCATTACATGAGCATCTGTGATTTTTTTTTTTTAAGAATTGCTCTGCCGTTTTGCAACTGTGGTATCTGTCCTGTCTGGAGTTCCATCTCTCAACTATCTGGCTATTTCTGGCCTTCTGGTTTGTACTTGCATGGCTTGGTGAAAAGATTTTTTTTATTATTGTAAGTTATCACTCTTGTTAAGTGCTTGGGAAACCGTTTCCTGCATTAAATTCACTGTAAAATGTGATTTAGACCATAAGATAGAGGACCACATTTAGATTATTCAGCACATCAAGTCTGCTCTGCCATTCAATCGTGCCTTCTCCCTGCAAACGTTGATCACCCTCACTAATCAGGGACCTAACTATCGCTGTCTTAAATCCACTCAATGACTTTGACACTGAACGTTCTGTGTCAATCAGTTTCACAGATTCCCCATCCTCTGGCTGAAGAAACCATCCGTATCTCAGTTCTGAAGTGTTGCCCCTTTACTCTGAGGCTGTGCCCTCAGGTCCTAGTCTCTCTGACTAGTGGAAATACCTTTTCTACATCCACTCTATCCAGGCCTCTCAGTGTTCTGTAAGTTTTAAAGAGATCTCACTCATCCTTCAAAACTCCATTGAGTACAGAACCAGGCCAACTCATATGACAAACCCTCAATCCTGGGATCATTCTGGTAAACCTCCTCTGGACATTCTTCCTGAGATACAGGGCCAAAAATCGCCCACAATATTCCAGCTTTTGTCTGACTAGAGCCTTGTGTAGCTTCAACAGTACATTTCTGCCGTTGTATTCTAGCCCTCTTGAAATGAATGCTAACATTGCTTTTGCCTTCCTAACAGCCAACTGAACGTGCATGTTAACCTTCAGAAAAATCTGATCTAGGACTCCCAAGTCCCCTTTGTGCTTTAGATTGCCAAAGCTTTTCCCCATTTAAAAATTAGTCTCGACCTCTATTCTTCCTATCAAAGTGCATTACCTCTCATTTCCCATTTTGCATTCGATCTGCCACTTGTTTGCCCACTCTCCTAGCCTGTTCAAGTCCTCTAACAGTCTTCCTGCTTCCTCAACACTACCCGTCCTTCTACCCATCGTTGTGTAATCTGCAAACTTAGCAATAATGCCTTCAGTTCCTTTGTCCAGATCATTAATGTATAGTGTGAATAGTTGTCCCATCACTTAACCCTGCAGAACCGCATTAGTTGTCAGCTGCCACCCTATAAAATACCCCTTTATTTCCAATCTCCGCCTCTGCTAGTCAACCAATCCTTTATCCATGCCAGTACCTTGTCCATGACACCATGGACTCTTCTTTAGCAACCTCCTGTGAAGCTTCTTGTCAAAGGCTTTCTGGAAATCCATATAGATCATGTCCACTGGCTTTCCTATCTCTAACTTGCTCATTACCTCCTCAAAGAATTCTAACAGATTTGTCAGGCATGCAATCTCGTCCTAGAATAATGGACTCTTAAAATGTAACCTCCGACTGAGGTCAGGCTAACCAGCCTGTAATATCCAATCTTCTGCCTCCCTCCCTCTCTAAACAAGGTGTTACATTAGCTATTTTCCAGTCCTCTGCAACTCTCCCTGACTCCAGTGATTCCTGAAATATCACCACCAATGCCAGCACAGCCTCCTCAGCTATCTCCCTCAGAATGCTGGGGTGAAATATATTGGTCTGCCTTCAGACCTTACAGCTTTTCTGCTTAGTGATGGCCAATACACTCACCTCTGCCCCCTAACTCACTTGAAGTTCTGGTACACTTCCATGGTGAAGACTGCTGCAAAGTACCTATTCGGTTCTTCCACTATTTCTTTTTTTTCTCATTACTACTTCTCCAGCCTTATTTTCAATGGTCCAGTGTCCACTCTTGCCCCCTCTTACCTTTTTACATATCTTTTAAAAAACTCTTGCAATCTTCTTTCAACTTACTTTCTAGCTTACCCTGCCTCATCACCGAATCCAGAATTGCCTGGTCCCTAGAACACTCTACCACAAGCTGCTCCAAAAATCATAGACATTCTGTGAACTCCTTTTCTCGGAATGCTGTACCAACCTGATTTTGCCAGTCCACCTATATGTTGAAGCTCCTGATTTTTATTGTAAAAAGTACTTTCTTTATGTGCCTTTTCTATCTCCTGATTTATTTTCTTCCCCACATCCTGACTACTGCTAGGAGTCCTGTATACAACACCCATCAGGGTCTGTTTTCCTTTGCAGTCTCTGAATCTCACCCACACCAGATTCTACATCTTCTGACCCTATATTATTTTTTGATATTGATTTTAATTTCACCTCACTAAAAAGGCGGCTCTGCCCATCTGCCTGACCTTTTGATAGGATCTGTATCCTTGTATATTTAGTACCCAGCCCTGATCCTCTTGCAGCCACATCTCTGTTGTACCCACAACAGTCTACCCACCAATTGTAATGTGTGCTACAAGCTTGTTTACCTTGTTTCGAATACTGTACACATTTAGCTACAGCACCCTCAGTCCTGTTTTGATGCCCCCCCACCCCCATTTTCTTCGTTGTCCCTCGTCCCTCATCTGCTGTGCCTGAAATTAGATTCCTGGCCTTTCCTAATCTCTTTGTTAAATTACTTGTTTTGGAAAATTAATAATATCTCCTGAGCAACCGCAACCCCCCCCGCCCCACCTCTAACTTATTTCAAAATTTTCCATGCAACTGGACTCAAATTCCCAACTACGTGGTTTAAGTTGTTTGAAACCAACATTCAGCCTAATGGTTTTTCTCTGAATTTCCTCCAGCACTTTAAAACTTCTCAGTAACTGAAACTGCTTGCCATCTAGGACTGCTGGCAGCACAGTCATTTTAACCACAGCTTCAGATCATGTGGTTCCTCATTGTTTCGGATGCGCTGCTGACTTGTTGGTCTGCATTAGTTGAGTCTTTTTCAGATTCATTCTTGGTTATTTCAACATTGCCCAAGGGGTGTACCTGTCACTCATTTTTCCTTCCTACGTGAAAAGTCCACGTTTATTTGTATTATATTGTACCTGACTTTATGCTGTACAAATAAGTTTGTATTAAAACTTATAGGATTTCTGAACTGTCTTGATTCTACTGCCACTGATATCATTTGCAAATATGATATAATTTCTAAAAAGTTTCAGACTTCAAATATTTGGTGTTAAAAGCTAGAATTCTTAGAGCACCCCTTCCAGGAGCTGCTGACTGACAATTCTTTGCCTGTGGGGTGACTATCTCCTCACACCTTGAACCACACAACCACCTGACATTACTTTATCCTAATGTATTTGTCCTGGATGCTTTATAGGTTTAAGAGTGTCTGCATTACTTATATCTCATCATACATTGTGCATACCTACCTGTGCAGTTCCATTTGCTGTTTTTTAAATAGAAATTTTAATTCTGATTTACTTTGAAAACTGCAGAATGAGGTTTTCCTTTGCGTGGAAAGGATATGGGTGGATGTGTTTTAATTTTGGGATCTTCATAGAAGCTCTTAATGTTTAGAGAAATTTGAACACCCAGAGATTAACTTCAATAAAATTTAAAATCTTATGGGACAGTTCTTTATGTTTAAACACCTTGTATTTTGTTATGATCTTGGCTGATATTATTACTGGACAAGGCAGATCCCAGACTCCAAACTGGCTTGATTGATCATGTTTATTTTATTTAATGAGGTGGCCTTTCACTGAAACATAACTGCTGCAGTTTTAAAATACAATGGAAATTTCCCACACGAAAGATATGATAAAATAGAATAAATCATACTATTTAGATGTCACAATTTGAAAGATTCTGAAAACCTGTGAAGTGAAATATTTCATCTATCCCAACATCATGCCTTTATTGTACTCAAAAACCAGACAATTTCCTTCTCCGTTATACCTATGGGGTTTGACTGAATTGTGGCTTTCTATTCTCCGTCTTGCAAGTTTAATAATTTCATCTTCCAGTCTTCACAAGACTGAGCTTAGTCTTTCTCAGCTTTGAAAAATCCCTTCAGGGTTCAACCTAAAAATTTCCAGTTGAGAACTTTTAAAATAATCTCCTGACCGTGACCTGTCTCCTAATGGTTTTGAATGAGCTCCCTTTTTCAGGGGAAACTGGTTGCACATCTAACTTCTACTGGGACCTCTGCGAACAGAAACCAAAAGGCTTTCCAAACTGAAATGTTTCCCTTGGTGGGGGGGGAACCTCCTGATCCTTCTAACTGAAAGCAAACTAATACTCTCCAATACTAAAAACAAACAGTGCCGGAGCAACTTAGCAGGTCTGGCAGCGTGAGTGGAGACAGAAACAGAGTTAACATTTTGATCCAGTATAACTCTTCTTCAGGGAACCTCCGGTCTGGCAGCATCTGCCAGACCTGCTGAGTTTTTCCTGCACTCTGGTTGGTTCAGTCACCAAGCTGGTCCATTAGTTCGCAGACGTTTCATTACCCTGCTGGGAAATATCATTAGTGCAGCCTCCGATGATGCGCCGTTGTGTTTTCTCGCCTGGTATTTAAACTCTGGGGTCCGTTGGGTTTGATTACCTCATTTCTGGTTTCCCTTCGCAATGGTGTATAAATAGGGTCCAGTTCTACGTGTTTGTTGATTGGCCTTCTTGGTGGAGAACCAGGCCTCTAGGAATTCCCATGCTTCTGTCTGTTTAGCCTGTCCTAGGATCGTGTCATTGTCCCAATCAAACTGGTGGTTCTCCTTATACGTGTGAATGGAGATGAGTAAGTATCGGTCGTGTCATTTTGTTGCTAATTGGTGGTGTTCATGTACTCTTGTGGCCAATTTTCTTCCTGTCTGTCCAATGTAATGTTTGTCACAGTCCTTGCATGGGGTTTTATATATTATGTTGGTTCTGTCCACAGTCGGTCAGGGGTCTTTGGTTCAAGTTAGCAGTTGGTGTAGGGTTGACGTGGGTTTGTGTGCTACTCTGATGCCCAATGGTTGTAGGAGTCTTGTGGTTAGTTTGGATATGTTCTTGATGTATGGAAGTGTGATGAGCCTATTAGGGCATGCAGTATCTTCCTGTTGTTGACTGACACTGCGTTTGGGGAATAAAATAATCAATACACTAAAGAGACTCAAACAGACCAGACAAATTAACAAAACGGACTACCTAAAAACAAAACCAGAAGGGACAAACACCCCCCGATTCTACAGCCTCCCAAAGGTACACAAGCCGGAAGTACCCATCTGATCCATAGTCTCTCTCCCAGGCATACCAACACACAGGTTAGCCAAGGAGTTACAACGAAAACTAAAGCATCTCGTCAGCAAGTCACCCTACTCCATCCACTCAGCCCAGGAGTTCCTCAAATCCCTAAAGGGCATAAGAATAGACGAATAGACCATGGTGTCATTTGACATTAGTGCCCTATTCACATCAATTGACATACTACTAGCAAGAGAAGCACTAGCAACGCTGATAAAAGAATGAAACCCGACACCATCTCCACAGACAACATGCTGAAACTACTGGACCTGTGCCTCATGACCCACTTTACCTTTAATGGCCAAATCTACAAACAGGTCAATGGAACACCCATGGTGTCACCTATCTCCGGACTAATAGCAGAAGCGGCGATGCAGAGACTCAAAAGTATGGCCCTTCTGCAAATCCAGCCCAAACCATGGATCTGATACTTGGATGACACTTTCGTCATCACCAAATGGACCAAACTAGAGGAGACACACCAACTAATAAACAACACTCTCACCAGCAACAGAATTCACCAGGGAAGAGGAAAAGAACAAACAGCTCCCATTCCTGGACATCATGGTAGAACATGGAATTCCTGCAAAGGTACACAGAAAAGCCACACACACTGACCAAGTACTGAATTTCAACAGGAGCCACCCCGAAACCCACAAACAAAGTTGCGTGAAAACACTATTTAAATAAGCAACAACACACTGTAGCAAACCAGAACTAGCCAAAAAGAAGAAGTGTATCTCTACCAAGTATTTAAGGACAACGGATATCCGAATAACTGGATCCGACGATGCCTATCACATGAATAACAACAGGAAGATACTACACACCCTAACCACTCATCATGCTACCATACATCAAGAACATATCCAAACTGACCACAAGACTCCTACAACCATTGGGCATCAGAGTAGCACACAAACCCACGTCAACCCTACGCCAACTGCTAACTTGAACCAAAGACCCCTTACCCACTATGGACAGAACCAACGTAATATATAAAATTCCATGCAAGGACTGTGACAAACATTACATTGGACAGACAGGAAGAAAATTGGCCACAAGAGTACATGAACACCACCAACTAGCAACAAAAGGACATGATCAATATTCGCTCATCTCCATTCACATGGATAAGGAGAACCACCAGTTCGATTGGGACAACACCAGGATCCTAGGACAGGCCAAACAGAGAGAAGCATGGGAATTCCTAGAGGCCTGGTTCTCCACCAAGAAGGCCATCAACAAACACATAGAACTAGACCCTATATATACACCACTGCGAAGGAAAACCGGAAATGAGGTAATCAAATCCAACAGACCCCAGAGTTTAAATACCAGGTGGAAAAACACAACAGTGCTTCATCGGAGGCTGCACTGATGATGTTACCCAGCAGAGCAATGAAACATCAGCGAACCAGCTCAGCAAGCGAACCAACCACAGCATCCACAACCTGAGCTACAAATCTACTCAACCTTTTTCCAGCACTTTTTTGATTTTATTTCAGTTTTCCAGCATCTCTGGTATTTTGCTTTTAAGGCTTTTCAATGTTTATCTTGTCTGCTCCTTAAACTCTCTTAATGCAAACAAATTCCTGTTACCACTACAGGAAATCTCTTTTTTTTTAAATCACAACTCCGGAAATACCATCAAGTTAATCATTAACCACTTACACCTCCCCCACCAACGCACCAAACTCACATGCTACTACCTCAAAGTCCAATCTTTAAAATAAATGACATTGCACACCCTACATCACAACATATTGAGAAATTAAACAAAGAAAGAATCATTGAATGACCAGAATAGCTTAAGACTTTTGCTATAAACTCATTGCACTCTTTAATTTCCCCCAGATTTCTTTTGTACATTACAAAAATCTTACAGATTCATTCACTTCTCCTGGGACTAACCAAATTTATGCTACAGCCCTCTCAAATTCTGGAATTTAGCTGGAATTCTGGAATTTCCCCAGGGAAAATTATTCCTCAAGATAGAAATTTTCACCAAGATCCCTCCATTAGCTTGTTGTAAAGTGATTCTTTAATTCTCTTTTAAAAGCTGAATTGTGGACTTCTCAACTCAGGCTTGTTGGTTTTCACTGTGGGGGTAGATTTCTTCCTGTAGCTCCAAGCTCGGTAAATCTTCAAGATCCCCGCCCCTCCCCACTCCCTGTCAAATTCCACTTAACTTCGAGCCCCCTTCCATGTTCAGAAAGGTGAATGAGAAAGTTAATACCTTTGCTGCTTAAGGCGTTAGTCCAGCTAACAAATACATATCCTTATGCTCACCCAACTTGATGATCTGCTGCTTTTATGACAAAAATTGTAATTGCCTCCTGTGAGAAACATTTTGATAAATTCAACAGAGCAATCTTCTAAACCTCACTACCCATTTCCACGTTGCCATACCTGGAATGTTCCAAGCAGAAATGTAAATTAATTAGCTTTCACCTTGAAAACCAAACCCGCACTTTAATAATGCGACCCATAGAAATAATTTAATTCCTTCCAGACCTGCTGTCCTAACAGGCAACTCCCGTACTGACCAATTATTTTTAGCATCCTTTCATCTAGACACTGCATAAATAATTTTAAATCTTTTATTGATAAATTAACACATTATTACAAACCCAGAGAATTATATTTCTACCTCCTGACTATGTAGGATAAGTATAGGTTAGTCTTTAACGGTAATTAGCCCAAATTGTTTGATGCCTTACTATATGGTTATTTACCAGTTATGGAACAGGTTTTCTTTATCATACATATCACACTTTATTCTCCAACCTACAAGTTACATGTCTGAAGCTAGAAGTTAAAAGTGTAAAATGTGAATTATGGATTCAAATATTTGCAACTATAATGATCAGGTAATGAACTGTTTGATTTTCATAGTAAGTCCCATGTGGCTTTCTTGGCTGCTTAGCACTTCTGACTTGAAAATTATGCAAACTGAAGTGAGCGTTTATCACATTCTCACCTATTGCAATGTTTAGTGTGGAAAAAGGTGAAATCACTTGTCTTGTGTCAAGTTTTACTATATCTTGGTTTAGGCTTGCATTCTCCATGGCAATGCCTCTACCAATCAGTCCACATGACTATCAGCACTCTCCTCTCATACAGTATGAACGTTGTTTTCTCTTCTCATTGGTATTTTTGTGAATTGTTCTGATGAGTGCAAGACCAAAAGCTTTGACAAAATGTATTTTTATTTTCAGCAATGCTTGTGTTCATTTAGCACAATAAAGGTAAACTTTGTTTCCCTGTTTTACAGATACTGAGTGCAAAACATTCTGGAAGAAAGATAGTGCACAACAGACTTGTTACCAATTTAACTTCCAGTCTTTTCTCTCCTGGAATGAGGCTCGCCTTGCCTGTCAGAGTCAAGGAGGGGATCTACTGAGTGTTGCTGATCCAAAAGCACAGAAGTATGTTTCTGGTGAGTTTGTATTAATCATACATGATGTACATGAAATAATCTGTCAAAGCACACCAGATTTCCTGTCCCATTCAGTTGCTGATTCCTATATTAATATGGACAAACTATGAAAATAAAGACCCAATTATGATTTATAATGCTATCCAAACTTTTTTTTGTTAACTTTAAATTAAAATTCTTTGTAACATTGAATACACTTTTTTTTTCTGGAGTAGTAGTTGACTAAGCTGGAAACTTCTTTTGATTCATAAAAAACAAATCAGCCAACCTCACCCAAATTATAACATGGGAAATCAAAGAAATTTGGAGGTTCACATTATCAAAAATGACACATCAAGTTGCATATGGCATAAAAAGGCTAGTGAAATACTGGATTCTGTGATAAGAGGTAGAGAATGTCCAAGTTGAAATGCACTGTTAGATCTATGCCCATTCATAACTTTAAGTACTATTTATGGTTCTTGGGCTCCATAGAAAGGATGTTGAGCACTCAAAGTACAGTGTAGATTATCACAAATGATGCCTGATGCAAATAACTAAAGAATGTGATACAAAATTCTGAAAAACTGTGGTCATTATCACTGAATCAAATAAGATCTGATTTTATGGGTTCTTTAATTTCTGAATGGATGCGATAAACTAGGGAGACTGAAAGTGTTTCCCTTTTAGTTTCTTTTTTCAAAAAAAGGAACATTACGTTGAATATTAAAATTGGCACAGAGACCAAAATGACCAGAGATGGTGATTGAAGAAGAAATCATAGACTGTGGAGGTGGTAAGAGAGACCAGGTTGGAGGGATATAGATTGCTAACTCCCAAACTCTCCAGGCAATACTAACAAGGTGATAGAGGAACTTACACCCACCCAGTGTGAGCAAGGCTCACCTTCCAGACCAGTAGCAGTTCCTGCAGGGCCAGGGCTAAATAGCTGGTGCTGTCAGGACTGCAGGAAGGCGCAAAGAGAATGTAGCCATCGATGTTCGACTGAGGTAAATTTGGGACTTTGGGCAGAGAGGGCATGGATATCTTGGGGAAGTAGAATGGGATTGGATTTTGTATCATGGGTGAGGAGAAAGGAGCACCCCTCAAAGATAGTATCCCCTTCCTTTTGAGCAGTTTAATAAAAATGCTGTCCTCTCCTGCATGCTTCTCCATGTCAACTACATTATGGAGTGGGGTCAGTTAGGCTTTTAACCAAACTTAATTACTTGTTTGCTTATGGTCTGCTGAATTGGGTATCTACTCAACACCTCCCCAATTTAAGACTGAGGTGGGGAGGAATTTCTTCTGAGGATCGAGAGTCTTTGGAGCTTCTGGGTAGAGTTCTTGTGTACATTTAAGGATGAGATAGATTCTCAATCAGCAGGGAAATCGAGGATTACAGGGAAAAGGCAGGAAAGTGAACATGAGGAATGTTAGATCAGCCATGATCCTATTGAATGGCAGAGCAGGTTCAAGAGGCTGAACAGCCTACTCCTGTTCCTATTTCTTTTGGTCCCAGTATTTATCAGGATGAGCTCAAGGGTAGGTAGATTCTGGGCTAGCTATCCAATCTATTTTATGTTCCCCCTCAAAATACGCCTTATGGGGTCATGAAATATCCAGCATATGTAAAATTTTAAAAATGTTTTCCTAACAGTCTGATCACAAAAACAGCCAGCCATATGAGGAAATAGAAATATAAGATTAGGACTATTCTGATGTGGTAATAAAGCACTAGCATGGGTTGGTTGGACTGAACAGCCTTGTTAATGAGTAATTCCTAAATAACTCATTATTTTCCCAGCATGGGATGGCTATAGCATGGCAGGAGCTTGGACTTGTCAGCGTCTTTTCAATTATTTACTTTTTTGTATTGAAATATCATACATTGATTTGTTACACTAGGTGGCAACCATTTATTGACAAATAATTCTCTTAAATAGAGAAAAAACATCTCCTATTTAGAAAAAGTGTGTGTACGTATGTATCTATATATTGACTTCCGTGTATTCCTACATATATAACTTATATAACATCATGTGGCCTCTACTTTTTCTCTTCCAGCTTTGACTGCTGCTAATTGTATTTCCAGTGAAAGCAATGATCACTGTGGCCTGAACTAATATAAGTGTGTATCTGGTCATAACATTATCTACCTGTAACATCATACGATTTCTTTGACCACCCTTTGTCCTGGGATGTTTTGCTCATTCATCCTACAATTGGGAGCATTATTTTGTATTTAACTATTGTCAACTGTATTTGTCAGGATTTTTGGAACCCTGACAGTGAGAGAGAGATGAGTGATGCCTGTTCCAAAAGGCAAAGGCTCCCCGAACACCTAGTCTCTCCCATGCTAATTGAAGCTTATCTTCACTCTACCACCTTTCACAATCACTCAGCCCCCATCTCCACCTTCACACTTCAGCCTGCTCAGATACTGTGGTTAATGTAACCGCATCCTCTAACCTGCAGGTCTCATGTCCCTGGCTGCCACTGGCTTTCCCAACTGGCCAGGAAAATCAAAAATTGAATTTCAGCTGTGAATTCAGAACCTTGGCACTACAAGGTCTGGCAGGTATTTTTTCCACCTGTTCATACACCACCTGATTATTGACACCAAGCTGTCAGTTTTATATCTTGACATTAAGAGATGCTGTAGCTGTTTCTCCAAAAGTGCAAAAATACTAATCAATCAATGTTTTATCTGAAGAGTAGTACAAAGGCTTTTAAATGTTACTTCTTCATTTCTACATGCCTCACTGTAATTGTAATTATTGTAATTTTTAATAGAGCAACCAAATATTCCAAAGAAAATGTGGATTGGCCTGAATCAAATGAACGTAGCTGGTGGCTGGCAGTGGTCTGATGGAACACCTCTCGTGTTTGTTAATTGGGATGATGGTAAAAATGTTTGTTTTGTTTTAACAAAGTCGTTACATTATTTTCAAAAGTGATGTGTGATAAATAATAAAATTACTGGAGACGAGATTTCAATGTCTGTAGTCTTAGAGCAGATCATTGTTACATTTCACAATAAAACCATATATTTTGGATCATTTTTGGTTTAAAAGTAAAAATGGTTTTGATAGTGAGTATGTGAAAGGTCCTTTTTTAAAAAAATGATTTTCTGCCCTTCCTCTTTTCCTCTTTTCCGTCTCTTGTCTTTATTCTCCTTTCCTTTTGCTGCTCCTTTGTTTCACCATTTCTCAGTTCTCCTGATCATTCAGTTTCTGTAATTCTTTTATTGCTTTTTTGATCTCCCATTCCAGCTAACTCTCTTTCTGTTTTATCCTTGCTATCGTTGTTTTATTTTTGGTGCACATCTCTTCCGTAATGTCTCCCCTGCTGTCCACTTCATTCAGCTTGTGAGGTCAGTGGACAAGACAAGGGGCAGCACAGTGGCTCAGTGGTTAGTACTGTTGCCTCAGCACTGGGGACCCGGGTTCGATTCCACCCTCGGGCGACTGTCTGTGTGGAGTTTGCACATTCTCCCCGTGTCTGTGTGGGCTTCCTCCGGGTGCTACGTTTCCTCCCACAGTACAAAGATGTGCAGGCTAGGTGGATTGGCCATGCTAAAATTGCCCATAGTGTTCAGGGATGTGTAGATTAGGTGGGTTAAAAGGGGATGGGCCTGAGTGGAATGCTCTGAGGGTCGGTGTGGACTTGTTGGGCCGAAGGGCCTGTTTCCAGACTGTAGGGATTCTGAACTGATTAGTTTTATGCAAGATGCAGAACGTAATACACGTTTTAAATTTACCTCCAACGCCTCTAAAACTAAACCATATAAGTAGTTATTCCCTGATAATGGTGAGATGTCTGAGGTGAAACTTTACAATTTGTTATGTTTAGGTATATTTGATTTGTATCATCTTGAGGAATCAAGCTGTGCTACAATGAACTTGGATTCTAATGGTCGCTGGCAAGTTAGTCCTTGTGAAGCTGCTTTACCATATGCATGCAAGAAACCACTTAATCAGACAAGGAAAGAGTCAATCGGTAAGCGTAATTTGCTTTTTCTTCTCCCTTGTGAAATCAGTTCCTTCTGTTTTATATTACTACTTCATCTCTTATTCTTTTGTCAATTACTACTTCTTAGCTCAGAGCACATCTATTTGGAGTATCTTAATTGGCATTGCCACTGACAAAATTATACATGGGACATAAAGTGGAGTTGTTCCAAGACTTGAACTTATTACTGACACACCTCAAGCTATCACCAAAGTATCTCCTAGCCAATGAGTTACTTCAGAATTGTATTATTAGTTGTTGTATACCAATGACAAACATGTCTGTGACCCCCCACCTCTACACGTACAATATAAATTGAACTGTTAGCAATTTTACCCTGTCAAAATGTTCTGAATTAATTCTTCTGTGATCCTTTCATTGATTTGCTGATCATAAACAATCAATTGGCACAAGAATGGAGGAAATATCCACGTTGTGGAGAGAGTTGTGGAAATGTGTGTTCAGCTTAAGACACTCTTGGTCTGTGATGTGGAACTAAATAACTGCATACTTTTGAATTTTTAAATATTTTAATCAATTGTTCATAAAAGCAAAAGAACATCTTGTACAGCTGATCAGGGCCCAAGAGCAAAGTTGCACTTGGAATAATATGTGTACTGGTCTTGGTGAGGTAGGAGTAGTATTGGTGGAAGAAAAAGCTGGCATTCATTAAAAGAACTATACAGATGAGCAAGGTTAGTAAGATAACGGAAAGCACCAGGAGTACTCGTACTCGTCTTAACAGTCTCCCTGTAATAATGAGTTGAATAGCATGCTAAGGATAATGTTGACAGTGTGTAGCTGGTGCATTGGACAGAACCCCACCTCAACTTTTCTGGCTTACTCTACTTTCATTTAATGTGAGGTGGGAGTTCTGTTTAACTGAACAGCCAGCCAACTGGATTTCAGCAACTCTTGCACCTCACTGTGATCAGTGACCACTGCTGGTAATACAGCAGGTTTGGAATGAAATGGAATGGTGAATGTTCTAAAAACCTGCTAGATACCTGATCACCTGTTAAATCGGGGCAACAATGGATAAAACCCTTAATTGGACATTCATTGCCCACTTGAGGGACTCCGGCTGGGGAAGTCCACTGAACATTTCCCCCAGTACCTGTTAAATCATGGTAGGACAAGTGGGCCACTACCAATGGTGCAGCATCCTAATTGAAAGCAACCCCCCCCCCCCAACCCAATGCAGGCAACCCAATGTGATTTTCTGTGTTTGATAAAGACAGCAACAACAACGAGTTAGAGAAACAAATTCAGAAAATGTTCTACACTTAAATGGAGAATGTTAACCTTCCTTTTACTCACAGCCCTCTGTATAATGAGCAGAAATTGACAAAGACATGGAAGGAGCAAAAGTTCCCATTTCTGCCTGAAGAAGCATAGCTTTCCAGTTGGTAAAGCTGGAGACATAAGAAAGCAGGGATGTAAAACTAAAAGGAGGTAGAATTGAAAGAGATAGTTTTACTTGATCTCAAAATCAGGATTAACGTATCTCTGAGAATCCTGAAATATATGACTGAGGAACTTAGCTGAATAAAATTTGAAATCCTTGCCTGGGTGTTGGAGTTGTGTACTGGAATCAAAAAATTAAGCGGAAGACTACAATGAACTGCATGATTCAATTTTGTATATCTATGGTTCTCCACGCCATCCATGCATTACAACCAGAATATTGGTGAAAAACACACATTTCATCACATTTTTTAATCTTGCACTCAAATAGATAATTCATAAGAAGTACCTACGTAAAGAGAAACCAAGAAGATTGGGCCTATGGTTGTCACTCATGGTCCTAAAAAGTGCCCAGTCCACCTCTGGAATACCATGGAAGCATTGTGTGTCTTAAGGTTTGATAGGTAAAGCTAGCCGTTTCATATTCCCATTATACAGTATCACGCCAATGAATAAGTGACTGGAAACTAGCAATTTGGTAAATGGTATGTTAGCCTAATCGCAAGAGGAATTGTCTTCAGTACCAAAGACGTCTTGCTTCAATTGTGCAGAACAGTGGTGAGTTGCATCTTGTGTATTGGGTGCAATTCTGGTCATCTCACCTAAGGAAGGATATATTTGCCACAGTGGGAGTGCAGCACAGACTCTTCAGTTCTGAGGAAGGGTCACCGGACCTGGAACGTTAACCGTGATTTCTCTTCACAGATGCTGCCAGACCTGCTGAGCTTTTCCAGCACTCTCTGCATTTGTTTCTCGCCAGTTACTCCTGGATGATGGGACTGTTCAAGATAATTTTCTAGTCAATCTTCTCAGAGATGTTATTACATGCTGCTGGAGTGAGCAGGACAAGACAAGATGGTGGCAGAGTGAGATGTTCCACCTGATTCTCCTCTGATCTGCCCATTCTTTTTGGTTTTTTTCTTTTTTTTTAATCAAACTTTCAACTTTTACTAACCGGAGGTGAATGGTGGAGACTGGAGGGAGCTGGCACAGGGGCGACGAGTCCCAGATGTAAGGCCCAGGCCAGGCTGGCATGGCAGCAGCAAGTCCAGGCGAGTCCCAGATGTAAGGCCCAGGGCAGGCTGGCATGGCGGCAGCAAGTCCAGGTGAGTTCTGGAAGCAAGGCCTAGGCCAGGCCAGAACGGAAGTAGCGAGACTAGGCGAGTCCTGCAGATGAGGTCCGGGCTAGGTGAGTACAGAGGCGAGGCCCAGATCAGGCCAGTGTGGGAGGCAGTGAGTTGCAGGCCAGGCCTGCACAGAGGTAGCAAGTTCAAGTGAGTCCCAGAGCTGAGTCCCAGGCGAGGCCAGTGTTGGGGGCAACAAGTCCAGGCAAGTCCCGGAGCCAAGTGGATCAGAGGCCAGTGCGGGGGTGGCAGCGAGTCCCTTAGGGACTGCAAGCGAGGCCTCCAGGATTGATGCCTAGCATCTCCTATACACTTGGCCCGTCGGTCAGAAAGCTGGCACAGACTTGCTTAAAAGACTATAGTTAAGGTACTTTTTAAAAGAAAGCTTCTTTTATCCTTTATTCGTATGCTGAACTTTTATAAATGATTCTCTTAAGTCTGTAACAAATACTCAAGTATCCTGTACCCAAGATGACGCTGAGAGGCAACATTGCAAACTTTTCACTGCACTCACTTGAGTACACGTGACAATAAAGGCTAATTCTAATTCTCTAAATCCTGAACCCAGGTCTCCTGGCTCAAAGGCAGGGACACTATCTTTGAGGGGACAGGACCTGTGCATTCCCTTGTGTTTATAAAAATGAGAAGCAAATTCATAAAGTTAGAACATGTTAAAAGTGATAGAGTTGACTGAAAAAGGTGTTTTCTCTGGCTGGAATTTTGAACCAGGGTGGAGGGGCACAGTCTCAAAACGAAACACAAAACATTTATGACTGAAATGAGAAGGGACATCTTCTCTCACTGTGGTGAATCCTTTTAATTCCCTAATGGACAGGATCTGAGCTCCCAAACTTAGAACCAGAATCTGAGGCTTTTGAACTATTTTTAAATGTGTGTTTTATTTGGTGGAAATCTGTATACATTTTTCACCACTTGAGGTGGAGGTTGTACGTAGTCAATTACTTTAGTTTAGATTCTGCAAATGTGATTTTGTGTGGCCTTCCAAACATCGAAAAAGAGTGAAGCAATTGCCTTTCACTCCAGAGATAACAAGGTGTAGAGCTGGATGAACACAGCAGGCCAAGCAGCATCAGAGGAGCAGGAAGGCTGACGTTTTGGGTCTAGACACTTCTTCAGAAATGGGGGAGGGGAAGGGGGTTCTGAAATAAATAGGGAGAGAGGGGGAGGTGGATAGAAGATGGATAGAGGAGAAGATAGGTGGAGAGGAAACAGACAGGTCAAAGAGGCAGGGATGGAGCCAGTAGAGGTGAGTGTAGGTGGGGAGGTAGGGAGGAGATAGGTCAGTCCAGGGAGGACAGACAGGTCAAGGGGGCGGGATGAGGTTAGTAGGTAGGAGATGGGGGTGCGGCTTGGGGTGGGAGAAGGGGATAGGACGAAGGACAGGTTAGGGAGGCGGGTTTTGGGATGCGGTAGGGGGAGGGGAGATTTTGAAGCTTGTGAAGTCCACATTGATACAAATGGGCTGCAGGGTTCCCAAGCGGAATATGAGTTGCTGATCCTGCAACCTTTGGGTGGCATCGTTGTGGCACTGCAGGAGGCCCAGGATGGACATGTCGTGTGCGGAGTGGGAGGGAGAGTTGAAATGGTTCGCAACTGGGAGGTGCAGTTGTTTAGTGTGAACCGAGCGTAGGTGTTCTGCAAAGCGGTCCCCAAACCTCCGCTTGGTTTCCCGGATGTAGAGGAGGCCACAACGGAAACAGCGGATGCAGTATACCACATTAGCAGATGTGCAGGTGAACATCTGCTTGATGTGGAAAGTCTTCTTGGGGCCTGGGATGGAGGTGAGGGGGGAGGTGTGGGGGCAGGTGTAGCACTTCCTGCGGCTGCAGGGAAAAGTGCCGGGTGTGGTTGGGCTGGAGGGGAGTGTGGAGTGGACAAGGGAGTCACGGAGAGAGTGGTCCCTCTGGAAAGCAGATAAGGGTGGAGAGGGAAAAATATCTTTGCTGGTGGGGTCGGATTGCAGATGGCGGAAGTGTCGGAGGATGATGCGTTGGATCCAGATGGTTGGTGGTGTGGTACGTGAGGACGAGGGAGATTCTGTTTTGGTTGTTATTGCGGGGAGGGGGTGTGAGGGATGAGTTGCAGGAAAGCGGCAGACACGGTCAAGGGCGTTCTCGACCACTGAAGGGGGAAAGTTGCGGTCCTTGAAAAACGAGGACATCTGAGATGTACGGGAGTGGAATGCCTCATCCTGGGAGCAGAAGCGACGGAGGCGAAGGAATTGGGAATAGGGGATGGCATTTTTGCAGGAAGGTGGGTGGGAGGAGGTGTATTCTAGGTAGCTGTGGGAGTCGGTAGGTTTGAAATGGATATCGGTTTCTAGGTGGTTGCCGGAGATGGAGACAGAGAGGTCTAGGAAGGAGAGAGAGGTATTAGAGATGGTCCAGGTGAACTTAAGGTTGGGGTGGAAGGTGTTGGTGAAGTGGATGAACTGTTCGAGCTCCTCGTGGGAGCACGAGGTGGCGCCGATACAGTCATCAATGTAATGGAGGAAGAGGTGGGGTTTAGGGCCAGTGTAGGTACGGAAGAGGGATTGTTCCACGTAACCTACAAAGAGGCAGGCATAGCTTGGGCCCATGTGGGTACCCATGGCCACCCCCTTTGTCTGTAGGAAGTGGGAGGAATTGAAAGAGAAGTTGTTGAGGGTGAGGACAAGTTCGGCTGAGCGGATGAGGGTGTCAGTGGATGGGGACTGGTCGGGCCTGCGGGACAGGAAGAAGCGGAGGGCCTTTAGACCATCTGTATGGGGAATGCAGGTGTAGAGGGACTGGACGTCCATGGTAAAGATGAGGTGTTGGGGACCGGGGAATTGGAAGTTCTGGAGGAGGTGGAGGGCGTGGGTGGTGTCACAGATGTAGGTAGGGAGTTCCTGGACCAAGGGGGAGAAAATGGAGTCGAGATAGGTGGAGATAAGTTTGGTGGGGCAGGAGCAGGCGGAGACAATGGGTCGACCAGGGCAGTCAGGTTTGTGGATTTTGGGAAGGAGATAGAAGCGGGCGGTGCGGGGTTGGGGAACGATGAGGTTGGAGGCTGTGGGTGGGAGGTCACCAAGCCTTTCACTCCAGTTGCTCAGACAATCCCTGTTATTAACAGCAGTGCTGCCAGATTTCTTTCTTGGCATAAATTTGCTTTTGCACCTTCAGAGCTTGCAAACTTTCTCCTGTATGTCTCGCCTAATTAAATGTTTTATTTTGTTTTCAGCTTCTCTTCTTTTGTAAATTAACATACAAGATTGAACCCTTGGCATCATTCTTGACAGGAGTGTGTTTAGTAAGTAGGAAGGCTGGAGATTTTGTTCAGAAAGTTAGATGATCAGCTTTCCCCTAATGATGTACAGTTTTCACTTCGGGACACGTGCCCCCCAGCATGTTGCTAGCCTGAATGCAATTCTGACAGATGTGACTGGTTTGTTTGTTTGTTTGTTTGTTGATAGTGAAGTGCTTTTGAGGAGGACAGGTAAGGTAGAGAGCATGAGCAGGGTTACTGGTTGGCAGGAGGAATAGTGGTGAGTTGTGTATCAATCTCGGAGCTGGGAAGAGAGGGTGTGTTGGAATTGTACTTGATGGGATTGGGACGGTAGTGAATGTAAGCAATTAAACAATGCTGCCAAGGCTTTTACCTCTATCAAAAGTAGTCTGTGCTTCCATTTAATGATTGGGTTACCTGAGGCCTGAGAAGACTGGCCAGCCTAAGTTGAACCTGAGGCACACAGCCTCATTATGTTTCCATAACTAACTTGTCTCTTCGGGAGTGGGTTGGTTGCTTTAATGACACAAGTCTACATTTCCCTTTCCTTTCCTCTCCATACCTCATTGAAACTGTGGGGATATGCCTTTTTGAAAAACCAAGTTTGAAGCCACTTGAGACTGAAAATTCCAGGGATCTTGCCACACATCCAGAGTTCTGACGTTGCATGACTTGTAACAATGGATTTATCACAACGTAAATACATGTCTGCTCTATGGTTCAGAGGCCAGGAAATTATCTTTCTGCTGTTTTTTCCAACCATCCAGTTAATGATGTACAATCGTTGCCAAGGTAAATTGCTTTCAATTTATGATAATGCTTTACTTTGATTCTGCACTTCCCCAAATGTTCCAGTGTTGGTAGCCTGCCATGTGATATATCATGTAGCAAACTCAAGTGATGTGCTACTGTGATGCAACAACCAGCTGCATAACCAATCCACTTCCTCACTTGGTAATATTGATTCTGAAATGATTCTTGGTGGGATTATTGTTTAGGGGTAACAGCAAGCCACTGAACCACCAGTTACAGAAATAAAATTAAAAGCTGGTAACACTTATTGGTTTGCTAAGATCTGACCCATTTAGGGTTTTAAACAAATCCATTAGAAATCATGAGATGTTGGCTGCTGGATGTGCATTCTGATTTAGTTTAATCTTTTTTAATTTTGAGGATTATTTTTATTTTCTATTCCTTGGTGCCAAAGTAGAATCACTTTTTAATTTTTAGAATTTTGTATGTTTAAAATTCACAAAGCTCGATTTTCTTTTCTGCAATTTGTTCTGGTCATAAAATCTTTTGTTCTCTTGTGGATTTTTTCCAATAAACTTAATGGGATTTAAATGCTCAGCTCTTGTCTAAAGCACAATGAATATGCAAGCAACTTCTGGACCCAAAGATGCTAGCTCAAGGATCGTAAGAAATTTAGCTTCAGACTTGATCAGAGTATTCACAGTGATCTGCATTCACTGACTGCTGAACCCTCAAGTCAATCCCACAGGAGGAAAGAACTGTAGGAAAAGGGCAGAACGCTACCACCAGAAATTACTGTATGAATTCCAGCTCCTCCTGGCTCTCTAAAGTTGTGACCACTGGAAAAGCTGCACTTAGATCCTGGAAATGAGTATAGAGGGTTTGAGGCCAATGCCAATCGCTGTGATTCTTAGTCCATGTTCTTAAACCAACACCTGAGGTGGTATTTAATTGAGGTGATGGTCTTCATCTGTTATCTGCAGAGCCAGTAGAAGCCCCATTTCACCTTTTCAGGACAGGTCTTGCAATTGGAGGCTAGAAGCTCTCTTTTAATAGTGCTGTCACCAAGAAGGGAATGATGACTGCCTGTACAACCTAGCCCTTCCATGTATTGTAAACAGCTAGAGACCTTAGTGACCAAAAGAAATGCTGGTTCAATAATTCAAGACTGGTTGCTGGATTGCAGTAGAGAGGTGAGCAAAGGAAAGGCGAGATTGTGGAGTGGGAGCTGATGGGAAGAAGGGGAGGTCAGCAGAAAGGGCAGAGAAGAGACTTTGAGTCACCCCATTCTTGAGGCCAGATCCCTCATGAATGGGAAAACCCCTAGGAACCTGTAAGTGACCATACAGTCGACTGCTTCACAGGCTGCCTGCCTGTTGAACACACTCCCCACATTCGCTGCTGGGTTATTGCCCTGCTGCCATTGGTAAACTGTTAAATGGGCATTAATTTCCCACAAGAACCTTAAATGGCAGCAGGGTAGGAGCAGGAAAAGGCGGAGCCCCCACTTGCCATCCTGCCACCTCAATAAATGCCCTATGGGATGGCGTTAAATGCTGCACAAGATCCTCTATTTGTTTGGGCTCTTGTATATGCACAAGGATCTCCTGGATAGCTAGAAAATGGCCAGAATCGGTTTCAGGTTAGTGCTTTTCAGAATGTTGTGCATCAAAGTTTACACCTGTAATTGGACGCCATGAGAAGCCATTCTACCCTACCATTTTCAAATGCCAAATGGTCATTTTCATGGGAAGTAATATAAAATGAGGAAATTACGTAGAATAATGTAGATATTAATATATGAAATTCTCTCAAATTTATTATGACTGCTTTCTTATCAGATCCTTGGAAGTACTCCAGTACAGAATGTGAAGCTGGCTGGCTTGCGCATAATGGCTTCTGCTATTATATGAACACACAAGATTTGAAATGGGATGATGCAGATAGTTCCTGTAAATCCAATGAAAGTCAGCTCATCAGCATACATTCATTAGCAGATGTGGAGCTGGTTGTCAGTAAGCTTCATGAAGGTAAGTGCAAATTCTAATCGTTATCCAAGCAGCAAGAGTACCGAATTTAAATCTGAACAGATATCTATTTTGTATCACTCGGGAAAGTTACTAAAAGTTGATCAACTTCACAAAAGCCAACTGTGCTCAAGGAACTAACCATAAAGAATAACCGAATTAATATAGTGAGAAAGGATATGGAAAGATGCAGTGGAATATAGATTAGCTGGAAAGTTGGGCAGAGAAATGGCAGATGGACTTTAATCTGGCCAAGTTTGAAGTGATGCATTTTGAGAGGTCAAATGCAGGAGGAAAGTACACAGTAAATGGCAGGACCTTTAGGGGCATTGATATACTCGGAGATCTTGGAGTCCAAGTCCGTAGCTCCCTGAAAGTGGCAACACATTGGGTAAGGTGGTAAATAAAGCATGCCGCATGCTTGCCTTCATTGGTCAGGGCATTGAGTGTAAAAATTGACAAGTTATTTTGCAACTGTACAAGACTTCAGTAATGCCACATTTGGAATACTGTGCGCAGTTCTGGTCACCCCACTATAAGAAGCATGTGGAGTCTTTCGATAGGGTTTACCAGGATATTGCCTGGATTGGAGCGTATTAGCTATAAGGAGAGGTTGGACAAGTTTGGATTGTTTTCACTAGAATGTCGGAGGCTAAGGGGCAACCCAAAAATGGTAGATAAAATTATGAGAGGCATGGATGGGGTGTTTAGTCGGTCTTTTTTCCCCAGGATGGAAATGTCAGACACTAGGGAGCAAGGTGAGAGGAGGAAAATTTAAAGGAGATGGGCAAAAAAAGTTTTTTATACAGAGGGCAGTAGGTGTCTGGAGGGACCACTCTCTCCGGGACTCCCTTGTCTGCCCCACACTCCCCTCCAGCCCCACCACAGCCGGCACCTTTCCCTGCAACCGCAGGAAGTGCTACAGCTGCTCCTACACCTACCCCCTCACCCCCATCCCAGGCCCCAAGAAGACTTTCCACATCAAGCAGATGTTCACCTGCACATCTGCTAATGTGGTATACTGCATCCACTGTTCCCGTTGTGGCCTCCTCTACATCGGGGAAACCAAGCGGAGGCTTGGGGACCGCTTTGCAGAACACCTACGCTCGGTTCGCAATAAACAACTGCACCTCCCAGTCGCGAACCATTTTAACAGCCCCTCCCATTCCTCGGACGACATGTCCATCCTGGGCTTCCTGCAGTGCCACAACGATGCTACCCGAAGGTTGCAGGAACAGCAACTCATATTCCGCTTGGGAACCCTGCAGCCCAATGGTATCAATGTGGACTTCACAAGCTTCAAAATCTCCCCTCCCCCTACCGCATCCCAAAACCAGCCCAGCTCGTCCCCGCCTCCCTAACCTGTCCTTCCTCCCACCTATCCCCTCCTCCCACCTCAAGCCGCACCCCCATTTCCTACCTACTAACCTCATCCTGCCCCCTTGACCTGTCCGTCCTCCCTGGACTGACCTATCTCCTCCCTACCTCCCCACCTACACTCACCTCTACTGGCTCCATCCCCACCTCTTTGACCTGTCTGTCTCCTCTCCACATTGATACCATTGGGCTGCAGGGTTCCCAAGCGGAATATGAGTTGCTGTTCCTGCAACCTTCGGGTAGTATCGTTGTGGCACTGCAGGAAGCCCAGGATGGACATGTCGTCTGAGGAATGGGAGGGGGAGTTGAAATGGTTCGTGACTGGGAGGTGCAGTTGTTTAGTGCGAACCGAGCATAGGTGTTCTGCAAAGCGGTCCCCAAGCCTCCGCTTGGTTTTCCCGATGTAGAGGAGGCCACAACGGGAACAGCGGATACAGTATACCACATTAGCAGATGTGCAGGTGAACATCTGCTTGATGTGGAAAGTCTTCTTGGGGCCTGGGATGGGGGTGAGGGGGGAGGTGTAGGGGCAGCTGTAGCACTTCCTGCGGTTGCAGGGAAAAGTGCCGGGTGTGGTGGGGCTGGAGGGGAGTGTGGGGCGGACAAGGGAGTCCCAGAGAGAGTCCTCTCCTCTATCCATCTTCTATCCGCCTCCCCCTCTCTCCCTATTTATTTCAGAACCCTCTTCCCCTCCCCCATTTCTGAAGAAGGGTCTAGGCCCCAAATGTCAGCCTTTCTGTTCCTCTGATGCTGCTTGGCCTGCTGTGTTCATCCAGCTCTACACCTTGTTATCTGTAGTTACACACTGTTGGCACTGTACTTCAGACCCCAAAGCTGTCAATTTGAAGAAAGTAAAGCAAATATATACAAATGGCTGATAAAGAAATAATATTGCAAAAATTGAAGGATTTTGTTTTCTTTAATCATTAATGGGATGAGGCTGTTGCTGGCTACACAGCATTTATTGCCCATCCCTAATTACCCAGAGGGCTGTTCAGAGTCAACCACATTGCTGTCGTGCTGCAGTACTGATTTGTAGTACCGTAATATTAACTGGCATGAAGTTAGCCAGAAAGGTGCAGAGAACGAAGAATTCTTAAAGTGCACCAGGAAAACTACTTTTTTCCACAATGAAACAAGCCCAAGAAGAAGAGAGGAATTTTAGTTTTAGTTTAAGAACTAAAGCTGCACAAGTGAAAGGAATATCAGCAGGGGACTATTTTGGTGGTAGCGGTCATAATTTAGATTTAATTAGCTGTGATAAAGAACAAAGACCAGATATTAGTTTTAAATCAAGAAAAGGCCTACGTATTTCTAAGAGGTGATTTGGCAAAAGTAAACAAAGAAAGACTACTTCAAAGATAAATTTGTGTCCAAGTTTTGGGAGGCATTCCGGGAAGCAATAAAGAGCTTTCAAAAGAAATATGTTCCCAGAAAGAAAACATTTGGACTTCTGTCTATTGACGTTGATTTGGAGAACTGCTAATGTTGTATCATTGTTTTAAGAAGGAAGGTCGAATTAGACTGAGTAATGACTAGTCACATAACCCTAATGAAAAAATTTTTGGAAAATATTTTATTTTGAAGGATAGTGTGATTCACCATTTAGAAATAGATGAGTGCAACACTAACAATACTTGAGGCTCAGCATCTTGTTAAACAGGTGGGTTGCTGAGAATCACCTCCCCATCTGCCACCTTTTTAAATATTTACTCCATGCACTATCCCTACATAGCGATTGCAGTGTGTACCATGCACTATCACAACTTGAACTCATCAAGGCAAATGGGAAAACTGCTTTGTGTTTTATGATGTTGGACAAACTTTGAAAAGATGAGACTATTGTTTGCTCCGGAGATCCTGTCACCATAGAATCCCTATAGTGTGGAAGCAGGCCATCAACCTTTCAAGTCCTCAGGGACCCTCCAAAGAGCATCCCACCTAGACCCTATCCCTGTAACCTTGCATTTCCTATGGCTAATGCACCTAGCCTGCACATGCCTGGACATGAGGCTGCTTCAGTTAAGCTTCTGAAGTAACCTCACCACAATGTTCCCTCCCCACCAACTCCAACCCAACTCCACCTTGGATGTGGATTTTGGGTGATTTCGGAGTGCTAAAGCTGATAAATAGCAAAAGTAGATGGTTAGATTATTCTGTCAAGTTAGCTGGTTACTGCCTGGCATTTCTGAGATGCTTATCAGCCCAAGCCAGAAGGTTAGCCAGGTCTTGCTGCATGCAGACAATGACTGCTTCACTGTCGGCGTGTTGTGAATGGATTAAATACTGCAATTACCTGTGAAAATCCTCACTCTGACCTTGCAATACTGAAATTCAGAATGTGTTCCTGTCTCTATAATTTTATATTGTCATAATGGTTTCCCATGTCAAGTTTTGTGCTCATTTAAATATGAAAAGCAATGCAACTTAGTTTATAATTATCAATACCTTAAAATTAAAATTCTACTGAATAAATTAACATCACAGAATGCCAATTTTTGGCATTATTTAGCTCTTTTTAAAAGACTTGGGTGTTTTCTTGCCATCTTTCAGATTTCTAAAATTAGATCTTTGATAGGTCTTCATCACTGAGCATATGCCACAATATTTCTTGTGGGTTAAAATCTGTGTAATCTGACCTGAAAATATCAAAATCCAATTGCTATTTGATAAACAAAATAATCCCAGGATTATTTTTGCTAAATATTTGTACAGTATTAATCTCATTAAATTTTCCTAGCTATTGCACTTAAGTTTTTGTTTTAGCTTACAGTTATGAAATATGGACGGGATTAAGAAGTGACCAGTTCCCAGCTTTGTTCAAGTGGTCAGATGGATCTCCTGTGACCTTCACTTACTGGGACCAGGCTCAACCTAATATCCCCTATAACACTACGAAGCACTGTGTATCCTATGTGGGAAAGGCAAGTAAATGACTAATTACTCCTATGTTCTCTAGTCTGAGTGCATTTCTTTCGTTCATGAATAGACTGTTAAAGCTTTATTTTAAATCTTGGTTAAAAAGCAAATGCTAACTATCCTAACATCACCAATGAGGCCTCCGAGATTTTGGCTTGCCCATGTCTTCTCTGCATGTCCTAGAGGCAGTTTATTTGCTTGAACCATCAACAATAATTTCCCTTCTTCCCTCCTCTTGTGCAGTCCGAGGGGATTGTTGCCTTCAACAGATCACAGACTTCACGTGGGGCCTTCCATGAGCTGGGCACTGAAAGGGCTAGTATGAATAATGGATAGAGTAAATCTTACTTGGTGCAAGTTTCTTTTAATAAAAAAGGAAACATTTTTGCTGATATTTACTTTATTTGGATTGATTATATTCAGCAAACCAGCATCTCCTCCTTTTATAGATTAACAACAAAGAAATAGTATACCCTTCTAGACCCCCCAGATATTTGTTTGCCTTCCCTTTGTATCTTCCCATGTGAGTGTAATAGAAGCAGCTGATTTGTGGCCCATTGTGACAACAGCTAGCTGATTTCCTACATCCATCCTAAGAAGTAGCCCAGCTTAAACAGTGGTGAAAACCTTGGCTCTGTCAGCCATTATCTTATCAGAAAGCTATATAAGCCTCGGTTTAGTGATGCTTCTTTAGGCTCAGTGGTAATTCTGCCATACTAGCAGACGAATCCAGGACAGTTGAGTGTTGTACTTTGCCTTCTCCATTACTTTGAGGCTGCGCTTGAAGTTGTAACATTTTTTGGTTGTGTGGATGTAATGGTCAATTTTCTGTTCCAGCTGTGTCTAACACCTTATGATTTAGTTTTGTATGTATAATGCCAATCATCTGACAAGTAGTCTCTGCATATTCCCAGCCCATATTAAGGACTGGAGAATATTAGCATGATAACAAGATGGAACTCATGCATAAAGCTAATCCAGCCGCTCTGTATCGCTGATCCAGATGGCCCCCAGGACTCTAAGAAGGGCTACAATAGGAGGGAAAGTGTGTGTAAGTTATCCTGACTTAGAAGTATATCACTGTTCGTTCAGTATCACTGGGTCAAAATCCTAAAACACTCTCTCTAATGTAAGTCTACCCACAGAAAATGGACTGCAGCAGTTCGGGAAGGCAGCTCACGACCACCTTCTCAAGATCATCTAGGGATGGACAATAAATGCGACTTGAGCTAGTGACATCCCCATTCTAGGAAACAAATGAAACAGAAAATGCTGTCTGATTTATGGAGCTTGGAGAAGAACTCCAGCTCGCTATGACCCCTCAATTTGTTCTTGTAGTTTACTTTGAGCTGTAAACACCAGTTGCCAACAGAAGAATTTGCCTTTAAGATCCTCTTTGGCAGAATATACGGTGCTGAATGTCGTAAGATTTAGATCAAATATCATAAGACCCCAGTTAACATTTTAAATGAGCCTCCTGTATGAACAAGCTGCCTGGTTTAAAAAAAAACTCCGAGGAACCTTGATGCAATGGAGTGACGGTGAAAGCCTGGTGGTTCATCCTTTTGCCCAGTATTGAAGCACCAGTGTACATTTCTGTTATGTGTTCCGCTTGGAAATTCAGCCTGTAGAATATAAACAAAAATAATTACCATGTGGATTAAAAAGTTTACTGCCAATGATTGTTGCAAGTGGCTGAGCAACCTGATAATTACTTGAATTCTTTTTGTAAAATCTATGTTTAACCTTGTGGAAAACACTTGGAGAAAACAGAATGGCTATGAGATTTAACGTGGCAGGCAGATATAAGTTTGGTCACCATTAATAATCCAATGAAGATGGTTTCTACTTTTGCAACTAAAGTTTTCAATGGAAACAGGTGTAAAACAGGTTAAAAAGGAACGGTTTCAGGAACAGCTTTTGGCTGAAAACACTCAATGTGAAATTGGATAACACAATATTTATTGAGTATCTGTAGTGGACCTCTTGCAAATGCTAGTCGAATTAAATGAACTAAAAATAGATAAACACCTGGACCCAGTCATCTATTTTGAGTGTGTTGAAAGAGATGGCTGTTGAGACTGTAGATGCATTGGTCATTTTTCAAAATTCTCAGGTCTGGTTCCTGCAGATTAGAAGGTAGCAAATGTAACCCCACATTTTAAGAAGGAAAAGACGGATGAACAGACCTGTTAGCCTAAATTCAATTATCAGAAAATTGCTAGAATCTGTAGCAAAGGATGTGACAACAGAACATTCTGGAAAAAATAATGGTAGGATTGAGCACAGTCATCATAGATTTGTGAAAGTTAAACCATGTTTAACAAACTTGGAGTTCTGAGGATATAACTATCAGAATAGATGAAAGGGAACTGGTGGATGTGTATCTTTAGATTTTCAAAGCTTTGCATTAGGTCTGACACAAGACGTTAACAAGCAAAATTAGAACAAAGGGATTGAGGAAATATACTGGCATGGAATGAGAACTGTTTAATAGACAGAAACATTAGAAATAAATGGGTCATTTTCAGATTGGCAACCTGTGACTCGTGGGGCCCATGAGTATCAGTGTTTAGGACCCCAGCTATTCACAAGCTATCAATCATTTGGATGTGGGGATTAAATTAATATTTCCAAGTTTGCAGATGATACTAAACTAGAATTAAGAAAGAGTTGTGAGGAGGATGCAAGGATACTTCAAGGAAATTTGGAGAGGTTAAATACATGAGTGAGCAAAAATTTGACACATAGAATTCAATACTGAGAAATGTGAGGTAATCCACTTCAGTCAAAAATACGTAAATATTGTATTACTTCAATGGTAGGAAGCTGGAAAATGTTGAACTTCAAAAGGCTTTGGATGTCCTTGTAAAGAGACATTAATTTGCAGATGCAGCAAGCAACGAAGGCAAATAGTGCATTGGTCTTTATTGCAGGAGGGTTTGTGTTTAGGAGTCTTACTGTTATATAAGGCCTTAGTGAGACCACACCTCTGGAGTTTGAGTGCAGGTTTGGATGCCTTACCAAGGAAGTATATGTTTGCCATAGAGGGAGTGTATTCAAGAGTCACTAAATGAATTCTTGGTAAAATGGGATTATCCTATAAGGAAAGATTAGAAAGAACAGGTCTTTATTCTCTGAATTTTACAGATTAAGAATGGTCTTAAACAAACATACAACACATTAAAAGGATCACCAGTGTAAAAGAAGAAAAGGTGTTTCCCCTGGCTGAGGGAGCCTAGAACCAGGAGATAGTCGAGGAAATAGTGTTGAAGTAGAATATCAGCCATGATCTCACTGGTGGAGCCGTCTCAAAGGGCTGCAAGGTCTACTCTGTATCTATTTCTTACACTCTGAGGGGCTGACTGATATTTTGGGACCCTTAGCAGAAATGATTGTGATGTTCTTCACTATTTAAATTTTAGGGAATGTAAATACAGTAACATAACACAAAACAATGAAAAGCTTTCAAAGAAAACAACCAAAACAAATTAAGAGTAATCCCTTCAAGGGTCTTATTGAATCTATGATACCATAATTCTATAGAATCCTAATTCTGTAGAATTTTGTCTTTCACATACTTATTGCTGCTGAAGATATTGCATCCTGTTGCTTAACTTTAAAAGAAAATTTAATTGTTTTGCTATTGAAGTATTCATTTTTAAGTGTGCCTGTTGAATTATAGCATAACTCAAATTTAGTGTTCATTGGTTTCACATCTCACTTCAGACAGAGGCATGAACATATGGTACATGAAAGTGTCAGAATGGTGTCAGTGGAGGAACTGCACTATGGGAGCTTCATCCCTTGACATTAAACTCTTCCATGACACTATCTGAAGAAGAACACAAGTTCTCATTGATGTCTTGACCAATACGTGTTCCTTAACAAATATTCTAAGAACAGATTACCCAGTCATAATCAGGTGACTAGTATTGAGATTGTGTGTGTGAAGATTGATTGCTGTAGTTCCTACATTAAAACAAAAAATATAGAGTATTTAATTGGCTGTAGATTACGTTGGGATACCCTGAAGTATAAGTCATTCGCAATTGTAAATTCTTCCATGATATGGTCTGTTATAGTTGGACAATGTGAAGTCTGTTCTTCTTTAATTCTTCGCGGAATGTGGGCACTGCTGGCCTAGCCATCCTTGAGAGGTGGTAATGAGCTGTCTTCTTGAACCGCTGCAGCCTGTGTGCTGTGAGTAGACACGCAATATCATTAGGGAGGAAGTTCAAAGATTTTGACCAGCAACACTGAAGAAATAATGATATATTTCTAGGTTAGAATGGTGAGTGGCTTGGAGGGGAACTTGAAGATGGTGGTTAAAATCCATTCAGAGATAGTAGGAACTGCCGATGCTGGAGAATCTGAGATAACAAGGTGTAGAGCCGGATGAACACAGCAGGCCAAGCAGCATCAGAGGAGCAGGAAAGCTGAGGTTTCGGGTCTAGACCCTTCTTCAGAAATGGGGGGGTGGAAGGGGATTTTGAAATAAATGGAGAGAGAGGGGGAGGCAGATGAAAGATGGATAAAGGAGCAGATAGGTGGAAGGGAGACGGACAGGTCAAGGAGGCGGGGATGGAGCCGGTAAAGGTGAGTATAAGTGGGGAGGTAGGGTGGGGGTTGGTCAGTCCAGGGAAGATGGTCAGGTCAAGGAGGTGGGGATGAGGTGGGAGGAGTGGATAGGTTGGAGAAAGGACAGACAGGTTAGGGAGGCGGGGACGAGCTGGGCTGGTTTTGGGATGCGGTCAGGGGCGGGGAGATTCTGAAGCTTGTGAAGTCCACATTGATACCATTGGGCTGCAGGGCTCCCAAGCAAAATATGAGGTGCTGTTCCTGCAACCTTCAGGTGGCATCGTTGTGTCACTGGAGGAGGCCCAGTTTGGACATGTCGTCCAAGGAGTGGGAGGGGGAGTTGAAGTGGTTTGCGACTGGGAGGTGCAGTCGGTTGTTGCGAACCGAGCATAGGTGTTCCACAAAGCAGTTTCCAAGCCTCTGCTTGGTTTCCCCGATGTAGAGGAGGCCACATTGGGAACAGCGGATACAGTATACCACATTAGCAGATGTGCAGGTGAACATCTGTTTGATGTGGAAGGTCTTCTTGGGGCCTGGGATGGGGGTGAGCGGGAAGGTGTAGGGGCAGGTGTAGCACTTCCTGCGATTGCAGGTTGCAGTCCCGTTGTGGCCTCCTCTACATCGGGGAAACCAAGCAGAGGCTTGGAGAGCGCTTTGTGGAACTCATCCCTCACACCCCCTCCCTGCAATAACAACCAAAACAGAATCCCCCTTGTCCTCACGTACCACCCCACCAACCTCCGGATCCAACGCATCATCCTCCGGCACTTCTGCCATCTGCAATCCGACCCCACCAGCAAAGACATTTTTCCCTCCCCCCCCTTATCTGCTTTCCGGAGGGACCACTCTCTCTGTGACTCCCTTGTCCGCTCCACACTCCCCACCAGCCCCACCACACCCGGCACTTTTCCCTGCAACCGCAGGAAGTGCTACACCTGCCCCTACACCTCCCCCCTCACCCCCATCCCAGGCCCCAAGAAGACCTTCCATATTAAACACATGTTCACCTGCACATCTGCTAATGTGGTAGATTGTATCCGCTGTTCCCGTTGTGGCCCCCTCTACATCAGGGAAACCAGGCGGAGGCTTGGAGACCACTTGTGGAACACCTATGCTCGGTTCACGACAACTGACTGCACCTCCCAGCCGCGAATCACTTCAACTCCCCCTCCCACTCTTCGGACAACATGACAATCCTGGGCCTCCTCCAGTGCCACAACGATGCCACCCAAAGGTTGCAGGAACAGCACCTCATATTTTGCTTGGGAACCCTGCAGCCCAATGATGTCAATGTGGACTTCACAAGCTTCAAAATCTCCCCGCCCCCGACCGCATCCAAAACCACCCAGCTCGTCCCCGCCTCCCTAACCTGTCTGTCCTTTCTCCAACCTATCCACTCCTTCCACCTCAACCCCCAGCCCCACCTCTTACCTACCAGCCTCATCCCTGCCTCCTTGACCTGTCCGTCTTCCCTGGACTGACCAACCCCTACCCTAACTCCCCACCTACACTCACCTTTACTGGCTCCATCCCCGCCTCCTTGACCAGTCGGTCTCGTCTCCACCTATCTGCTCCTTTTATCCATCTTCCATCCGCCTCCACCTCTCTCTCTATTTATTTCAGAATCCCCTTCCCCTCCCCCACTTCTGAAGAAGGGTCCAGACCCGAAACGTCAGCCTTCCTGCTCCTCTGATGCTGCTTGGCCTGCTGTGTTCATCCAGCTCTACACCTTGTTATATCTGAAGATGGTGGTGTTTGGAATGCATGTGTTGCCGTTGTTCTTCTGGATCAAAGTGGTTGTGAGTTCAGAAGGTGCAGCCTAAGAGTTCTAAGAAAGTTTTTTTAGAACTAAAATCAGCAAACAATTAACTTTCATCCTTGATGTAGTCAATTCAGTCTATTCACTGAACAATGCATTGAATAATGTCTGACTGAATTGCATCTTTTTTATTTTTACCCCATTAGTCTGTCCATTCCATTTCATTAGATACATTTATGTGCCAGCATCCTGTGTTTATAAGCTGATGAATCATGGCTTTGTAGTTGTATCTCTATTCTTCAGATTTTGATCATGTATAGATGGTAAAACTTCTGAATTTTCTGAACCCACAGTTGGGTCGATGGAAGTTTGCAGAATGTAACAGCAAGCTATCATTTGTATGTAAGAAACAAGGCAAGACCTTGAATGAAACAGACCTGTCTGATGTCGGATGCCCTCAAGACAAGGTAATTGTTTTCTCTTATTGTAACTCATGCTGTGCCTATCTGATTCTTTTAGGTTAGTTTTGAAATGTTCTTTTTAGTTATGGCTTTAAACCTAGGTTAAATTGAAGTGGAACTTTTGCTCTTCAGACATATCAGCTGTGGTCAGTATTATGAAGTTTGTTTATTTTACCTAAAATCAGCTAACAATTCAATTTCATCCTTGGTATAAACAATTCAGTCTGTTACTGACCAATATAGAACCTTAGCTGTGATGGAGAGTCCCAACCCGAAACATCGACTTTCCTGCTCCTCTGATGCTGCCTGACCTGCTATGTTCCTGCTCCACACTGTATCAACAATATATTGAATAATGTTTGACTGGCAACTTTTTATTAACTGATTAGTCTATCTCGCACCATTTCATTAGATGCATTTATGTACCAGCATCCTGGGTTTCTGGGCTGGTGAGTCATAACTTAGTGTTTGTATCTTCGTTCTTTAGGTTTTGATCTTTTAAGATGTGTTGAGTAAAGTCTTAGAACAAAGTTACATTAATCTATTCTTGATGCGAGGTTACAGCAATTAAGAATGGGGAGAAAATTTACAATGTCAGCATTTTTCAAATTAATTTACTATAAATCTATAGGGCTTTATGGTAAATAAATACTTGCTAATATGACCATTTCTATTATGATGCATAAAGTATGAACCATTAAGACCATTTAAAAAAAATACTGTGATACATCCTTGACTCTTAAAGGTTGAACCAATTAAATCTTCTTCCTTTTTAAGAGCTGGAGAAGGCATGGTAACTACTGCTACAAACTTGATTTAACAGAAGCCGGGTTTGAATCAAAATGTCATCTTACAATACAAAACAGGTACATAAATTTTTGTAAATTATTTTCTACTTTTTAGGAGATCGTTGCAGTTTAAGATCATTCTCATACAACCACAATATTGGAGTATGTCAAAGCTTTAACTTGTTTTAAGAATAGTATAACTTGTTTCAATTGGTAATATTAAGGAATGTACTCTTTTAAGGTTCTGTTTGCACTGTCAGCTCCCCAGATGTTGTATAAAAAATTCTCTCATCCTAAATATTAGCATCTATCTCCCAAGTTCTATACTACTTGACACACCAAGGGAACATAATGTGACAAGTGAAAATATGCTTTCTGATCCAGTTGCAGAGCAGACTAATGCTCCAGAACTTACAGATCCCCTAGCCAAGCTCTTCCAGTACAGTCACAAGCCTGGCATCTACCTGACAATGTGGAAAGTTGTGCAGGTGTATCCTGTACGCAAGACAGGACAAATCCAACCAATTACCACCCTATCTGTCCACTCTCTAGTAAAGTGATGGAAAGTGTTATCAACGGTTCTATCAAGCAACACCTGCTCAGTGATGCCCAGTTTGAGTACCACGAGGGATAGTCAGCTGCTAACCTTATTACAGCCTTGGCTCAACCATGTACAAAAGAGCTGAATTCCAGAGCTGAGGTGAGAATGACAGCCTCTTGATGTCAAGGCCGTGTTCAACTGAGTGTGGCATCAAGAGGCCAAGCAAAACTGGAATCAATGGGTATTGAGGGCAGACTGTCCACTGGTTGGAGTCATACCTGATACATAAGAAGATGGTCGTGGTTGTTGGAGATAAGTCACCTCAGCTCCAGGACATCTCTGCAGGTGTTTCTCAGTGTTGTGTCCTAAGCCCAACCGTCTTCAGCTGCTTCATCAATGACCTTTCCTCCATCGTAAGGTCAGGAATGGGGATGTTCGCTGATGATTTCACCACTTGTGACTCCTCAGATACTGAGCAGTCCATGTTCCAATGCAACAAGATCAGAACAGTATTCAGGCTTGGGGTGACAAGTGGCAAGTAACATTCAAACCACAAAAAATGCTAGTCAATGACAACCTCTAATAAGAAACAATCTAGCCACCATCCCTCGACATGCAATGGTGTTACTATCACCGAAAGCCCAACCATCACGTTCTGGGGGAGTTAGCATAGACTAGAAACTCAACTGGACTCACAACATAACTACACTGACTACAAGAGCAGGTCAGAGGCTGTAAATACTGCAGCAAGTAACTCACGACCTGACTTCCCAAAGCCTGGCCAGTATTTACAGGGTGCAAGTCAGGAGTGTGATGGAATACTGCCCACTTGTCTGGATGAGTGCAAGTCCAATAACACTCAAGAAGCTTGACAGGTTTCAGGATAAAGTAGCCTGCTTGATTTGGCACCACATCCATAAGCATCCACTACCTTAGTCACAGCAGTGTGTACTGTCTACAAGATGGATTGCAGAAATTGATGAAAAATCTTTAGACAGCACTTTCCAAACCCATGATCATTAGAAAGACAAAGGCAGTAGTTACATGTGAAAACCACAACCTGCAAGTTCCCCTCCGTCACTCACCATCCTGACTTGGAAATATATTGGCCTTCCTTTACTTTGCTGGGTCAAAATCCTAGAATTCCATCGCTAAGGAGATTGTGGGTTTACCTGCAGCACATGGACTGCAGCAGTTCAAGAAGGCAGCTCACTACTACCTTCTCCAGGGTGACCAGGGATGGGCAATAAATACTGGCCAACCAGCAATGTCCATGTCCCTTGAGTGACTAATAAAAAAACACAAAAAAACTAGACATGCAAAGTGAATTACTACATTGATTTTCTTTCTGCTGATGTTTCCCTCCTAATGCAAAGCGAAAAGCCCAACTCCATTGTCATCAATCAAGATGAGACGGCATAATTTCAGAATTTAAATAATGTTACACATTATTTCTACCCCCTACCCCATTCATGATCATAGAATGACATTGTCAAGTTCAGCCTGACCACGAGAACAAAATATTGATACTCTTTCGGTAAATTAACATCCGTGCCAACAGGAAGTGCTAATGTAAAAGAAAATTCTCTGAATATGCTGATTCTAATTAAAACAAAAGTCGAAAGTTTTTTGCTTAGAGGTTTAGGACATTTTATGTTAAAGTTTTTTTTAAAATGTTCAGTTTTGTATGAAAGCTCACATTTTTACCCTTATCACTAGTTCCCCAGAATGACATTGTCAAATTTCCTGAATGAGGCACATGCCCTGCTATTTTGGCACTGTGAGCAACGATCCTTGGCTTTGGCAAGAGTAGACCGTTTAGAAACTTTAGAATTCACAAAGATATGCAATGTTAAATTTATTTTCCTCATTTCCACACTACCTGTGCAGGTGCCCAATTCCTGTTTGGCATTTCCCTGCAGCAGTACAGTTCAGGTCAATGACTCAACAAACCAAAGGATCAAGACTATATCTTGAGTTTGATGCTTCTGACGTTCCAGTGTGTTGTCACTACATCAGTTTTTATTTCTTAGTACCTGATCGTTTATCCTGCTCATGGATATAGTCTGTTATCTGTGGCAGAGCTGTGATGTTAAAATGCTAATGTAGCCTATTCCTTCAAGGTTCCTGTACAGGCACAACCCATGGTTAAGTGGCCTACAGTATACTTTAATTTTAATTCCCTTAACAGAATCAGAATTTAACCTCATTATTCCCACTTTGCTATTTATGTGTATTGCTTAGAAATGGCATAAAATGGCAATGTAAGCACTATTGCAAATTTCTCTAGATTTACGGCTGCTTGGCTCCCCTCCTGAGGTGAGGTTAAGATTTGAAAAAGCACAGGACAAAACTGGCTTTATTTCTGTATGTTTAATCTAAAGGATGCTTCAGTTATGATTTGTTGTTCCGTATAAAGATGTGATGGATATGTTAAACACAAGACTTATGTTTGGGAAGCTAGCATTGTAGCTGTTCTCCATATCATAAGCAACACATTATGCTTTGTACATAAATAATTTTGCACCCACTTGGATTATTTTGTATCTTCCATGAATGGTAATTGGTCACTGTTTCAGTGACTTTGAAAAGACATATAAAGCTGTGCTGTAGGATGAATAACTGTTGAATATTTCATCATTTTCTGTGGTGCGGGAGATCCACGTTGAGAGCGGAGATTGAGTGAAAATTTTTGAAAATTCTTCTTAGGATCCAATATCTCACCATTATTAGGTGCATCACATTTGTGCACATATCCACTACAACCCTAAAAGAGGGTGTACCATAGTAATTATTTTACTGAACATCAGTCTGGTTGAACTAATCATCTGAAAATGTGAATTTGAATCCCCACACTTCAGCTGTAGAATTTAAGTTCATTTAATTAAGTAAAGCTGGATTTTTTTTTATAAAAGCTAGTATCTGTCATGGTGATGTGAAAGTACTGAATTATTATCAAAAACTTATTTGCTTGACTAATATCCCTTAGAAGAAAGGAAATCAGTTATCTTTGCCCAATCAGATAGTTATAACCTGCAGATATCCAGTTCATAATTCATGTGTTTAGAATATAAACTTTGGTTGGAAGTTTAAGTGTTAAAAATAAGATGGATAGAAAAGTCTAGTTTAGAAGCTGATAATGTAAAAGCAGATGAAACAAGCCTAATTAAAAGGTGGCCTGTATTTAATTTATAAGGTCAGAGGTGAAAGTGGAAAGCAAAAATGAGTGATTGACCTCTGGTTCTTTTAGTGGAACCAGGAAGGCTGGAAAGAGGGCAATTACATCAATCTTTTAAAAAATCATTCACATGAGCTTCAGAATTACAGAGTTGTGTTGAAGGTAAAATAATTTGTTTATATTTCTGGCTGACACCATCTCGCAGCATGTCACATTGTCAAAGAGATTGGCTGTGGAGTTAAGAGGATCATTTGTTTAGTTTACCTCTGTGTTTGCTGACAGAAGTAGGAAGATCAAACTGAAAACAGACCAAAGGCAGTTACTCTTGTAGCAGTCAGTCAGCTTGGAACAGGTGTCAAGAAATCTTCTGCCAGGTGTCAAGGCATGAGTCTAGCAACCATATAGAAGCTAAGGAGCATAGAAGCCTAAGGAGAGTTTGTGATTTCTAAATTCCTAAGCAAGGGGCAGTTGCAGTTTTGCTTTGCTGTGGACTGAATCTCGCTGAGAGAACCAACAGGAGTTGATTGTTAGTCAGGCCTGAACTTGAAGCAAAAAAGTTACTAATTTCATCATTCACCACAGTTTAGATTTTGTAAAAGCAACTGGAAGATTTGGCAACTTTGTAGCTGGAGGATGAAATCTACAATGATCTTCAAAGTCGTGTGGCAGAATGCCGTCAATAGAGTTAGCTTGTAAAGCAAAAGAACGCAGTTGAGTATCTGTGGGCAATTAGAACAAGAAACTGATGGATCCACAGACATGAGGTATTAAATAAATCCTGGAGTTTCACTTGGCCAAGAAGCTGTTAGGATTCCCCAACTTTTAGTCCAGAGAGTAGCTGAAATACTGAGGTGAATTAAAGTAAATTCCTGAAGGCTGTAACATCATTTGGGGTTGATAACTAAATAAGTGTATGAACCTTTAAGATTGCTGTGATATATACTGAGGCAGGGTGGAGGCTTAAGAAAAATAGAACCGAGTTTAAAGCAGAAGTAATTATAAATTATAGTGTTGAGTACATGGTGTGTTTTAATTCTTGTATACAATAATGTTTTGGGTTTTTTGTCTAAAAAATGTGAAGTCTTGTGGTGTACTTCTGTTGCTTGATTGGCTGTTCAGATTTCTATTTCTAACATTTAACTGTCCCAAACTCTAGACTTCCAGCGATTTTGTTGATTCGAAATGCCTCCCCTTGGAAATAGTTGTATTCAAGAGGGTAACTTGCCTCCACCTTCTCAGAGCAATAAATGCTTGCCTTATCAGTGACATCTGTATTTTGTTAAAATAAAATTTTAACATTTTAACACCCCGTGGGGTGGCACATTGGCTCAATGGTTAGCACTGCTGCCTCACAGCGCCAGGAGCCCGGGTTCGATTCCACCTTCGGGCGACTGTGTCTGCGTGGGTTTCCTTCAGGTGCTCCGGTTTCCTCCAAAGACAGTCCAGAGATGTGCAGGGTAGGTGGATTGGCCATGTTAAATTGCCCATCGTGCTGAGAGATGTGTAGATTAAGTGGGTTATATGGGGGATGGGTCTGGGTGGGATGCTCCGAGGGTCGATGTGGACTTGTTGGGCTGAAGGGCCTCTTTCCACACTATAGGGATTCTATGATCTTCTAAGATGATGATAAAATTATTAATTCACAAATTCTCTTATCAGACGTGTACTCTCCATAGAATATTAAGTGTTTACCATAACTGCAGTAAAATTTGGAAAATACCCTTTTTGTGTTGTGTCTCCTCAGTTTAAAAAGTGTAATTGGTTTCTCTACAGTAAAGTGAATGACTTTGACTTTGTGTTTTCTCTCTAAACTGCAGGTTTGAACAAGAATTTATTAACAGTCTGATTGCAAAACATACAACAGAAAATGGCAAATACTTCTGGACTAGTTTTCAGGATAGAAATGGCACTGGAGAGTACACATGGTTTACTACATCCAAGGAGAAAGAGCCTGTAACATATACAAATTGGAATGCATATCAGCCAGGTAGGTACTTACAGTATCCCTGACTCTAAAAACACCCAAGTATTCCATCTGTTTGCTGTTGAGACAAAAAATTTCCAGGTCCTACCCCATAGCTCAGCTGGTAAATGTCTCTCTAATTTAGAACAGAACCATATAGATCAAGAACATCCCAGTTATATCCTCTCTCTGCATTGAGTTGGAATATCTTAAGCGGGGTTGGGGGGAGCAGCAGTTTGGGGCTTGGGATGCGAAGGGCTACATTTAGCCTCAATCGCTTGAGCTATAACTGGCTAATGCCCGCTTTCCATGACTACAGTTCACTTATTTGAATTGATGGAAGTGGATCATCAGACAACAACAGGATTGAATTCTTTGTGCTGCTTGCAGAATCAAAGAGCTTGTTGGCAATCTCTGCCAAGTACCCTTGGGATTGAAAGCCAATGAACATGACTTGTCCTTGAACTGGTTTATACTAAAGGGAAGTTGCACATGGTTGGCCTCACTGTCTCCAGTGATCTATCTTGGTCTAGTGGCAAACCGAGTTTCAAAGACTGGAGCTGGATACAGATGCAATGGTCAACCACAATGTTTTCTATGTCTTATTGAAGTCTGCATGTTCCAGAACATGGTGCTGACTGCTTTCCATTGGATCTTTCAATTGGTCTCATCTGCCTAATTTGCTGGAATCGGTGTTCCTGTGCCAGGGTAGGGAAATCCTTAAATTGCTGTTTGGTGATATACTAGGGTGTGACTGCTGTATACTTTAACAGACTTGGGAGCTTAGGATTCTCTGAAGGTTGACATGCAGGTCCAGATAGCAATTAGGAAGGTAAATGCAATGTTAGCGTTCGTTTTGATGGGCTAGGATATAAATGCAAGGATGCACTGCTGAGGCTGTATAAGGCTCTGGTCAGACCACATTTGGAATATTATGAGCAGTTTTGGATCCCATATCTAAGGAAGACTGTGCTGGCCTTGGAGGAGGTCCAGAGGAGGTTTACAACAACTGATCCCAGAGATAAAGAGTTTGTCATACGAACAGCGGTTTGGGACTCTGGATCTGTCCTCAACGAGTTTAGAAGGATGAGGGGGTTCTGATTAAAATGTACAGAACACAGAGAGCTGGATAAAGTGTATGTGGAGAAGATGTTTTCACTAGTAAAAGAGACTAGAACTGAGAGCACAGCCTCCAAGTGAAGGGACAACCCTTTAGAATTGAGATGGGGAGGAATTTCTTTAGCCAGAGGGTGGTGGATCTGTGTAACTCATTGCCACAGAAGGTTGTAGAGATAAGTAATTGAGTGGATTTAAGACAGAGATAGATCCTTGATTAGTAAGGGGATCAAAGGTTACAAGGAGAAGGCAGGAGGATGGGGTTGAGAAACACATCAATCATGATTTGAACGGCCTAATTCTACGCTATCTTATGGGTGCTGTCACACTGCCAGATGAGATCTCACTGGTGAGGACCAATAGAAGACAAAACACAGAGTGCGGAAAGCCCGGAGAGGTTCTACTTCTCCATTACACACCTTGCGTACAACAACTTTAGCCAGAATTGGCATCAAGAAAATTTGTTTTGGTATGCTCCTGGAACCCTCCTATTTGGGCTCAATGTTTCAGTCCATTACTGGAACCTGATGGGAGCAGATAAGTTAAGATGTCTTGGCAGCACATTCTTGCAAGCTATCTGCATTGATAATGAAAAATATGCAAGAATTCTAAAATTGCATTTAATGTTTGACAGCCTTTAAGCATTGGAAATAAAGCAAAGCAAGTGTGCCTACCAAAGTGAAAGCCTATAAATGTGCTGGTCATTCCCACTCATATATACAGTCACTGGTATACAGACTGCCACTTCAACTGCTGTCAGAAGTTTCTGAAGATCAGATGGTAGGAGGAAATGAGACTTGAGCTGGAATGTCAAGAAAGCATCCATGCCATGTTGAGATGGTTACAGCTGAGTTGGCCTGGTCATGTAGCAAGAAAGTTTGCTATTCATTTACTAAAGTGAATCTTGTATGGAGAGCTTGTATGAGTTGTAATCTCATAGTGGTCAATGGAAACGCTACAGGGAACTGAAGGTTTCACTTCAAGTCCTGTGAGAAGCCTGTCCAAATGTCTGTACCTGATGCAACCAATTTAAAAAAGCTGTCATAAGTTCCCTCAAAAGCAAGTACATATCAAAGGTATAGAAAAAAAAATGCAAGTAGAGAGATTCTGAGCAGCAACTCCTCGAAATCTCAATTGCATGTAATACCCGGTCCTTTTTACAACAAAATGTTTTGGCTATAGATCTGCCTTAACAGTCACTATGTACCCATTTGACCTCTACCAAATACCTCGAAGGGCGAACAATACCTTGAGGAGCGACACAAACAAGAATGTGATTTAGTCCTTTGAAGAAAGGAAGAAAAATTAGACTGCTGAAATGTGACTTTGAGCTGAGATATTTTTCCTTGGTAACACTACAGATTATCATTGTGCAATCAGATAAGCCTGTTTTAAAATAGTTATCCAAAATATTTGACGGACTTTGAGGAAAGCTGTTCTTTTTCAAACAGGTAATTATAATTTTGTATAACGGGCAGCACAGTGGCTCAGTGGTTAGCATTGCTGCCTCACAGCACCAGGGACCCGGATTCAATTTCACTTTTAGACAACTAACTGTCTGCGGGGAGTGCTCCAGTTTCTTCCCACAGTCCCAACGATGTGCAGGTTGGGTGGATTGGCCATGGGAAATGCAGGGTTACGGGGATAAGGTAGGGGGACTGGGGCTGGGTGGAATGCTCTTCAGAGGTTTGGTGTGGACTCAATGAGTCATATGGCCTGCTTCTGCACTGTAGGGATTTTATGAAAATGAAGTGTCATTTAGCCATACTCTGTTATCTAGACTGCAAGACAGGGGATGCAATGCTTTAATGCTATTATCAATAGACTATTAAACCAGGTAATATTCTGGAAGCCTTGGTTCGAATCTCAGTGTGGGAGAAGGTGGAATTTAAATTCAATAATTTAGACTCTTAGTTCTAGAGATGTCAATTGTCAGGAAGAACTCACCTGGTTCACTAATATCCTTTATGTAAATGCCATTCTTACCTGATCTGGCCCACGTGTGACTCCAGACCTGCAACAATGTTGTTAAATCTCATCTGCCCTATGAGTAATAATAGCTGGCTTAGTCTGCAACCTCCAATGAAGTTTTAAAACCAATCTCTGTAGATGTTTTTAATCCCACATTTCTCCATGCAATGGTGGAAAATACCAGGTGGAATGGAGTAGAGCAACAGCATTATACCCACCGTAAAACTATGCATGTTTCTGCACTAAAATACAACATCAGATTCTGACTTGAGATTTGGTGTCTATATCCAGTTAAATGATATGTCCAAGCACACTGTCACTATCCCCAAAATTGTCCATGATTTCCACCATCTTATTTGGCAGGCTGGAACCAGAATCATAGCCACCATGTTTTCTGGTCACCTTCCTGCACTTGGTCTTCTGGTTCACTTCATTGGACTTCATTTCTAAAGGGCAGATCTTCCTGGCTGTACTCGCAAGACAGCAAGAAACTTGCACATGAATCTAGAAAAGTTCTTGTTACAAACTGTATGATGGTTCACCTCTTTACTGGTATAGTCTTTGTCACAGTAAATAAGAAGATCTTGCTGAAGCAAAAAATAGGACGTATTTCAATGGTGAAGCATGTTGGCTGATGCCTGCCTGTAACTGGGAAATGTGGATTAGAGTGTGTAGTTTTGCAGGTTTCCCAAACTGTGACTCATAGAATCCCTACAGTGTGGAAACAGGTTCTTAGGCCCAACAAGTCCACACTGAACCTCAGAGCATCCCACCCAGACCCATCCCCCTACAACCCACCTAATCTACACCTCCCTGAACACTACAGGCAATTTAGCATGGCCAATCCACCTAACCTGCACATTTTTGGACTGTGGGAGGAAACCGGAGCACCCAGAGGAAACCCAAGCAGACACAGGGAGAACGTGCCAACTCCACACAGACAGTCGCCCGAGACTGGAATCGAACCCGGGTCCCTGGCGCTGTGAGGCAGCAGTGCTAACCACTGTGCCACTGTGCCGACTTATATTAAAACAAAAAGTGATGCCAATTAACGAAACCATTAGTCAACGAGATCTCCTCTTTCCTCTACACTGGGCACACCCCTCATCTATTTACAGACCCAACTGAACTTCAGATGAGTCAGCACTAATTCTTGAAACTCTTCAAAATACTTGTTCTCAGCATGTGTGAAGGAACGATAATAAACTTTCATCTATCAATGCACCATTTCCCCGCGTATTGTGTATTCAGATATATTTTGAAGAAAAGATAATGAGCTTTCAAAGCTGTACAATTAAGCTTTTCAAAAAAAACCTGAAACAAATTACAAATGTCTTGACTTGTTCCAGCTTCTCCTGGTGGATGTGTTGTTATGGCTACAGGAAAGGCTCTTGGACGGTGGGAGATCAGAAATTGCAAGAGTTTCAAAGCTATGTCCATTTGTAAGAAGAGTATCGGCAACACTACAGAAACTGAGGAAACACCCCCAAAAGGCTCGTGCCCTCCTGGGTGGCAAACTAATGCAGACCTTGAACACTGCTACAAGGTGAGAACAGCATAAAGTTTGAGTATATTTTTTTCCTTAAAGGACAATCTGCATTTAAAAATCAATTTTGTTTTTCACTTTTAAGCAGAGAATCAAAGGGTGAAAGAGGCAAATTTTCCACCATAATTAAAAGATCTATTTGAAAAGAGGTCTGGCAGCATTTCCTTTGAAGAAAATACACAATCAGGGGAAAAGAATGTGATCTGTATTTTAGGTAGATGAGTTCAGAGACTGAGATAACAAGGTGTAGAGCTGGATGAACACAGCATGCCAAGCAGCATCAGAGGAGCAGGAAAGCTGACATTTCGGGTCGAGACACTTCTTCAGAAATGGGGGAGGGGAAGGGGGTCTGAAATAAATAAGGAGAAAGGGAGAGGCGGATAGAAGATGGATAAAGGAGACGATAGGTGGAGAGGAGACAGAGGTCAAGGAGGCGGGGTTGGAGCCAGTAAAGGTGAATTAGGGAGGGGATAGGTCGGTCCAGGGAGGACGGACTGGTCAAGGAGGCGGGATGAGGCTAGTAGGGAGGAGATGGGATTGGGGCTTGAGGTGGGAGGAGTGGATAGGTGGGAGGACAAGTTAGGGAGGCAGGTACGAGCTGGGCTGGTTTTCGGATGCGGTAGGGGGAGGGGAGATTTTGAAGCTTGTGAAGTCCACATTGATACCATTGGGCTGCAGGGTTCCCAAGCGGAATATGAGATGCTGTTCCTGCAACCTTCGGGTGGCATCGTTGTGGCACTGCAGGAGGCCCAGGATGGATATGTCATCTGAGGAATGGGAGGAGGAGTCGAAATGGTTCGCGACTGGGAGGTGCAGTTGTTTGTTGCAAACCAATCGTAGGTGTTCCACAAAGCGGTCCCTAAGCCTCCGTTTGGTTTCCCCGATGTAGAGGAGGCCACATCGGGAACAGCGGATACAGTATACCACATTGGCAGATGTGCAGGTGAACATCTGTTTTATGTGGAAGGTTTTCTTGGGGCCTGGGATGGGGGTGAGGGGGAGGTGTAGCACTTCCTGCCATTGCATGAAAAAGTGCTGGGGGGAGTGGAGCGGGTGGGGAGTGTGGAGCGGACAAGGGAGTCACGGAGAGAGTGGTCCCTCCGGAAGGCAGATAAGGGTGGGGAGGGAAAAATATCTTTGGTAGTGAGGTCGGATTGCAGATGGCGGCAGTGTCAGAGGATGATGGGTTGGATCCGAAGGTTGGTGGGGTGGTATGTGAGGACGAGGGGGATTCTGTTTTGGTCGTTATTGCGGGGAGGGGGTGTGAGGGATGAGTTGCGGGAAATGCGAGAGACACGGTCGAGGGCGTTTTCGACCTCTGTTGGGGGGACGTTGCGGTCCTTGAAAAACGAGGACATCTGGGATGTCCGGGAGTGGAATGCCTCATCTTGGGAGCAGATGCGGCGGAGGCGAAGGAATTGGGAATAGGGGATGGCCTTTTTGCAGGAAGGTGGGTGAGAGGAGGTGTATTCTAGGTAGCTGTGGGAGTCAGTAGGCTTGAAATGGATATTGGTTTCCAGGTGGTTGCCAGAGATGGAAACCGAGAAGTCCAGGAAGGAGAGAGAGGTATCGGAGATGGTCCAGGTGAACTTAAGGTTGGGGTGGAAGGTGTTAGTGAAGTGGATGAACCGTTCGAACTCCTCGTGGGTGCACAAGGCGGTGCCAATACAGTCATCAACGTAACGGAGGAAGAGGTGGGGGATAGGGCCAGTGTAGCTTCCAAAGAGGGATTGTTCCACATAACCTACAAAGAGGCAGGCATAGCTTGGGCCCATGCGGGTACCCATGGCCACCCCCTTTGTCTGTAGGAAGTGGGAGGAATTGAAGGAGAAGTTGTTGAGGGTGAGGATGAGTTCAGCTAAGCGGATGAGGGTGTCAGTGGATGGGGACTGATCGGGCCTGCGGGACAAGAAGAAGCAGAGGGCCTTTAGGCCATCTGCATGGGGAATGCAAGTGTATAGAGACTGGACGTCCATGGTAAAGATGAGGTGTTGGGGACCAAGGAATTGGAAGTTTTTTTAGGAGGTGGAGGGTGTGGGTGGTGTCACAGACGTAGGTGGGGAGTTCCTGGACCAAGGGGAAAAAGATGGAGATGAGTTCGGTGGGGCAGGAGCAGCGGAGACAATGGGTCGACCAGGGCAGTTAGGTTTGTGGATTTTGGGAAGGAGATAGAAACGGGCAGTGTGGGGTTGGGGAACGATGAGGTTGGAGGCTGTGGGTGGGAGGTTACCTGAGGTGATGAGGTTATGGATGGTTTGGGAGATGATGTTTTGGTGGTCAGGAGTGGGGTCATGGTCAAGGAGGCGGTAGGAGGAGGTGTCGGAGAGTTGGCGCCTGGCCTCGGCGATGTAGAGGTCAGTGCGCCATACTACAACTGCGCCTCGCTTGTCCGCAGGTTTTGTGGTGAGGTTGGGATTGGAGCAGAGGGAGGGGAGGGCTGCACATTCTGTGGGGGAGTGGTTGGAGGGAGTGAGAGGGATGGAGAGATTGAGGCAATCGATGTCGCGATGGCAGTTGGAGATGAAGAGGTCGAGGGAGGGTAGGAGGCCTTGGGGTGGTGTCCAGGAGGAGGGGGTGTGTTGGAGGTGGGAGAAGGGGTCAGTAGGGGGAGGGTTAGGCTCACGATTAAAGAAGTAAGCGCGGAGGCGGAGGCGGCGGAAAAACTGTTCAACGTCCAAATGTGAGTTGTATTCATTGATGTTAGGTTGGAGGGGGACAAAGGTGAGCCCTTTACTGAGGACTGACCGTTCGCCATCAGTAAGGGGGAGGTCTGGGGGGATGGTGAAGACCCGACAGGGCTGGATGCTACTGTCTCCTCTGGAGCTGCTAGCTGTGGAGGAGGAGCGATGTCGGCGGTGGGCGGAGCGATGTCGGCTGGTAAATCTTGGAGGTTGGCGGCGGCGACAGCAGCGTCCTCAATGTCTGTGGTGTTGGCCTCTGAAACGGAGGCGGCGGCATCAGCAGCGGTGTCGATGGCGTTCGCTGTACCGGAAGTGGCGTACTGGGCGGCGGCGGATGTGACATCATTCGTGGAATCCGTTTGTGCTCCAAAAGTGGCCACGTGGCCAATGGCGGCGGGCACATTGTGGGGAAGGTCCTGGGTAGGGTTGGGGATTTGGGTGTGGTAGAGGCCTGTGTTGGGTGGCAGGCACCAGTAAGTTTGCTGTACTTACGTTCAGAAGAATAAGGGCAGCAGACACCGAGGAACACCACCACCTGCAAGTTCCCCTCCAAGCCACTCAGCCACTCTCTTGGAAATGTATCACCGTTCTTTCACAGTTGCTGGATGAAAATCCTGGCAGTCCTTAGCTAACAGCATTGTGAGTCTACCTACAGCATGTGGTTCAAGGAGGCAGCTCACCAGCACTTTGCATTGAGTTCAGAGACTACGTGCTTTTTAAAAAAAAAAAAATTCAGAATGCATGTTCTCACTGCAAAAATTCCGAGGAACTGTGAGCTTAATGAAGCATTGATCATTTTATTATTATTTTAAGATATAAAGTAAAACAGGTCAAAATTAGGTAGCCTCCCACTTCTTGAATACTCCTAGAAGTGCTTTTATGTATGTGTGAACCTGAGAAGACAGCAGGAATTGGTTCAATTGTGATAGGACCCATGATCAAATAGTGCCAACATTTGGTGTCTTTCATTTTTCGATCTGGAGGAGTGCTAATGCCTAAATAATAGCGCCTTTTTTTATTCACTCATGGGACATGGGTGTCACTGTCTGGCCAGCATTTATTGCCTGACCCTAGCTTCCCTTGAGAAAGTGTTGGTGAGCTGCCTCCTTGAACCACATGCTGTAGGTAGACTCACAATGCCCTTAGCGAGGGACTGCCAGGATTTTCACCCAGCAACTATGAAAAAACGGTGATATGTTTCCAAGAGAGTGGCTGAATGGCTTGGAGGGGAACTTGCAGGTGGTGGTGTTCCTATGTGTCTGCGGCCCTTATTCTTCTAGATGAAAGGCTTGGAAGGTGTTGTCTGAGGACTTTGGTGAATTTCTGTAGTGCATCTTTTTTACACACTCCTGCTACTGAATATATTGTGGAAGGACTGGATTCTTGAGGATGTAATGCTAATCAAGAGGCTGCTTTGTCCTGGATGATGTCAAGTAAAGGAAGGGTAGAATGTTGCTTGCAGGAGGAAGAAAACAAGTCTTTGGTGGGACATGTCAGGATATAAAGTTAGTGATAATCATAACCTCAGCCAACTGGGAGAGGGCTAAGTCACTTTTCCCTCCTCAACACAAGGGAACTGAGACTAATCATAATACCACTATTAATGCCCATGTCATGATATTTTGTAGCGTTACCTTGTAATCCTATGCTAGTCACTATCTTGGATGTTTCTAACAACTACCGGGCTGTGTAACATGGGAGTAACAAGTCCCAAAGGCATCGCTTGCAACAAATCCACAAATCAGTGACTTTGCGTGCTATTAGCAGAAAACACATGAACAACTGAGACAAACAGCTGTCTCTGACCAACATTATTTTTGTACGTGCTTTTGAAACTGTTCTAAAGTATGTAACATACTTTAGAAATTGATTAGAGACTTTTGTATATATTGTGTAGGCCAGCTATGAAATGTAGCCTCTAAATGAGGTTTAATATGACTATAAATTTTTGGACACATTTGAAATATTGTTTAGAGACCCAGACTGTTTAGAATATCACTCTTGGCTGCCTTTAGTATATGTTTTCTTCATTCTGGATCAATCAGAAAATCTGCTGACAGCGACCTGATGGTGCAGGTAATCTGACATTTGTTTTTGCACTGGCCTAGATTTGGTAGATTAAAGACCTGTCTGTGTCACAACAATCTATAATTTATTTTTGTGTGCGATGTTTAACTCCAACCCAGCCGTTTGCCTTCTGCCACTCTTTTGCCTGAAAACTGATGGCCAGTGATTGAATATGACCATAATGGGGTAGCGGCATGGAGATAGGAGGAGGTTGCACATTGCAGCCACCTTGGGTGCCTCTGAATGCCTAAGGAGCAGCATCTGATGTGATGTTCAGCTGAGCCTGTAATTGGCTAGTTAGATTTGACATTAAAAATTTAAGTGTGGGACTTACACCATTTTGTAGGATACGGATTTGTGCAAAATTAAAAAGGAAGTGAGGGAGTTTGAGCAATGCTGCTCAAGAAGTTCCGAGAAACCCAAACTGCTTAACTCATTTGTAGGCTGTTCGACAATGATGAAAGGAATTCTGAATTATTTGTGTGGGATGTTCTAGTTTGCTCCCCATGATTTTGAGGCCTATCTGCCTGCCACCTCCCATGTGTCAGTTGTCCAGTTTCCTTCCTTCTCAACATACTGCAGCTATCCATTTTACACTTGTGGCTTGGTGAAGACCATTCACTGAGGCCTACTATCTATCTTAGTACAAATGTTGGATCCAACATCAGTTTCTCAGCCAGGCAACAAAAGTCATTGAGTCCGTCTGATATAGGGATTGCATGTGAAATTTCAACCAAATCTTTGTTGGTACAAATCGACTATTTCAATAAGACAGGTTTAAGATTATTTGGTGTGGAAAATGTGCCACGCCTGTGAAGTCAAGCTGAAATCAATGTATGTTGGAGCAAGTTTCTTCTGGAGTTAAGTGATTCTGGAGTGCTTAACACTGCAACTGTCAGAAACTTAAAATTTCCTATTCCCAAAGCACTGCCATTCATCAGCTCACCAAGTCCAAGGATCAAAACCTGGTTGTTTCATATGCGCTGAAAGCATTTCAACAACAATGTGCAAATAGTATACAAATAGAATGAAATGTCTCAAAATACTTTACATGAGCTTACTAAAACAAAGTATGATACATAACAAGATATTTCGGCCAGGTGGCTAAAAGCTTGGTCAAAGTGTGAGGTTTTAAGGAGGAAATTCAGGTGGAGATGTTTGGGAAGAGAATGCCAGAGATAAGAATGGGGTTGAAGCAGCTGAAGGGTGTGGCCACTGGTGGTGGAGCAATTTAAAAGTGGGGCTGAAAAGAAGGGCAGAATTAGTGAAACACTATCTCTGAGGCTGGAATAGATTAGCAATAGGGAGAGAGTAAAGACCACGGAGGAATGTGAAATCATGGATGATAATCTTAAGATCAATACGAGGTGTCTATATAGGTCAGTGAACACGGTGATAATAACTTGGAGCGGCCTTATTCTCTTAAGGTATGGGCATTATGGACTTAGATTACCTTCATTTTACATTGGATAGAACGTAGGAATTGACCAAGCATGTGTTGGAACAGTTAAGAATGGAGATAGTGAAAGCATGAATAAAAGTTTCAGCAACAGATGAGCTGGGACAGGCAAATTTGGGCAGTATTGTGGAAGTGGAAATCAGTAATCTTAGTGACTCTTGATCTGGGATCAGCTATGACAACAAGGTAACGAAAAGAATAGCTTAATATTAAACTGTCGCCAAGGTGAGAAATGGAGTCAGTGATTAGGAAAAGAGTTGAGAGTGATGACCAAAAATAATGGCTTTACTCTTATCAATATTTAATTGGAGAAAATTTGCACTCATCCAGTTCTGCATGTTGTCAGATAAGTGGTCTGATAAGTTAGCAACGTGGTGATTAAGGAAGTTGTTAACAGTGAATTGACCTCTGTGATATAAACTTAATGTGAAAACTAATATTCTGCCTTTAAGTGGTATCACCGAGGCACGGCAGGTGAGAGAAAGTTGGACATCAGAGGTCATAGTTTGGGAACATGAAGAAAAGTAGTTAAGTAATTCTCTGGCTATGGTCAGATGGATGGGAATGGGATTGGATGAGAGCAATCCCACTGAGCTGGACATAAAAAGGATAATTATCCAATTTACATTTGTAGGTCTTTCATCATGAGAGAGTAGTACGGAAGAGAACATGGGAAGAGGCTGAACGATTTTGTGAGTCACTAGGAGCCCACTTGCCAAGTTTCATTCACCATGATGAGATGTTATATCTTCACAGCTTGCTAAGAAAAACAATTACGTAAGTGAAAATGCAAAAAGAAGCATACAATTTCAATTTGTTTTCATGCTTGGCTTTGCATAATTTGTAAACTGTAATTAAAACTGGTAATTTTATTTTGTCTGTAGTTAACTGGGTACATCTGTGTACATCATGAGCAGTTCTGGGATTTAACAAGGGGTTGGTATTAACTGAGACAACTACCAAATCTTCAGCTACGTTGTGATACTGAACACCTTTTTTGGTTGCACTTGACTTTGTGGGAAGATCTTTCCAAAAGTGGGCAAGAATTTTACTTGGGTATTATGACGCAAATCAATTAAATCTGCGTGGAATTTTCTGTATTGCAACTTAATATAATTCCAGGAAAATCAGACATTTCAGGTTGCTTGATTTTGTTCATGGAAAGACAGTATTTAAAGTGGAAAAAAATTATCGGGTTTTTCTGGATGCTGCTGGAGAAGAATTTTTTGTGGTAGTCATTTTGGCCTCATTTTATGCTCACAGTTTGTGCAGGGCTTTAACACCGCATTGAAAAAGCTAAACCATAGCACTATAGGTTACACGCTTAGTAAACAAAAATGATGGGTACTGTAATCTGAGGGTGACCATGCCATAGCTGAGGGTCCTTCATGGTGAAGTCAGCCAATATGGGAATTGAATCTGCGCTGTTGGCTTCACTCTGCACTGCAAACCAGCCATTCAGACAACTGAGTTAACTGAACTCCCAAAGTCAGAAGTCACACAACACCAGGTCCACCCCAGCCCAACACCGGCACCTCCACATCATCAACTCCCAAAGTATTGTTTGGTCCATAAATTTCCAATCTACTCAGTACTTTGTGTTACAAAAATGATTTTCAAATTCAGCTGTATGCTACTCTTCAGAGGAAAAAGAGATGCAAAGATGGACAGGTTGAGATGGCACTAGTGGTGCACAACTCACCTCACTGTTTGCAGTATACATAGCTTCTTGGCTAAAGTACATTTAACCTGAATTCGTCAGGAATTCTTTGTCCTTGTGCATTGCACGGGAATGGACAAACTGGACCAATTATGCTGAATGGTAGACTCTGTTGTAGGAATGGCAAAACCAATGGTCATCAAAGTTGCTGCAATATTCCTATTTTCTCCAAGAAATTCATTTTTGAGTTGTTGTAGGGAACATTCGTTATATTAGTCAATCTGTCGTAATTAGCTTTGCCTCACATTTGGTTAATACCTTAAATTGTTGCTTGCTCTAACAAATCACATGCATAACATGCCACAACAAGATGGCCAATTTCAAATCCGGAACATCCATTACAGGACGTGATTGGTCAAAAAACACACAGTGGCCTGTTATGAACTGTACTACCAGCCTGCACTTTGTCAGTGATTGATCAACATGGGATAATGCAAATCAATGGTTGTTTACCATGCTGCAGCTATCAGTCATCTTTCCACCACTGTTTGTGCAATGTGCAGTATGAAACTGGTTCTTCAGAAATCAAGGCTATTCTTTTCATGAGCACTACAGGTATAATGAAGTGTATAACAAGGGAATCAATTCTTACTCATAGGCATCTTGAAGTAATCTTTCAGAATTTTGACACACCTGGGACATTCTGCAATACAACTCATCAAACGTCTCTATCAGCATCAGTTTGCAGTGCTCTTTGAAGCTTTATAACGAAAACAAAGTGTTTGTTAAAAGAGAACAATCTGTCTAGGAAAGAAGGCAAATTTAAAAAAAAAACAAACAGAACCAGACCATCCTGATCTGAAAGCAGATAGAGCCATCCATGGTTTCAACAGTAGCAATACAAATGCGTTGGATAAAAAATTCCAGTTGTGTCAAAATTCTCAACTATTCCTGCTGGCACATAAGCAGACCACATAGAACAATGCTCATGATAAATGCAAGTCCTGCACTGGTAACTCCAGATCAGATAAACTTGTCCTATCTTGTTATGTAACCACACTGACCTATCAGTGCAGCTGGATCACACGAGTGCAAAAAATGTGAACCACTGGGTGTACCATCATTTGACTTTGATCTCCCTGTGAAGGGATGTGCAAAGCCTGGGAGTATGATTAAACCTGAGAAAGCTAAGTGCTGTTCAGAGAGAAGATCAAACTAATGCAGCAAGAGGAAGAGCCATGGCAGGGAACTGGCATTGTGAAGGAGTCTGAGATATCGCCATTAAATTTGTACACGGTTACGAGAGCTGAACTACATAGAGTTCACCTGGAACAATGATTGGCTAGATTGCTTCAACACCAGACACCATGCAGTGGACATGGCAGCAAAGACAGGTGATAGGCTCCAGAATGGTCTCATCCACAAGCTGAATGAGGATGCAGCAAGAGATGTGTTTAACTATGACCTAACTGTTTTACCATTTCTTACCAGGTTGCAATTTGATGTTTTAAAGATGTATTGTGTAATGGCAAATTAGAACAAGGAACATGTTACTACCATGGTCTGCAACAACATGGATCTGAAAAGTTGCCTCTTCTAGTGATGGACAAATCCAAGATGTCACGCTCCTTTGTGAACATCAGGACAGTATCCATGTAATACAAGGCTAACCAAGTCACCTACACTACCTCCATTGCCTTTAGGCATGGATCAGGAAAGTGGACAAAACATACCTGTGAAAGAAGAGGAAGATGAAAGTTTCAGTCACTCCACCGACATTCCCAGGTCCAGCTCTACACCTGGTCCTAGCCCTAAGCTCCCTAGATCAGCTCCCCATTGAGGATGAACAGTCATTCCTCAGCAAAGGACTCACATTCATTCCCCTGTGCCCACACATCAACAAATTCTGTTCATGTCTGGATGTTGAATTTACTTTTTCCACTGTCTCCAGCCTCCAACAAACCTCATCCTCCTGGACACCACCCTATGGCATCCTACCCTCCCTCGACCTCTTCATCTCCCCCTGCCATTGCGACATCAATCGCCTCAATCTCTTCACTCTCACTCACTCCAACCCCTCCCCATTGGGACACGCAGCCCTCCGCTCCATCCACTCCAACCCAAACCTCACCATCAAACCTGTGGATAAGGTGGGGGGTGTGGCAGTAGTGGTATGGCGCACTGACCTGTACATCGCAGAGGCCAGGCGCCAACTCTCTGCCACCTTCTCCTATTGCTCCCTTGATTATGATTGCACTCCTAATCACCAAACCTTCATCTGTCAGACCGTTCATAACCTGATCACCTCAGGTGACCTCCCACCCACAACCTTCAACCTCATTGCTCTTCAACCCCGCACTGCCTGTTTCTATCTCCTTCCCAAAATCCACAAACCTGACTGCCCCAGCCGACCCATTGTCTCTGCCTGCTCCTGCCCCATTGAACTTGTCTCCGTTTACCTTGACTCTGTTCCCCCCCCACCCCCCCCGGCCACTCCAGGAACTCCCCACCTATGTCTGGGACACTACCTACGTCCTCCACCTCCTCCAAGACATTCAATTCCCCAGCCCCCAATACCACCTCTTCACTCTGGACATCCAATCCCTGTACACTTGCATTCCCCACACAGATGGCCTAAAAGCCCTCCACTACTTCCTCTCCCGTAGACCCAACCAGTCTCCCTCCACCAACACCCTCATCCACTAGACGGAACTTGTCCTTACCCTCAACAACCTTTCCTTTAACTCTTTCCGCTTCCTACAAACTGAAGGGGTGGCTACGGGCACCCATACGGGTCCGAGCTATGCCTGCCTCTTTGTAGGATACATGGTACAGTCCCACTTCCACTATACACTGGCATCATCCCTTTGACTACACCTCCTCTCACCCACCCTCCTGCAAGAATGGGATCCCTTACTCCCAATTTCTCCGCCTCCGCCACATCTGCTCCCAAAATGGTGCGTTCCACTCCCGGACATCCCAGATGTCCTCCTACTTCAAGGACTGCAACTTCCCCCCTCCATTGATCGAAAAAGCCCTCAACCACATCTCTTGCATTTCCTGCACTTATGCCCTCACACCCCCTTCCCCCAAAAACAAAGACAGAATTCCCCGAATCCTCACATATCACCCCCTAACCTCCGCATCCAACGAATCATCCTCTGCCATTTCCGCCACCTACAATCCGACCTCGCCACTAAAGAAATATTTCCCTCCCCACCCCTATCCGCCTTTCATAGGGACCACTCACTCTGCAACTCCCTCGTCCGCTCCACACTCCCTACCACAGCCGGCACCTATCCCTGCATCCGTAGGAAGTGCTACATCTGTCCCTACACCTCCCCTCTCGCCTCCATTCAAGGCTCAAACAAACTTTCCATCTCTGATAGGGGTTCACCTGTCCATCCTACAACTTGGTCTACTGTATCTGTTACTTCTGATGTGGTCTCCTGTACGTTGGTGAGACTAAGCGTAAACTCAGTGACTGATGCGTGGAGCATCTGTGCTCTGTATGCTATCATCAACAACACCTTCCGGTTGCCAACCGTTTTAACTCTCCCTCCCACTCCCTGGGTGACATGTCCATCCTGGGCCTCCTCCAGTGCCACAATGACACCACCTGCAAACTGGAGGAGCAGCACCTCATATTCCGCCTCGGGAGCCTACAACCCGATGGCCTGAACATAGAATTCACCAGTTTTAGAATCTCCCCACCCCCGGTCTCATCCATGTCCAACCCTCCCTCTCGTCTCCGCCTCCTTGACCTGATACTACCTGTCCACCTTCTTTCTCACCTATCCACCCCACCCTTCTCACTGACTAATCTCCACTACCCCCTACCTGCACCTACCTATCACCATCCCACCCACCTTCCCACGACCCACCCCCTCCCTCGATTTATTTCCGAGCTCCCTTCCCCATTCCTAGTCCTGGTGTAATTCTGAACTGTTGAGTTTCCTGCTACTCTGATACTGCCTGACCTGTTGTGTTCCTCCAGCTCCACACTGTATTGATTGAGAAAGTAAATACACACTGATTACATGATCTCCTTGAGATTATCCTTTTCATTCCAGATTTTAATTGAATTCAGATTTCACCATCTGCTATGGTGCAATTTGAACCCAGGCCCCCAGAACAATAGCCTGTGGTCCTTATGCCACCAACACCCCAAAATGCAATGGGTAATATAGAACCACAAGTGCTCATTTTTCAAAGTATCCCCAAAACACATTTATTGTAAAAAAGATTTTTTTAAAATTCTCCAGCGATTGACTTTCTGAAGTGGGGATAAAAAGGCATTTTGAATAAAAGGTTATTCCTGAAGGCAGCAAGATAAAGTCTAGAATGTTCTAAAGCTTGTCACTCTATTCTGGCATATGTGGGCAAGTCTGTAATTACACATGGCTGTCTCTAGAGTCTTGGTAAATACAGCTTGCTCAGGAAATACAGCCTTGAAATGTTTCTCTCATAACGCTTTCAAAAAAAACAAACATGTTTTATTTACCCTGAGCTCAACAAGAGAGTTTTCTTTTCAGAATTGGGCATGATCAGCTGGCAGCTTGTTTGTAGCAAGCTCTTGTCCAACTTGGCTTCTCACAATAGCTTCTGAACATTAAAGCTTCTGATTTGACTGGCAGCCCTCAGTAGGTGAGCCCTACCTCCATCTTTATTCCAAGGGAAGGCCTGCTGGATTGCCTCAAGTTTCAGGGGGCTTTGGCAAAATAAAAGGAAACTAGCCAGCAGTTGATCCTCAAAACCTCAAGTGGATTTCACCCCATGTTCCTCAGAGAACTTCAAAACAAAAGAGCAAATCTTAGCCGAAGAGTTAGGCCACTTAGGAGTGGAGGCAAAAAATATAATTCTACAACCACGGTGTGACCAGCTGAGGTGAATCGCATTTTATAAAAGAAAATCTGAATGCAGTGTAAAGATCAAGAGCGAAGACTCCAGACTTGGACGAAGCCATCAAAACAAAACTTGCTTTGGCCATTGAGCTTTTGTTCCTTTTTCTATGTCCATATCACAGACAAGAGGGAGAAAATAATTAAAGTATTTTTGCTGGTTTTCTCATCTGACCTTAAGAGAGGTGGTTTTTTATTTGATTATTATTTCTTTTCCCTTTTAAAAAATAGGCAGCAGAGTGTTTTTCCTGATACCCAATTTCTGAAGTTCAGTTCAAAAATGATCCACAGCAAATTGTTTTGACCCCAAAACAAGGAGGATTTATAAATGCATTAAAAGTGCAGATGCACAGGAGTATACATGGAAAAAAGAATGAAGTTTAAAAAAGGAAAGTTATGATTACAAATTGCTTGAATAAAAATATTAAATGGCACTAAATGATATAAATGTTGAGTTAGGTTTTACAGTTTGCTGGTCTGGTACCTTTCCATAGAAATGCACAACCCGGTGGATTGCACCTGAAGGTGCTACAATATGATTCTTGAGCGCTGGCAAATTAAGTAATTTTCAGGATTTTATTTCTGGAAATTGGTTTTGAGAGAGGTCGAGACGAGAGGCAGCCTGTAAATAAGCCTGGAGCTGCTCTATTGTTGACTGTACCAATACGAAAAGCAAACTGAGGAAAGTAGGCAAAGCTGTCTCATTAAAAATATATAACCAAAGCCATTCAAAAGCCATGACTTATTTATGACGGGGATTCTGCCATGAGTCACTTTAGCTAACAATGTTATTTAGATTGAAATGAAGAATATACAAATGTCCTTCCTGATCTGCCATAGTTATGTCATCCCTACCATGACACCAATATACTGCAGGAAGCCATGTTCTACACACTGCAGTAAAGGTGCTGTGGATGCTAGACTGTTGAGTTGAGAGTAGGTTGACGACATCAAGTCTTAAAGAGGCAGATGATTTGTAACTGTTGCAATGAAGACCGCAGAATGAGAGTATCGAACAAATATGAAATACCAGCAGGATACTGATGCTTCTTTCAATAGTATGAGTTTTGCAACCTGTGTAAAGTCATACCAGAACAGTTATACCTCTGAGGTGAAATTGAGAATCTCTGAATGATACTTGCCCCAGGAGGACAATTGTGTCTGAGATTCCAATGCTATGGCAACACTAAAGATTTGGAATTCCAGATATTAGAGGTAATGTTAAAGGCATTCAGCTTAGCAGATGTGAGTCAGAAGTTGAGACTAATTACCCTAAATTCTCAGGAGACTTTCACAGGCCACATCAACTGACTAACAGACAAAGAGTGCAATAGGGGGGATTGGGCTGCATAGGAAAATTGATGCCAAAGTCAGAAAATGAAAAGACTGTCTTTCTAGACACATCTTGTAAGCATTTCAATAAAGATGGAGTGTGTCCCATGACTGTCTTGTGAGCACAGAACAGGATATCTGTGATACACCTGGTCAAAAACAATTGTTTTGTAACATAGCTGTGAGGCTGCTAGCAGCAATCATGGGTTTGAATTGCTCTTCAACGTTCTAAAAAAGAATATTTGGACTTAAAATGTTAACTCTGCTTTGGCTCCACAGATGCCTCCTAAGCTTTTCCTGCTGTTTTTGTTTCTGTTTAAAGAGCTCTTCCCTTTGTTCAGTACTGGCTGGTATGGACATCTCGCCTGTGTGGTTACTTGGTGTTGGCTTGGTTGGAATGTCTGTAAAATACAGGGAATGTTGCTTTCCAAGAGGATGATGTACGCTTTTGTTCCCTGGTTACTGCTGGCTGGACGGTTCATTTTCAATGCAATGTGGTAATAACAACATGGGTTCAATTCCTGCACAGGCTGAGGTTACCGTGAAGGACTCTCCTTCTCAACCTCTCCCCTCACTTGATGTGTGGTGACTCTCAGGTTAAACCACATCAAGTAGTCTTCATCTAATGAGAGACTAGCCCTCTGGTCTGGTAGGACTAAGGTGACTTTACAGAAATTGTGGCCACCTGGCATCATGTGATCAGCAGCAGCCACGTTGTCAGGCCAGCGAAAAACAATTGCAAGAATAAAGTTTTTAAATTTAAAGCAAAATACGTTGGAGTCTCTTCCTACTCTCTAGAACTTTCAACCCTAACTACATTTTTTTAGTCTGGCATTATGAAATTGTTACCTCCCTGTAGCCTCCAACCTTTATCACGGACTTTTTCCTTTGGTCTTCCTGCAACCCCCATTTCCCCCCACATCCCTCCCCCCACCAACTACCACCACTGCTTAAAAATGTTTTTAAAAACTTGTTCAATTATGATGAAGCACCTCCAACCTGAAATGTTAGCACAGTTTCTCTCCACAGATTCTGTCCGACAGACTAGTTTTTCCAATATTTCTGTTATTTCAACTTTGCAGCATCTGCATTATTTTGCTTTCTAATAAATTTGGGTTGGGGGTTGAGTGGCATACTTCTGCTCCTAAACCAGTAATTTGTTTCCTTTTACAGTGATGAACGTTGGTTTTGGGTTGGATTAAACAAAAGAAATCCAGATTCCAAAGGTTCTTGGGAATGGAGTGACAGCAGACCGGTAAACCTTTCTGTCTTACATTTTACACATTTCTTTCTTTTCATTCTGACTGCTTTAATAATTTTACCTTTTGATCCATTCATTTATTTTTCTCCCCCCGGTGCTAGCATCAACTTCAATCATTTATCAAAAATTTCAGGTTATCAGTATAATCATGAAACCGAGCCTCCTAGTGTACTGAAATTTGTTTTTATTATGTTCATAGTATTGTGAAAAGGTACTCATGTTCTAGCAAAGTAACTTGCTTTGTAAAATAATAGTAATGATGGGGATTTTGATACAACAGTGGCATGGGTAACCATGATGTTGAATTTAAAAGAAACAAAATTCTCGATAGTAATGCAACCCTCTGAAGATCACATAGGATTAAGAAAAGTCTTCAGCTTCTTTAGATTCCTTTTATTCTCTGACATACTTATCACAGAATTGTTAGTGGCAAATGAGGTTGTTTGGCCAATCGTGTCTGTCTGCAATGGCTCTCTGAGCCTTTTAACTCAGTGCCAATCTCTTGCACTTTTCCTGTAACCCCGCAACTCAATTCTGTTTAAATAATCATCCAATGCTGTCATGAATGTCTCAATTGAACCTGCCTTTAGCATACTTCCAGGCAGTGCATCCCAGAATCATACTACTCATTGTGTAAAAAGAGCTTTTTCTCACCTGTCATTTGTTTCTTTTAGAAAATACTTCAAGTCTGTGTTCAGTGGATCTCAGTCCATTTATGAGCGGGAACAGTTTTTTTTCCAGACCCTTCATGATTTTGCAAACTTTTGTCAAATCTCCCCTCAGCCTTCTCCTCTCCAAGGAGAACAGTTCCAACTTTTCCGATCTTAAACTCTCTTAATGCAAACAAGTTCCCGTTACCACTACAGGAAATCTCTCTCTCATACTCTGTTTTTTTAATCACAACTCTGGAAATACTAACAAATTAATCATTAACCACTTACACCTCCCCCACCGACACACCAAACTCACATGCTACTAATTCAAAATCCAATCTTTAAAATAAATGATATTGCACACCCTACAGCACAACATAGTGAGAAATTAAACAAAGTAAGAACAATTGAATGATCACTATATCTTCAGACTTTTGCTATAAACTCTTTAATTTCCCCCAGATTTCTTTTGAACATGACAAAAATCTTAGATTCATTCACTTCTCCTGGAACTAACCGAAGTTATGCCACAGCCCCCTCAAATTCATTTTAGCTGGAACCCCAGGGAAAATTATTCTGCAAGATAGAAATTTTCACAAGGATTCCTCCATTAGTTCTGAGGAAGAGTCATCGGACCCGAAACGTTAACTCTGTTTTTTCCTTCACAGGTGCTGCCAGACCTGCTGAGCTTTTCCAGCAACTTTGTTTTTATCACTCCATTAGCTTGTTGCAAAGAGATTCTTTCATTCTCTTTAAAAGCTCAACTGTGGACATCTCAGCTCAGACTTGTTAGTTTTCACTGTTGGTTTGCACTGTTGTCTTTAAATACTTAGTGGAGGTACTCTTCTTCTTTTTGGCGTAGTTCCGGGTTGCTACAGTGTGTTGTGGCTCATTTAAATAGCGTTTTTACGCAACTTTGTTTGGTCCCGACACTGACCAGAAGGAACGAACTTGACATTCTCAACACATCAGAAAGGAAGGCCCTAGAAGGACAGAAAAAAAAGACAAAAACATCATAATACTACCAGCGGACAAAGGGCGCATGACAGTAATAATAAACAAACGGGACTACCTCACTAAAGCACAGACACCACTAGCAGATACGAACACATACCGGCAAGTGCAAAAAGATCCAACACCACAATTGGGCAATAAAATAATCAACACACTAAAGAAACTCAAACAGACCGGACAAATCAACAAAATGGACTACCTAAAAATGAAATCGGACGGGACAAACACCACCAGATTCTACGGCCTCCCAAAGGTACGCAAACCAGAAGTACCCTTCAGACCCATAGTCTCCCTCCCAGGCGCACCAACACACAGGTTAGCCAAGGAGTTAGCCAGGAGGCTGCACTGATGATGTCATCCAGCAGGGTAATGAAACGTCTGCGAACTAAAGAACCAGCTCGGCGAACAAGCGAATCAACCACAGCGAGAGCTCTGAAACCCAGACACTGAAGACAGTGACACTTCCTGCACGTGGAATTGTCTGGCTCTCAATAAGTGTTCACAGATCCCACATGCTATGGGATGGGCATTCTCCTGGCTGAGTTGTCCTGTCATACCATAACTTTTCAAATCACTTTAATTACTATAATGTTAGTTTCTTTAACTTGCTTTACTTTAACATTAGTCTAGTACTATTGACTATAAACTGAAGATTAGTAGAAAGTTCCAATTCTTCGCTCATAGTCACAAATCACCTCTCTCTCCTGTGCCTTTAAGTTCTTGCATTCCCTGTGTTTGTTTAGAAATTTGCATTTTCAAAGTTACCGAAATAGGTGCTCAGCGACCAATCAACTCGTTACTTTCCTGTGATTTTACTCTAGACTTTTTTCAAACTCGGCCAACGTCCCCAGAGGGTACACTCCCATATGTCTGGCTCCCTCACCCCCAGGAGCTATATGAAAATCCCCAAGCTTTGCCTCTCTTCACCCAGCATACACATTTGGGATGGTTTTGCAGCTTCAGCAGGGAGTAAGTCCCATGGGGAGCATGGATCTGTTAGTCTTGTCATTTATCTGAATCATGAATAATTGCTGTTCACCGAGAGCATGTTACCTAAATTATCTTTGACAGATATGGGCTAATCTTTTATCTTTGATAGGTTTCGTTGGTGACTTTACCCTTTGATTTTAAAGAAGATGATTATGCTGTCAGAGATTGTGGTGCATTTCAGGTGAGATTTCAACGCTTCTGGAAAATGTACGAAATATTTTGTTCTTGAAGCTATTTAGTGATGTTGGCAAAGTCACATTTATTGCTGATTCCTGTTCACTCTGAAAAATTGATGGTGAACCATCAGCTTCAGCTGTGTTGGCCCCTTATGTTGCTATTTCTATGATTGGTAAGGAATTCCAAAATTTTGATTAAGTAACAATGTGAACAGCATTTAGATTCACATCAGGATGGTGTTCTTTGAAAACAAACCTAGAAGATCCTGTAAACTGTTCCCTTCTGTCATTTTGTGATAAAGGCCACAAGGGGAGGTGCTTTTTAAGTAAACTTAGTGAGGTGCTGCATTATGTTCTGTAGTCAACTCATTCTGTCATCACAGTACCCTAATGATTGAAGGTGATCAAAATGAGTTCAATGACAAAAGATCAATTGAGCAAACAGCTTTCTTCTTTATGTTTAATTATTTGAGTGCTGTTGCAGCTTCAGTCATCCATTTGAATGGTGACTATTCTAGACATTGCTGACTTGATTGTGAAGAACCTTTCATGTAATATGAAAGACAGCAACTGATCCCTGAGTACTCTGCTACTATACTAACTGGTTTGTTCGGTATCTGGTTAGTGGTATCTTCCAGGGTATTTTTGAATTATTTTAGCAATAATGTGCTTTTTTAGAGTCGAGAAGAGGTCATCAGATAATTACTTGTTGAAGGAAAATGTAATCGTCTGCCTTTTGTGTAGTGTGAGCATTGTTGATAGAAACTATTTGGAGGATTTGAAAACGCTGTTGAATATTTGTAGAACAATTAGCAAATAGCCTTTTTTCTGACCTTGAGTTTGAAGAACATTGTTGAGGGTGCTGAAAATGAATTGGCCAAGAGCTGTGCCCTGAGAGAGCTCCTTCAGAGATGTTTTGGGCTATGATCATCAGCCTTTGATAATTGTGACTATGACTCTTGCTGTAAATAATTCCCGTTGACTGCAAAGTGGCTTCTGTTTTTGCTATAGGGCTCTTTTACTGTTATAGCCAACGCATGTTGACTTATTTTCTTTATTTGTCTTTTGGATTCCTTTGTAGTTGCAATTTGTATGTTGTATTACATCCTTCCCACTTTTCACACAGTTGTCTTGCTAATAGATACAGTGTGATTTGTAGCAACAAACACTAGTGGTGAAGTTTTTTTGAGGATTCCATTGGCACTCAGAAGTTGAGGAGAAAATATATGAAGAATTAATAGCAGTCGGTGTGATTAGTATGCCAGTCTGAGGGAGGTGATGGCCCAGTGGTATGATCACTGGACTGTTATTTCAGAAACCCGGATAATTTCCTGGAGACAGTAAGGACTTCAAATGTTGGAAACTAGAGTCAATAAATGTGGAGCTGGAAAAGCACAGAAGGTCAGACAGCATCTGAGGAGCAGGGAAGTCAGCGTTTTGGGCTGAAACCCTTTGTCAAGACTGAGGAGGGGGAGGGGAGCAGAGCCCAGAAATAAATGGAGGGATGGGGTTTGGGGGAGGATAGGTGGGATGGAGATAGGTGGATGCAGGTAGGGGGTTATTGTGGTTCGTCAGTGGGAAGAGTGGAATGGATAGGTGAGTAGGAAGATGGACAGATTGGGGGCAGAGAGATTTTGAAGCTGGTGATGTCAAGAATCAGGCCATTGGGCTGTAAGTTCCCAAGGCAAAATATCAGGTGTTGTTCCTCCAGTTTATGTTTGGCTTCACTCTGATGGTGGAAGAGACCAAGGATGGACAAGTCACCGGGGGTGTGGGAGGAGGAGGAGTTAAAGCAGAAGGTCAGGTTGGTTGATGCGTGCAGAGCGCAGGTGCTCAGTGAACTGGTCCCGAGGCAGCGTTTGGTCTCCCCTATGTGGAGGAGACCACATTGGGAGCAACGGATACAGTAGATAAGGTTTGATGAAGTGCAGGTGAATCTCTGCCGGATTTGGAAGAATTGTTTGGGCCTTGGACGGAGGTGAGAGGGGAGGTGTAGGGGCAGGGGATACACCACCTGCAGTTGCAGGGCAACGTACTGAGTGTGGTGGACAGGTTGGTGGGCTGTGCGAAGCTGACGAGGTAGTCGCGGAGTGAATGGTCCTTGTGGAAAGCGGACAAGAGTAGGGAGGGAAATATCTTTTTGCTGGTGGAGTCCGATTGTAGGTAGCAAGAGATAACAAGGATGGTGTGTTGTATTTGGAGGTTGGTGGGGTGGTATGTGAGGACTAAGGGACTCTATATCCTTATTGTTGTGGGGGGGGGGGGCGAGGGTTTGAGGGCAGAAGTGTGGAAAATGGGGAGATGCAGTTGGGAGCATCCTTAATAACAGAGGAGGGGAAACTACAAGGTCACTAAAGTAGGAGGATGTCTGGGAATTCCTAGAGTAGAACGCCTCCTCCTGGCAGCAGATGCAACAGAGGAATTGTGAGTATGGGATAGCGTTTTTGCAGGAGGGTAGGTGAGAGGAGGTGTAGTTGAGATAATTGTAGGAGTTGGTAGGTTTGAAATGGATGTCTCTGGTGACATGCTTACTGAGAGGTCCAGAAAGGGGAGGGAGGTGTCAGAAATGGTCCAGGTGAATTTGAGGGCACGGTGGAAGGTGTTGGCGAAGTTGATGAACTGTTCGAGCTCCTCACGGGAGCACAAGGCAGCACCGATACAGTTATCAATGTAGTGGAGAAAGAGGTGAGGGATGGTGCCAGTGTAGATGTTGAAGAGAGACTGTTCCATGAATCCTACAAAGAGGCAGGCATATCTCAGGTCCACGTGGGTGCCCATAGCCACCGCTATGGTTTGTGGTATGTGGGAGGAATCAAAGGGAAAGTTGTTGAAGATGAGGGGATCAGTTCTGCCAAGCAAATGTGTCGATGGAGGGGGACTGGTTGGGCCTATGGAAGAGGAAGAAACGGATGGCTTTTGGGCCATCCCCATCGGGGATACAGATGTACAGGGACTGAATGTCCATGGTGAAGATGAGGTGTTGGGGGCCGGGGAATTGAAAGTTTTGGAGAAGGTGGACCTGGGTTCAAATCCTGCCATGGCTGATAGTAGTAGAATTTGAATTCAATAGACATCTGGAATTAAGAGTCTAGCAATGACCATGAATCTATTGTCAATTGTTGGAAAAAGCCATCTGGTTCACTGACGCTCTAGAGGAAACTGCCATCTTTACCTGGCGTGGCCCACATGTGACTCCAGACCCCCAGAAATTGGTTGACTTTTAACTGCCCTCTGAGCAATTAAATGCTGGCCTAGTCAGTGAAACCCTAATGCCATGAATGAATTTTTTTTTAAACTTACTGACAACAGATTTACGGAACTTGCCACTCAGACCCCTTCCCCATGGTTTCCATACAATTGTATGTGGTATTGTTCCAATAAACAATGTCTTCATTACTGTTAACTGTATATTAACCAATTTGAACTAGGTTTTTGGCTTTTACTGTATGGCCAAAGTGATATTACTAGTTTGCCTGCTTATTAATTGTTGTACACCATCAGCTAATGTACTGTTTCAAACAGATGACTAAAAATTAGTCATCCTGATCAACACTTAAAAGTTGTTATTGGGAAAATTATTCATCATCGTTTATAGATATCAAAGATTTTGATGTTATATAATGTTTTAACGTAATAGAATGGTTAACTCAAAATTCTACACTCAAGCATTGCTAACCAAAAATTACAATGAAGAACATAAGGACATATTAGGACATTTGGCCAAAAGCTTTATTAAGAAGATTTCGAAGGATCATCTTGAAGGAAATGAAGGGAGAGGGAGAGAGAGAGAGAGAGAAAGGGAGAGAAATATGGAAAAAGAGTTAAAGAGAAATTGCAGGGTTTAGAGTTTTGGCAGCTGAAGGCACCAGTCCACCAACGAAGTGATGTAATTCAGATGGATGAGAGGTCAGAATTGGAAGATGGTGGATAACCTCTCAATATAGTTATTTTAATCATCTGTTTAGACATGCTGTGACTCACCTCTGGGACAAGTGTGACTTGAACCCAAATCTCTGTCTCTAGGGTAGGAATACTACCACTGTGCCACAAGGCCGCCCCACCCCTATCACTTGACATAATGACACTACTACATTTCTCAAGGTCTAGGACACCAGCTATTCATCAAGGAGGTTCTTGACCATGTTTTAAATTTCACCTGGAACAGTTACGACTGAAGGTGGATTAGTGTACTGTTGCTGTAGTCCTACTACTCCATGGGTTGCAACATAACTTAAAAATGCTTTTGCTGGTTACCAAAATGTCCAATGAAATACTTTATCAGGTTATAAATAAAATTATCTAGCAGCCAGATTTTTAGTAAACATGATTGCAGGTTTATTATCAAACAAAAGTCATTCAATAAAGATGCAAAAATTTGTTAACATACATAGTCAGTAGTGTAGAAATATGAAGGCTTATTACTATAAATATCTCACAAATGCAGTCTTCAGGAAAACAGGGGAAAGCAACAGATTCACTGTAGAGTTTGGCTTTATAAGAAAAAAACTCTAGTTAATGGGTTATTCTAAAAGGCAGAAGATAAAGTTTAGAATGTTCTGGAGTCTGTGGCTTTGATGTTCTGGCATGTTGAGCAAGTCACCAATCATGCATAATTGTTTCTGAGGTCTTGCAGACACAGTTTGCTTAGGAAACACAATCTTCACATGCTCTTTCAATAACTCTATGGAAAGAGCAAATCATTTTCACCCATAACTAATGTAGGAGGGTTTCTTTTCAGAAATGGGAAAGACCAGGTGAGCACCTTGTTCTTAGCAAGCATGCTTCCATATCTGTATGATCTTAGCAGGCTTCTCACCAAGTCGTCACTGTTAAAAAAACAGTCAAGCAAGCTGTTTTTAAATCATGTAATTTGGAGGAAGTCTAGAAGTGGCAAGTCTGATGCTGTTCATGTTCATTAGCTTGACTAGCAGGAGCCTCCTGTAGAAAGGAGACTTGAGGCTTCCACTGCTTCCTCAAGTAGCAGCTGAACTCACATTCCTACCATCAATGTCCAGTCATCAGGTGAGCCTTGGGTATGGCAAAATGATTTCACCCTACCTCCATCCCACACCAGCATTTTCACTTGCCAGTCACTGCACTTTAAGGTAAGAATCTGTTGAAAATCACTGTGTAAATATTTAAATGGATTAGTTAAAAGGTTCATGATCATTAAGTAGTCAGATCTTTCAAATGGAGAATCAATATTTTGTTTACCGGGGCTATTAAGAAAGAAGGTAGCAGTAATAATTTTCACTCCTTAGGAGTACAAGCATAGATCTGACTGTGAAACATAATAACAGTGCTCTCGATTTTATAATTCCTTTGCAGCTGGAATTTTTAACAATGAATGATATCAGCTGGATGTATCAAGTTTGTAATGTACATTTTTAATTATACGAACAGTACAGTTTCATTTTGTACTTCCACAGACTCAGAAACCTTTGTGGCATCGTTTCATGATGTTTGATATCAGAAGGAAATATGATTATCACTTGATGCCCTTCCATTGTGATATTAAACTAGAATGGGTGTGTCAAATACCTAAAGGTAATTGTTTATCCAAATTAACTGCAATTGTCCATGACATGTTGGTTACTTTGCTGCAATTATCATTGCATCAATCATTTAACTAAATAATTAATGTTGAGCTTTTAGATTGCCATGTTTATTATATTAACAGAGAAGATGACACCAGGAAACAGGTTAATTGTGCTGAAATTCATTTATTTCAGTGGGCTATAAGCAGATATAGGATTCATTTTTCAATGATCTTCTTTCATTTTTTATTTTTATTTTTATTTATGTAATTTTTAAGGCAGAGTAAAGAAGTGAATCACTCCAAGTTTGGTTTGTGACATTAATAAATTAACTAATTTTAGAAGAGATGAAAGTTGAAGCACTTTTCTTGCTCCAACTTTTGAGAAGATAGGTGGATTTACAATCAAAACAAAATAGACATCTGGTAGTGCAAAACTTGGATATTGCTGAAAAATACACATTTTGTCAAAGATATTTGCGTTGAACTCATCTGAACAATTTGCAAGTATACTAATTCAAGGGGAAAGCCAACTTTACACTCTGCAATGGAGACTGATGATTGGCAAAAGGAGTCTGATTGGTGTTGCTATAGTGAACGTATCAATTAATGATAATTGACAGTTAAATTCCAGACTTTGTTTAAATTTTAGACCAGGCAGGTTGACTCTGGTCAGAGTATTGCCATGAGAAATTAACTAACAAATGTTTTTTCACCTATTTTGTTGAGTTTAAACAGGCATACTGTATGTACATGTTCTTGTTCTTTCTGCCTGCAAAGAACAAGGCTCTGTGTATTTATATGTGTAGCTTCCAATGTATGCAAGTGTGCCACACCATAAGCCTAACTGACAATCTTGTACCATTTGTCAGCATAATTCTAACTCGAGATTATTCAGCAAGTGATGTCCAATTGCAGAAACACATCAAATGTTGGACACAGATTTGCAAGCACAGGCTAGTTGGGTATGGTTGTCTTGTTTGTTGCAAACAGATGAAGGGATACATTATTTGATACAACCCACTAACCTTTAGAATATATGGCCTACATATTTGGTATCCCACTGGCACTGAAATTCATGTACAACATGGCTTATTTGTGTGATAGATGGAATGCCTTCTTTTTGTTTGATAACAAATCTTGTTAGTGGTGAACACTAACTGTATTGCTACTGCATAGTTAGTTTCACCTGTTGCTCAAACTTTTGAGATGCTTTATCTGAGGTAGAATTAGCACTTATCACAACCAGGAGTGATTGCTCTAGGGCTTCACATAAGTTTGCACTATATATAGCTATTATGCTGTAGGATGATTCTCATGCGCTCTATTTCAGCATCAAGTTTGTATGGTCCAGGTCTGTTTGCAAGGTTGTTGATCAGGTCAACTTTGTAGCATGTTGAGCTGTAGGAATCATAACAAGGTATAGTGAATGGTGATCATAAGTTTTGTGGTAAACAGTCATAAAGAACCCCTGGCCCGTTTCCCAACTAGGTTAGCAAACAAAAAGAGCCCATTTGATTGTTCCAGATCAAATGTGAATATAAACATAAAATGATTACATTAAGACATGTATGAGAATCTTACATGCAGCTGCAGATTCAAATATAGCAAATGAATCATCCACATATTGACAATATGCAAGGGCTAAAAGATTAGATGTAATTCCATTAAATAAACATTTCTCAGAATCCAACAAAGATATTAGCGAGCCCTGGGCTACGGCAACACCATCAATTTGAGCATATATGCTGCCTTGGAAGTGAAATGAACTGCATGTGTTGCTGAGTTTAAACGTTATGTGAATACTGATTCATACTATGGTGGTGTGAATTGAGTGGGGGACTCAATTACTAGGGGTCATGATTTCAAGGTGAGAGGGGAAATGTTTAAGGGAGATATGCGTGGAAAATTCTTTACGCAGAGGGTGGTGGGTGCCTGGAACGCGCTGCCAGCGGAGGTGGTAGAGGCGGGCACAATAGCGTCATTTAAGATGTATCTAGACAGATATATGAATGGGCAGGGAGCAGAGGGATACAGATCCTTGGAAAATAGGCAACAGCAACAGGATCGGCCCAGGCTTGGAGGACCGAAGGGCCTGTTCCTGTGCTGTAATTTTCTTTGTTGGTGGATCTAGACTTCCAGGAAATAGTGCTACAACATGGATGTCTGGCTTCCTTGAATGGTACATTGGCGAATGTATTAATAGTGTCAGATGAACACTTGGATACCGTATTGCTATGTGTGCAAGTTCTGTATTATGGTCTTTGCAAATGTGAAGAACTCCTTCACCGTGTAAGTGGAAAACATGCTCAAAAATGATAAGAGCAATTCACACAACCATTTGGCCAATTCATATTCTGCAGAACCAGTCTTGGATAAGAACCGATGTAAAGGGACAGCATTTTTATGTGTCTTGCACAACCATACACACGCAAAATTGGTGATCCATGAGGACCAATCCTATTATATATATCGTGCCAGCAACTTGTTGCTCTTGTGCAAGATCAGCAAGCATTTTATTTTGATTGCTTCTGAGTAATCCTTTCAGGTTTCCAATAATGAGGTGATACATTTGCTATATTTGAATCTGTAACTGCATGTAAGAATTTCCTTGTGTGTCTGTATGGGCTCCATTCTGTGTTCAAATTCATTTTTGAAATAGAACAGTCAAATTAGCTGTATTTTTTTTTCCTTGATGTCCTAGTTGAGAAATCAGCCATGGGGTTCACAACCTCTGTCTATCACAAACCTATGATCACTGGACAGTATAAATGTGGAATTCCCACTGTTCCATGCAGTATATGATTGACTTTATTGACAAACTCATAAATAGGCTTCAAGCTTGTGTTCACCATGTAAACCTGATGTTGAAATAGGGCACATCAAAGCTGGATAATGGCTACCCTAAGTAGTCTATTTATCACTGTATAATGTGTGAACTCATTCAAAGCCAAAAGTGTCCAGTCTACCTCAGATTATCCAGGAAGAGTAAGGTATCTCAAAGGTTTTCGGTCAAGTTTGCGGACGATACGAAGGTGGGTCATGTTGTGGACAGTGTGGAGGACTGTTCTAGGTTACAAAGGGACATTGATAGAATGCAGAGCTGGGCTGAGAAGTGGCAGATGGAGTTTAACCCTGAAAAGTGTGAGGTGATTCATTTTGGAAGGACAAACTTGAAAGCAGAATACAGGGTTAACGGAAAGATTCTTGGCAGTGTGGAGGAGCAGAGGGATGTTGGGGTTCATGTTCACAGTTTCCTGAGACCTGCCACCCAGGTGGATAGAGTTGATAAGAAGGCGTATGGTGTGTTTGCTTTCATTAATAGATGGATTGAGTTCAACAGCTGTGAAGTTGTGCTCCAGCTATACAAAAGCCCGGTTTAGCCACATCTGGAGTATTGTGTCCAGTTCTGGTCACGCCATTACAGGAAAGATGTGGAAGCGTTGGAAAAGGTGCAGAGGAGATTTACCAGGATGTTGCCTGGAATGGAGGGAAGGTCTTACGAGGAAAGGTTGAGAGAGCTAGGGCTTTTCTCTTCAGAACGACAAAGGATGAGAGGTGACTTGATAGAGGTGTACAAAATGATCAGAGGTATAGATAGAGTAGACAGCCAGGGACTTTTTCCTAGGGTGGAGGTTGCTTTTACAAGGGGACATAGTTTTAAAGTGAAAGGAGGTAGATATCAAGGAGACGTCAGAGGTAGGTTCTTTACTCAGAGAGTGGTCGGGGCGTGGAATGCATTGCCGGAGAGGGTCGTGGAGTCGGCCTCATCAAGGGCATTTAAGAGGCTATTAGACAGGCATATGTTGATAGTATAAGGTAGCGGTGGAGGTTAGATAGACCTTAGGTTTAGGGTAAAAGTTCGGCACAACATTGTGGGCCGAAGGGCCTGTACTGTACTGTACTGTTCTATGTTCTATGTTCTATGTTTGAGCAACAGCTGAATCTAACTGTTTCATGTAACCCAGTTAGTCTTTGCCACTAACAGAATGTTGCCGTCAAACCAAAAAGGTGATCTGCCTATCGCACAAATGAGAAGGGTGGTGTGTGAATTTCAGTGCTGGTGTGATGTAAGGTTTGTCCTAAAGCCTGGTGGATCATATCACACACCATTCCTTTTCAGCTGTTCACAACAGCAAATTCTGACCATGCCCAACCAACCCATACTTGCAAAATAGTGTCCAACGGTAGATGTAATTCTGTAGTCGGACAAAATTTGCTGAATAACCCTAAATGTATGAAGAATTTTGCTGATGACCAATTTAGTATTGTCAGTCAGGCTGACCGATTGATGCACCTCTGCGTACTGGATGCTATATGTGTAAACATATACAACCCTATGCAAAAATGCACATTCACAGTGCCTTTATCAACTCAGTGGGTGAATACCACTCACAGGTGCCAATCATAGCCATGTGAAATCAGTCAATCTGCCTGGTTTAAAATCTGGACACAGCTTGGCAGTTAATTGTGAATCATCATTAACTGGTGCAGTCTCCATAACAAAACACCCTTACCAATGAGTCCATTTGCTGACCAATCAGCAATCTCCTCTTATGCGGTATCAATGTTGGTTTTCCCCTCAAATTGACATTCTTACAATTTGTCCTATTGACTGCAAGATGAGATGTTTTGACAAAAATGTGTTTTTCAGCAATACTTGAAACAAAATTAGTAGCCATTTTTAGTATTTACACTGTTCCTCTAGTAATGTTGTTGAGGTTAAAACAGGAGCGCAGGAGAGGCTCCATATAAATTTTGGTTACAACTTATTAAATAAGTAATTTCATAATCATAATAATAATTGGCTTGTAAGTTATTCATTTATACTTTTTTGTGTTTTGGCAGGGACTAAATTGAGGAGACCTCCCTGGTACATTCCTGGTGAGTCATTTTTCGCAGAGACTAGTCTTGGTTTGAATTGTACAGATCTCTAGATATGACTCAAATGTGTTTCCGGGTCAGACACAATTTAGCATAATGTCTCTCTTGGCATTTAATTGTAATGTTTCAAACGGATGTATTGTCAATTATGTCAACCGTGACAACGGTTTGTATTTCCTTATACCAACTCAGTCTGGATTTTCCAATTGTAGCCAACTATACCAAAAATACCACATTTCGGCATGGGAAAGAGACAAAATAAAGAAGTTATTCCCAATTCTATGTCCTAACTAGTGTTTGGGAATGGCAGAGTGACGGAAATCAAACTTAACAGAAAAATAATACAATTTTAAATGTGCTCTCACATTAAACGTATTTGTATCCATCAAGAAAAAAAAACTCTAATCTCTTAATATTGAGGGCAAACTGGTGATGTTTCAGTTTCTTAACAGTCAACATTTTCCTGTGCACTTTTGTTTAGATGGAGAGAGTATTCATGGGCCCACTGTTGTTATTGATGGTAATGAGTATTGGTTTGTGAACAACACCAAGTTAACTTACCAAGAAGCTGATCTATATTGTTCAAGGAATGAAAGCAAATTGGCTTCCATAACATCCAGACCTGCAATAAAAATGATTAAGACTCATCTACTAAAGGTAAGTTTTACCTTTATTCTGGAGGTTTTTGTCTGTACATTGGCATTACTAATAAAAAAAGTATTTCTTCAATATGTACTCTGAGGTTACATCAAGTGTGTCAAGGAGATAATTAACAATTCGATGATGCTGATAGGGTATTTCTAGTGTTCCATTTATAATTTAGTTCTTGTATGCAACCAGTATTTTTAACACGATCTTTCGAAAACAAAATGTTGTGCTGCCATGTGATGATTCCTGCACATTACCTTTCAAGCTGCCACATGGCTGTGTACATATGCAACTTAATGGAAAGATTAGACAAACTATATGATGAGTGTGGAACATCTTATCCGGTGTGCATTTCCACCAATAGGCTTTGCATTGTGAGCACAAAATCAGCAAATTATATTGTCAAGATATAGATGACCATTTTCTTAATGGAAAATCTGATTGCAACTTGCTACACAGAACCATGAAGCCAAGAGTTAAACTATTATCCAGAATCTCTCACTAGACAGGAATAAGGCAGTATCTTTCATTTCCACTTTGAGATACATTTGGAATACAAATTACATATCGCCTGTATGCAGAAATTTTCTTAAAATTATTAAAATTTTAAAACCATTAAAACTAAAAATCTATTTAACAAAAACTAATTAAAAACTATTAAAATACTGATGTTAAATGGGTATCCAAGGTTTTGTATTTGTGGATATCACAGATATGTAATGATGAGTCTTTGAGGGTAACGTACATTTTTATCCATTTAACATTGTTAATATTAACAGTCCTTGGCATTCTACTGAGAGTATGTGTGCCGATAATACAGCACTTTTTAAAACACCTTTTGTAAAGCTCCCAGGAGAAAGTAGTTCATAAAGTTCAAACCAATTAGTGCGCGAGAATTGAAATTTCCACAACTTTATATAATACTTCAAGCGAAAAGTAAAAATTGTAGCCTAATTGCTTTGCATGACTGGCCTGGAAAAATGGCCATCTGCTAATGTGCACATATTGCACTTGAGGTCATCAGATTAGATAAAGAATAAAAGTTAAGATTCTGGGCCAACACATATATTGAGAGAGGAACTTCTCCATGAACACAAGAATATCCCAGCATCCAATTTAAGTACAACAGTGATGATGACCAGAAACTGACTAATACATCTGACTTCCTGCAAAAGGAAGGAATACCCGAGTGTGAGCAGTTCAATTTGGCAGAGAGAGCTAAAATTGCAAGATATAAATGCATGAAAATTAGAAATTGACTTTTCTTCCTCTCCACAGCACTTCCCTTCATTGCCAAAGTGGTGGGTAAAGGCCATCAATTACAATACGATGAGCAGTCCATTGTAAGTACTGCATATAAAATATATTTTCACATTTTCTATTTGTTAATATAACTTCTAATCACTTCATCTGCTTTCACAATGTAATTGGCATTGAAGGATGTATGTTTCCGTGGCACAGACTTTTCCAAACATTCAATGGAAACTGTTCCTTTTCTGTAAACTATTATACTTTTGTGGGTATTCAATCCAAATAGAAATTGTTTGTTTATTTGGCATTGATACTGCAGCAATGCTACATTCTAATGCTGGCAATTTAATTGTAGAACTGCTTCATTTATTCCATTTTTTAATGGCTTAGTATATCATTTTGCTGCAGAGGAGACCACTTTCACCTTCAGTGTCAGTTCAACACCCAATAGATCATTTCAAGATCTGTTCATCAATCCACTGTGACCTAAATAAAAATAATTAAGATGAGGAAAATTGGCCACGTTTTCACTCCTGATCATTGCTGGAAGTAAATACGTGGATGTGATTTGTGGATTTAGTTTGATCACACTTGAAGAACTATAAGTTTGGTGAAGTTAAACTATGCCTAACCTATCTTAGCTAGGATCATTGTACAGGGCAGAGTTAATGCCTAGCTACATTTTTTAATTGCTAACTGTATCCTTAATTTTGTCCCCCCACTGTTATAACTTGTAACAACAAGAGACAAAAAGCAAAGTAGAGAGACAGTATAGGATGAAATTCCTCAGGGTGCTTTGCTGGTACACCTCACCTCAGTCTGTGGATGATGGTACCAGCCTGATTCCTTGAAGAGAAGGAACATCCTTAACTCCCTCACCAAACCATTGCTTCACTCAGCTATAGTGTCATAGCTCATGGTCAATATGCCTTAAGTATAATGCTCATGATATCTTCACTGTATCATAGCATGTGATCTGAGGGTATAATGATTTCATATTTCATCCGACTTAAGATGACTTGAAGCATGACATTCTACTTGAAGCATTCTCCTCTGTTGTAACCTACAATTAATATTAGATGAGACACTATTATACCTAAGGCATTTAATGTTTGCACTAATTAGTTATTTGCAATAAAAGTCTGTTGGATTCTTCAATACAATGATACCTTTTCCCAGTTTCTTCTTTACAGTAAATAACATAAGTATTGCTGCATCAAGTAAAACACACTTTTGGCTGGAAAATCACACCAACACCATTGTTTGTGCAATGGAATGTAGGTTCAAACATTTACCTGGCAGTCACTGAGTACTGTGCTGGACCTGACCCTTCTTGACAGTTGCAACCATTTTCATGGAGGAAGACAAGCACTCACATGCTAAAGCAATCGTAGCACTCACAAAGTAGATGGACTCCACCAGTTTTCACTCAAGCCTGCACATAACTTCCAGCACCTCAGCATGATTTTCCTCTGCCTGGCTCCGCATCTCTATTAGGTCTTTTATGGCCTCATGAGTGTCCTCATCTGTACGCTCAGCAGTCCTTCCTCATTATCAGAATCTCAGTTGTCACCTTTGTTTGTGAGTTGTAGGTACCTGACTTCATGTGCGCATCAGATTGTGATCAGACTCTAATCTAGAATGTGAGCCCACTGAGCTGCATGTGTCTGTGCTGGTGGAGGGGGCAGAGGAGTGCTGAATGGCATCATCCACCTCAGAGGTGGGAGGTAGAACTGGGAGTAGTCTTTCTGTCACTTTTTCTTTGTTTTGGAGCCTGCCTGGAGAACATTTAGAATTAGTATTTGCATTAGATCAGGGTTAAGTACAATCCTCTTGCCCAAAGTTGAATGCATTAATCCTATGTGTGCATCAGTGGTTTCTGCAAAGACATTGACACCTCCATTGGTGCACTGTCAGCTATGTTCCTCCCATCAGGCTGAGCCAGAGTGAGTCTTCCCAAGTTAGCGACCTCTTTTTTTTCTAGTTTTATCTCAATCTTGATGACAAACCAAAGCAGTGGGTGTTATCCCAAATGGTACATAACTAAGTTTGCAGGTGACAGAATCTACATGTAGTGGGTAGAATAAAATGTGGGAAAATGTGAGGTTATGCCTTTTGGCAGGAAAAGAGGAATTGAGTATTATTTAAATGAAAAAAAAATTGCTGAAAGGCACAGCTCCAGGATGTGGGAGTCCTTGTGCATAAATCACAAAGTCGAGGGTGAATACGGAAGGTAAGTGGAATGTTAGCCCTTATTTCAAAGGGAATGGAGTAGAAAAATAGGGATGTCTTTCTAAAACTCAACAAGACACTGGGCAGACAACTGCTGAAGTACTGCGAACAGTTTTGATCTCCTTATCTAAGGAAAGATGTATTGACATAAGAGGCAATCCAGAGAAGGTTCATTAGGTTGACCTTGAGTATAGAGGGATTTTCTTATGAGAGAAGCTGAATATGTTGGGCCTGTACTCATTCGAGTTTAGAAGAATAAGGAACAGCCATATTAAAACATAAAAAATTCTTAAGAGGTTTGAAAGGGTAGATATATACTGCCCACATTAGGTCTGAAGGGTGCTGAAAAAAATGACAAAATCCAAACAGAACAGATATCCAGTGAGCCTCCTGGTTTGCAGGCGACGAATGCGTTTTCAATATGGCTCCTAGATTATCTGCTCTGTGAGGTAACAATGACTGTGTCAACTTGATGTCCACCTCTGATGCATTATGCTGCGCTCCTCATGTATGCATATCTTGTTAGCTGGCCACTACATAATCTTAAAAACATTCTATATCCTGCAAGTGAAAGTAACACTCACTTCAAACCCTAATGCCAAAATTCTACTCTAGAACAGAAGAATCTGCCCCAAGATAGAAATCATCAGTTCAACTGTTTTTTTTTTTGGTTTCGTATCCTATCCCCTGACTGTTAAATCAACCTGCGACTCCATTTTCTCCCATAGAATCATAAAATCCCTGTAGTGCAGAGAGAGGCCATTTGATCCATCAGGTCTGCATCAAACCTCTGAAAAGCATCCCACCTAGTCCTCCACCTATACCTGTAATCCTGCATTTCCCATGGCTAATCCACCGAGCCTGCACATCCCTGGACACCACAGGGCAGTTTAGCATGGTCATTCCACCTAACCTGCATATCTTTAGACTGTGGGAGGAAACCGGAGTACTCACTGGATACCCATGCAGATATGGGAACAATGTGCAAACTCAACAGAGTTGCCTGAGATTAGAATCAAACCCAGGTCCCTGGCACTGTGAGGCAGCAAGACTAACCACTGAGCCACCATGCCGCGCATGCCCTCTCAGTTTGTTTCATGCACTAGACCCACTTCCCATTCTGGTTCCTGTACTTTCTGATATTGTAAATGGTTCCCTTTTCTTGGGTAGTGTTCCCATTTGCTTAGAAAACACCACTGCTACAAGACTGTACAAAAATGAATGCATTACAACTCTTGTTCCTGTCATAGCCCTGTCTCTTAAACAATCTTTATTTATTTAAATGTTGAACATGTTATTACTTCCCAGATTGGTGACCAAACTTTTGACAATGCTCAGTTGAAATCTCTGAGGGAGTTGGAGTACTGCCGCCTTAAGATCATGGATTCCATGCCCTCTCTGCCCACTATGTTCTGACCAGAATATTTTAACTTCTAAGTCTAAATTTATCTTTAACTGAGTTTCCAACCCAGTTTCTCTCCTTTTTTGTAACATTGTAGGCCCCTACAAATGCTTCAGCCTATCTGGCAACATCTTCCCTTTCAGTCAGTGGTATTTAGATTCTCTTATTGGAGATGGTCAATGGCTGGAATGTTACTTGCAATTTGTCAGTTGTCTTGGTTTTGCTACATAGGGTCATCGACTTCTTCAGTGATTAGGGTTTGATGTGGGAGTTTGCGGTCTTGCCAACCAGTGGGAGTACTGCGTTGGTTTTCTACAGAAGGGCAAATGCTATTGAGGCAATTGTGTGCTTAACTGGAATGTCAATTCTCCCATTTGATTTAACTGTCCTCCAGTATCAGATGTGCCAAAGGAACCCAGGCCACTGTTAGTACTGCACTGGGACCTACCATAATGATTGCCGTGGGATCCCAGATATAGGTGAATGTGGACAAGACAAGGACCATAGCAGGGATGTCAGAAGAATGAGCAATGGAGTGGCCTCATGCTGCGTCTCTTTCCGACAGAGTGCCAATTAAAAATGAATGCCCCCTTCCAGTAGACTGCTGGCAAATCCAATAGAGTTTGTTGGGCAGTCTTCCTTGATGACAATTCCTCTGCCTGCCACTCGGTTGAATTCCAGTGGATGAGGCTCTTAAACTATCCCAATTAGCCTGTGGTCTGAAAAGCTTGTAACGTAGCCTGCTGCGGGGCATTCAATTCCAGGCAGTATTTGAGTTGCAGATTGTACTGAGAACTACACTTATCAGCAAGCATTTCTTCTCTTTCACTGCCCACCACACTCCCTGCCACCAGTCCCCAAACCAACCACCACCACCACCAAGCTCATGTCAAGTTAGTTAAAGCAACTGAGGATGATTGAGCAAACTAACTTGAAGACAGAAGAGGAAATATTTAACTTTTGTCTCATCAAAAAAATTACATATTTGATTGCATTATGCACTGTGACTGATGTTTATATTTTTCCTTTTTAGTTTTGGTCCCTATTACATTTATGATCGATTTCATTCCTTCCATAACCGATATAGAGATTGTTGGTTTATAACTCCTTATGTCAGGTTGATTGGTAAGTAATTTGCATAGTACATGTTTATTCTTGTATTTTGTTATGGATTAATTTTGATCTTATATGCATAAAATTAATGGGATAGTATTAGCATGGGCTCAAGGACAAGAAATTAGCAAATGGTTGATCCTCAGATTGAGAGAATTATAATGTGGTGTTCCCTGGGAGTCCCTTTTCGGAGCACTAGTATTTATGCATTGTGTACTTGACTATACAGAGCATAATTTCAACATTTGCCAATTATATGAAACTCTGGAATGTAATAAACAACAAGAAGCATCTTACTGTTCAGGTTCCTGTTAGTGTCTGATAAAATTTGAGCACCCAGCAATTAAGTGGCAGAGCTAGACCAGAAGATTTTAAGATTTGACAGAAACTTTGAATTATTTTGGACATACAATAAACACTATTACATATCTTATTACTGCATCTACATGCCAGCTTTATCCCATCACAAAGTGTGATTTAAGCTTTGGAATCTTCCCCATTTCCTCTTCCCAACCTCTCTACCCGTCCTAAAAAGGGAATTGAATAAATATTTGTTTAAAAAAATGAAAAGTGCTGGGTATGTAAACTTTTTTTTTAAAAATGATTTTATGGCAGAAGTTGTTGGCGAGCCCAGCATTTGAACATCCTAATTCTTGAATTGAGTGGCTTGCTTGGCTGTTTCAAGGCAGTTAAGAGTCAACCACAATGCCTTGGATCTGGACTTGCATGCAAGCCAGATTGGGTAAGTATGGCAGATTTCCTTCCCTGGAAGAGATTGGTGAACCAGATGGAGTCTTGCAACAATTGATAATAGTTGCCATGATCACTAGCACTGATAACTACCTTTCAATTCCAGATTTATTGATTTGAATTTAAATGCCCCATCAGCTGTTATGATGGGACTTTAACCAGTGTCCCCCCACCACTACATGTCACCATCCCTTCTCTCTCCACTCGACTTAAAGCCAACATCTGACAAAGAGTCACTGGGCTTGAAACTGTTTTCTCCCTAAAGATATAGCCACACCTGCTGTGTTTCTCCAGCACTCTGTTTTTGTTTCAACTTTTCAGAATCCACAGTTCTTTGTTTATTTATGGGTTAAATGACCTTCATCTGTGCTGTAAAACTATGATTATATTTGTTGGCAATTGTACTTAATCTTAAGAGTACGTAATTTGTGACCTTGATAGAGTTCCAGAGCATGTTCTTTACAAGGAACTAGAACTAGAGAAACCCATGATGTTTTAGATAGTCATAGAGATCTACAGCATGAGAAAGACCATTCAACCCATTGTGTCCACGCCAGTTGAAAACAACTACCTAACAATTCTAATCCCATTTACCAGCTCTTGGTTTATAGCCTTGTATGCCTTGGCAGCACATTCACAATGTGTTTGTGTGGAACGTCCCAATGGGAATTGCTGATTGTACCCCACAAAAGCGTGAAACTCTGAATCACTTAACCTTAATGTGTTGAAGAGAGATGAAATTGCTGATTAATGTCACTGTCTGTCTGTTGAAGGACTGTGCTTAAATAGCGTAATATTGAAGTAACAAATTGGTGGTTCTCAAACTGGTGAGTTACCACTGTTACAGAATTATGATCATATTGCTTCAATTTTGTTTTTACTCTGCAGAATATCATGATTTCGTGGACTGTGCCAGACCTCTTCCCTTTATTTGTCAGAAATTAAATATATCATCATTAGAACCGTGGTCTCCAGAAACCAATGTGTCAGGTACCCCATGTACTGGTGATTGGATCCCTTTTGGAGATAATGTAAGAGAAAAGAAGCCTGCTTCTATTTGTCACTTACAAGCATATTAACTTCATAAAATTGAAAATATTTGTAAGAAGTTGGGATGAGATCTTTAGATGGAATTCTTGTTAGTTGGAAAAGGTAATGAAAGATGACAATCTCACTTAATGAGTCTTGAGATCCAGAGCTAATTAAGGATGAGGATAATTATTATGTTTAGTGGTATTAATCCATCCAGAATAACCATTCCATTACCTCCATCCCATGTGTTGATCACTCTTTGTGTGAAGAAAGTTTTCAGAATGATGGGATTGAATTTGTTTGCTATCAGTTTGAATCCGTGGTCTCTCTTGTTCCACTTTTGAAATTTTTGAGGTAATTTTCCAGATTTAACTTGTCCATACTGTTTAGTCTTTTATACATGAGCAAAATAACTTCCCTGGCATCTCCTTAAAGAGCGCAGGTTTGTCCAGTCTGTTTTTCTGACAGAGATTTAATGAGGCGAGATCACCCTGTGACTGCATCCTGCACTGCTTCCAATAGTTCAATGAGCATATTAATAGGGCGGGACTCAAGCAGGAACTGGCTGACCTTTGTGAAGATGGCATCAGCCACACCATTGATGGGACAGCACACAAACTTGTATTTGCATGGCACTTTTGACATAAGACATCAGGAGATGTCACACAAGTTAAGAAGCAAAATTTGACAAGAAATTATATAAAGAATTATTAGGGTGAAAAGCTTAATCAAAATGATAAGTTTTAATAAATGTTGTCAATGGAGGAAAGAACGATAGACATAGGCAGCGAGGCTTAGGGAGGGAATTCCAGACCTTGGGGATGTTACCAGCCATGGTTCAGTTAAAATCAAGGATGCACAAGAGGTTAGAATCAGAGAAACAAAGATATCAGAGAGGTTTAGAGATAGTAGGAACTGCAGATGCTGGAGAATCCGAGACAACAAGGTGCAGGGCTGGATGAACACAGCAGGCCAAGCAGCATCATAGGAGCAGAGAGGCTGACGTTTCGGGCCTAGACCCTTCATCAGAAAAGGGGGAGGGGAAGGGGGTTTTGAAATAAATAGGGAGAGATCCCTTGAGGTTTGTCCGGAGGGAGGAGGGTAACTTCTTCAGGTTAGGCATCCTTAGAAGAGGCTTCGCAGTGGGGTTAAAATCGAATCAGAGATAGTAGGAACTGCAGATGCTGGAGAATCCGAGACAACAAGGTGCAGGGCTGGATGAACACAGCAGGCCAAGCAGCATCATAGGAGCAGAGAGGCTGACGTTTCGAGAGGTTTAGTGTGGCTGGAGAATATTTAAGAGAATAAATGGTGTGAGGCAATGGAGAGATTTTAAAACAAGGATATGAATTTTTAAGGTCAAGATAAAACAGAAAGGAACAGATGCTAGAGATTTGAGACAAACAAACAAATTGCTGGAGAAACTCAGTAGGTCTGGCAGCATCTGTGGAGAGAAAACAGAGTTCTGGAGAGAGTTCAAATGAGATTTACTAGAATGATACAAGAAATGAGTGATTTTTTAGATGTAACGAAAAGTTAGAGAAATTGGAGCAGAGAAGATTAAGAGGTGACCTCACTGAAGTGTTCAAATGAAGGATATTCTGTTTCCAAAAGAACTGCGGATGCTGTAAGTCAAGAGCAAAAACAAAGTTGCTGGAAAAGCTCAGCAGGTCTGGCAGCATCTGTGAAGGAGAAAACAAGAGTTAACGTTTCAGGCCCGGTGACCCTTCCTCGGAACTGCAACTCCAGTTCTGAGAAAGGGTCACCAGACCCCAAACGTTAACTCTTGTTTTCTCCTTCACAGATGCTGCCAGACCTGCTGAACTTTTCCAGCAACTTTTTTTTGTTCCTGATATTCTGTTTCCACTAGTTGGTAATGTCAGTAACTAGAGATCACCACATCAAGGTTGTCACCGCTACAGCTAGAAGTGAGATGGGAAGACCCTTCTGTACTCAGTTGTTAGGATTTGGAATGTGCTGCTTAAGAGAATGGTGGAGGCAAATTCCATAGGAAGTCTCAAAAGACAGCTGGATGTATGAAAGTGGTGAATTTAGAGAGCTATGGAGAGAGGGCTGGAGATTTGGGACTAACTGAGTAGCTCTTTCAGGAGCTAGTACAGACACAATGAGTCAAATAGCCTCCTTCTGTACTGTAAAATCCATGATGCTATGTTTTAATTAGATTGATCATGGGCATAACATTTGATGCTACATTTATTAAAAACCAGATTGTAGAACAGGCATCTGTTATTTTTCACAAGTGTAAACATAAATTAATCAGAATATCCACTCCCAAAACACACAATGTAATTGGGGACTAATAGTATGTTAAGTACAAGTAGTAGTAAGTACTTTGATATGAATCATATTTCATCTGTTTCAGTGCTATAACTTTGTAAAACCGAAAGCTTTGACATGGGAGGCTGGAAATCGATTCTGTCAGAGCCTAGGTGGGAACTTGCCAACTATTGCCAATTCTGTGGAACAAGGTATGTTATTGGATCAACACTACAGGCAGCTGTAAAGATCATTTTAATTTTGATTGTGATCTGAAATGGAAAGAAAGACTGTTTGTTTTAAATCTAAAAATTGTAGAAGGAATTGCTTCACCTTTTGAAACTCATTGTGTATGGTGTTTATACTGCTGCTTGTTCAAGCAGTAGGGGAAATGCATGTAGATGGCACAGCACTGGTTGTGTATGTCATGTGGGATTTAGCTGGCAACAAATAGCTGATTGGTTTGTGCAATTGTGACCAGTAATAGATTCCAGAGATTATCAGTCTGATGACTACTCTTTTGTTCCCGGGCAGCTCAGCAGCTTGTGCGATAGGGTTGTGCTTTCACACTCTCTCTGCAGTAAAAAAAAACTTAGCTGAAGTAAGCTGTTGCTTCTAACCAATAACCAAGGGACTTTTTACTTAGTACCCATTACGCTGGGCCTCCCAAAAAGGAGTGAAAGAACCTGGGGAATGAAGGGTGAAGAACAGAGTTCAGGCAAGCCAAAAGGAACATCTCAATGAGTCTTGTGGACTGGTGCTATCAAACTGTGTTTCCCAGCCTTTATCCCACCAGTTTTTTTTTTTTGTTTTTGTTTTTTTTTGTTTGTCTGTGGAGCGCTTTTAAAAAGGGAGTTGGAGTGTTAAGTGTAGAACCATTTGTTGCTAATTCATAGTTGCTTACTTGCGATTAGAATTTACTTATTTGTAATAAATAGAGTTCCTATTAAGTGCAGAAACCTGATCAGTGTTTACTGTTAACTTGACTCTGCAGATGGCTAAATTGGGGATTTTGCATGTTTTTATTAGATCATTAACTTTTATGGTGACCCCAGGAATAGTAGGGTTTGAGAATCAGCACATTTTCCCAAGTGGGTCATGACAACACTTAGGTTTATCCATTTTAGAAGCAGAGATTGCAACTTACATGATTGTTTTGGATGTGTTCATGTTTCTGGGCTCACATCTTTATTGAAGCAGTTTCCCAGGTTATAATGTCAATACTGTTTTAATGCTCAGTTTAAATTTCTATTCAGTTTGTAAAGACTTGGGAATGTGAAGTGTGAGGTATGTGTTGCCGTCTGAAAATGCAGTCAGAAATGGTTTACATGTATTAATACTGAGGAGTACCATATGCACCACCCATTTTGTCATGTGGACTTGTGGGCAAAAACATAAGATTTTGATGGAGTGAAATCTAACAATTGGACAGAGTCTTAGAGATGTATGGCATGGAAACAGACCCTTCCTTCAGTCCAACTCATCCATGCCGAACAGATATTCTATCTTGTGACAATGTTGATCATATCAATGTGACCTGTAACTAATATTTTTAGTTAACCTGCAATAAACTGTATCCAGATAGACCAGGAAGTCCTTTTCCTCTACCACACAAATAGGCCTGTAGTTTATACTTAAAGTGGATGGTGGCAGCAATCTTCATTACGAGCAGCAGTTTGTGCAGCATTGTGTACTTGCCTGTGCTTACAAAATGGAAGGCAACTGTGTGTGGATTTGATTTGAATGCTCCAACAATACATAGTGAGCAATGATGTGAGATCTTCATGCTTGACTTTAAGTAGTCTGTTCATACAACAGTCAGCAGCAAGGAAGAGCTGCAGGTTTAAGAGCCCTTCTTGTGATAATCAACAAGAAAGAATATTTCAGTGAATAGTAAAAGCAGTTCAGAGCTGGTAAGAGACATACTGTAACAGGAGAGATAGCAACTCCAAACACATGCAGATTGCATTGCGAGGCAGTGGTCTGTGGGAGTGGCCCAGAGGTGGAGTTCACCAGCAAGTGAACAAATATTGGAGTGAAGCTAAAATCCCTACAGCACAGCAGAAACCTTTACAAAAGTACAGTAAGCCCGGTTGGAAAAGCAAGAAGTTAAGAAATGATTTATAACTCCAATGGACTATTGTTGCTATAGCAAATGTATGCCGTAAAGCACAGCTAATGAAGTAAAAGAGCCAAGAAGGAAATATTAATCTGAGGTCATTTACCTGGGGAGGGAGGTGGGAATAATTTATTTAACTGTAAGGAACATGAATCTTTCAGTAAAACTGATTAAAGTGGGAATTGTTGATTATCGCTGCAAACAGCAGGATTCTTACAGTGAATTTGCAAAATAGGTGAATCCTTCACTTAAGTCACAAAACACAAAGTTCCTCCAGCACAGCAGCAAAAGCAGCAGAACCGCTGTTCCTGCAAAATACATCTTTCGGACAAGCAGGCATGATATTGCCAGGAAGATTTAATTTCAGGGATGCCAAATAGAACACATGAATGGACGTCTTGGAGAAAACAATTTATGACATTTAGAATAGTAGAAGAGTTTCCAAATTAGATTAGAAGGTGAGCAAACAGGACTTAATAGGAAAATTGAGCATCCAGGGGATTTCATCAATGACCTTTAAACATTAGAAGAGAAGTGTGACCATGGTATTTACAAGAGGTAAAACTATTGAAGGAATTGCTGATGCATTATCAGATTTCTTATAATCTAAGGAAGACCTGACTCTAGAGAGCCATTCAGGTGATGAGTGAGACAGAATTCCAGAAGCAACTACCAAGATAGGAACCTGAAGCTATACTGGATTGACACACATATTTCCACTGCTATCAGCACTAAAGAGCATTCTGACTGTAAAAGTCAATGAAGAAAAAAAATAAGCAGTAAGCAAGCCAATGAACAGCCTACCCCAGTTGTTGAATGTATGACTATTGCAACTTTGTGTGCAACACAACTTGGTAAACAATGACTAACAGATTAAAGTCTGGTGTTAGATGAAGAATTGACTTGGAAGAGGCAGGTTCAAGCAGAATATTTGTCTTCCTTATCTTCCCATGAAGAATCCTCAGTAACTATGACCATGACTGTGGTATTCCAGAAATAATCCTCTAATAACAGAATGGAGGACATGAACATGTTGGTTTCTCTTGTAATGCAATTGCTGAGAGTGAAGAAGAGAATCCAGTTGACAAAGTTGAAGTGAATTATTTACATGCTTCAACGCAAATGGGTTATGATAAATGTAATTATGTGCATAAATAAACACATAATGAGGAGAAGAATAGCATGGGGAGAGATGTATATGGGTCTGAAATGGCGGGTAGAGGTTGGTGCTCATGACACTCCTCTGTATGATGATATGATCTCAACTTGTGGACAGAACAGCTTAGGACCTGACATCTGATCCTTCTCAAAGCCTAAAAACAGAAAAGAGGGAGTCCTACAGAGCACTGGGGAAATTCCAGAACACCGCTTTGGAAAGGTCTGGCTCTTATAAGTGGAGACAGCCAGAAAACTACTTACTGTTCTAGTCAATCATTGAAGCTCTTTCTAAACTAAACGCAGGATAATGTGTGTACATAGACCAGCTTAGCAACGTTATTCTAGGCTTAATGCTGAAATTGTTCGAGTGCCTCCAGTATAACAACACTAAATCTAAAAGTTTGAACCAGAATGAGAAACATCAGTAATTGTTCTTCGCATAGACCACTGTTTGAAAGGCTAAGACCATGAAACACACAAAGCTTTTTAAAAGAAAAACTTGCAGTATTTGAGGTCACTTGAGTTTATCAGCCATTGTTATTGTTCACCAGCGGGTAATAGATTGTCTCATCTTCTTTCGAAGTTGTTTATCTTTTTATGTTGGCCTTGGGCAGCAATACCACCTCTAAAGCGGGTGGGCTGCTGATTGACAGTCCCACGTCTGGGAAACCGGACCAATGCCATACTAAGAGGTGAAAACCTACCCGATTATTATCATCTTGCAAGACAGGTGGGAAAGTTATCATCTCTGCTTCTGTTTTGATTAGAAGTGATTTCTCAAATCTGTTTGCATTTTGTATTCAACAGATTTTATTGTATCCCATTTATCATCACTGCCGCCCAGAATTTGGCTAGGTTTGCAAACCTCAACTACAGCTGGAACAAATAAGTGGGTGACAGAAAGACCAGTTGATTATACAAATTGGCAGCCATCATTTGAGATGGAATTTGGTACACTAGATTTTGATGTAAGTTAAACGTTTGCACTTAGATTGTTATTACATTATGTGGAGTTACACTGTTGTTTAATGCTTTGTGTCTAGCCATTTAGGGCATTTAGATTGTTGGCTAATTCTTGCTAATTTTGCTAATTCTTTGAGAGTGGTTTGACTTTATCTTGAATAATTCTATTCTCTAAGTAACTGGGCTATATAGGTCTCAAACATCATCTCAACCTGCGCTGAATTAACTAATCATTTTCACCTTTAAATCTTTTTAACAAAATCATTGTTTTAAACATACAATCCTAAAAATATTAAAAAGTAGCAACTGAAGTGTGCCCTATGGTGATTCAGTAAGATTGTGGGTTGAATTGTTGCACCGCACTCCATTTTCCTAACACATCTCCATATCCTATGACTTCCCAAGTATCTATCACCCCATGTTGAATACACTTAACAATTGAGCATCCACATCCTCTAGAGTAGAGAAATTCCCAACGCTTTGCAACCCTATTAGTGAAGATATTCTCACCTTGTCCCTTGATGGCTGATCCTTTTTTTCTGAGACAATGATGCTTCATTATAGAGTATCCAGCCTAGGGAGTAACATCCTTTCAACATCGACCCCACTTGGCAAAATAAGAGCTTTATGTCTCAATCAGGTTGCTTCTTGTTATTTCTGAACACTCATGAAATGATCAATGCATTTTCCTGTTATTTTAAGACAGAAAGTAAAACAGGTGGTATGGTGGCTCAATGGTTAATACTGCTGGCTCACAGTGCCAGGGACCTGGGTTCAATTCCAGCCTTGGGTTTGGCTGTATGGAGTTTGCATGTTTTCTTTGTGTCTGGATGCTCTGGTTTCCTCCCATTGACTAAAAATGTGCAGGTTAGGTGGATTGGTCGTACTAAATTGCCCACAATGTCTAGGGATATGAAGGCTAGATGGATTAGCCAGGATAAATGTGGGGTTAAAGGGATAGGGTTGGTTTGAGTGGAATGCTCTTCTGAGGGTCAGGGCAGACTTGATGGGCTGAATGGCCTCTATGATTATCCTTAATCTCTCCTCCTCATAGGACAATTTGCTGATCCCCAGAATCTATCTAATCTTATGCTAAACCTCCTGTAAGGCAAATATAATCCACCTTTTTTCCATAAGGAGACCAAAATTGCACATTGTACTTCAGGAATGTATTTGACTAGACTCCAAAAGAGTTCCTGACCTTTTAAAGTAACCACTTGAAATAAAGCCTTACAGACCATTTGTCTTTCTAATTGATGGGCTACGTGTTATCCACTCTAAATTGCCAAACGCTCTGAATTCCAGTTTTTACATATCAAAGAATAGTGCAGCACAGGAAGAGGCCCTTCAACCACCAAGTATGCACCAACACATGACACCATTCTAAATGTTTAAAACTTCTTGCCTCTATGCAGTCCATTTCCTTCTGTTCCCTGCCTATTCATGTATCTGCCAAGATGCTTCTTAAATGTTTGCTATTGTATTCACCTTCACCACCAACTCTGGCAGTGCATTCCAGGCACTTAGCATCCTCTGTTTTATTTTAAAAAACAATTTGCCCCTCACATCTCCTTTAAACTTACCCCCTTATACCATAAACCTATGTCCCGTAGTATTTGACATTTCTATCCTGGGATAAAGACACCAACTATCCATTTTGTTCATGCCTCGCATAATTTTGTAAACTTCTATCAGGTTACCTTTCAAACTCTGACGTTTAAGTGAAAATAAGCCAAGTTTTATCCAATGTCTCCTCATAGCTAATATGCTCCAAACCAGGCAACATCCTGGTAAACTTTTCTGTACCCTCGCCAAAGTCTTCATATTGTTCTGATAGTGTAGCAGTAGCATAACTAAAGTTCTGTACAGCTCCAACATGACTTGTCGATTTTTATATTCTGTATCCCTACTGATGAAGGCAAGCATGCCATATGCCCTTCCTGACCACGTTATCCACTTGTGTTGCCACTTTCCGGGAACTGTGGACCTGTACACCAAGATCCCTCAGTATGTTAATGCTTCTATAGGGTTCTGCCATTTACTGTATACTTCACTTCTGTATCAGACCTTCCAAAATGCAAGATGTCATATTTGTCGGGATTAAATTCCATCTGTCATTTCTTTACCCAAATCTCCAACTTATCCATATTGTGCTGAACCCTCTGGCAATCATCCTCACTATCCACAGCTCCCCCAATCTTTGTGTCTTCAGTGAACTTATTTATCAGACCACCTAAATTCTCCTCCAAATAGTTTGCATAGATTACAAACAACAAGAGTCCCAGCAATGATCCATCCAGAATACTACTTGTCACACATCTCCGATCAGAAAAACACCCTTCCACCTCTATCTTCGCCTTGTCATACAAGATAGTTCTGTATCTATCTTACCAGCTCAACCCATGTGAGCTACCTTCTGTGTCAGCCTGCCATGCGGAACCTTGTCAAAGGCCTTGCTCAAGTCACGTAGACAACATCCGTCACCCTGCCTTCAATCATCTTCATGACTTCCTCAAAAAACTCAAGTTTGTGAGACACAACCTCCCCCATACTAAGCCATGCTGCCTATCACTAATTAGTCCATATTTTTCCAAATGTGAGTAAATCCTGTCCCTAAGAATCTTCTCCAATAATTTCCCCACGACTGACATAAGGCTCATCAGCCTGTAATTTCCCAGATTATCCCTGTAACCCTCCATACAAAGGAACAAAACTGGATATTGACCAGTCCTCTGAGATCTCTCCTGTGACTAAAGAGGATACAAAGATCTCTGTAAGGACCTCCACAATCTCCTCCCTTGCCTCCCTTAGTGTCCTGAGATAGATCCCATCAGGGGAACTTAACTACCTTAATGTTTTTCAAGACGTCCAACACCACATCCTTCTTAAAATTGACATGCCCTAAAAGATCAACATACCCCTTCTAGACTCACCATCCACCATGTCCTTCTCCTTTGTGAATACCGATGCAAAGTATTCATTAAGGACCTCACCCATTTCCTCTGGCTCCATGCAAAATTCCTCCTTTATCTCAAAGTAGACCTACCCTTTCCCTAGCTACCATCTGCTCCTTATGTACATATAAAGCGCATTGGGATTTTCCTAAATCCTGTTTGCCAAGGACATTTCATGGCCTCTTTTAAAAGAAACTTGTTTAAGTTTCTTCCTGTTTTCACTGTTTGCTTCAAGGACTCGTAAGTTTAGGAAACTGAAGACAATGTTCCTTCTTTCTCTTTTTTGACTGTGCTCACAATTTGTCTTGTCATTCCAATAGGCTACTGAATCTAATCAGCTGGCATTTAAAAGGTTCTCCCATAACAGGCGTGGATTTACCTTCAGACAGCCACCCCCTAATCTACATTTCCCAGTTCCTGCCTTATATTGGCGTTGTTAGCCTTCCTCCAATTTTGTCCTTTCATCTGAGGATTATTCTTATCCACAGATAACTTTAAACTTTTGGAATTATGCCCACTGTTCCAGAAATGCTCCCCCACTGAAACTTCAAATCACCTGGCCAGCCTCATTCCCCAATAGCAGGTCTAATGTAGCCCCTTCCCCTGATTGGACTATTTACATATTTTTTCAATAAACCTTCCTGGACGCATCAAAGAAATTCTCCCCTATCCAAGCACCTGGCACCAAGGGAGTACCAGTCAATATAGGTGAAGTTAAAATTAGCCATCTTAACAACCCTTTTTTTTACGTTTTTCCGTAACCTGACCTCCTATATGTTCCTCTATCTCCTGCTGGCTGCTGGAAGGCCTGTAGTACAATTCCATCAAAGTGAGTGGATATGGCCTCACTCGATGAGCCCTCCTATATATCCTCCCTCAGTCTAGCTGTGATATTCTCCCTTATCAGTAATGCAACTCCCCCATCTCATTTATATCCTTCTCTGTCTCGCCTGAAACATCTAAATCCCAGAACATTAAGCTGCCAGTCTCACCTCCAACTCAACCAAGTCTCTGTAACAACTACAATATAATAGAGCTTGGATTAATACCTATAACTAAGTTTCTCTACATTACCTGTAATACTCCTCGCCTTAATGCAAATATACTTCAGACTGCCAGTGCCAGTTCTGTTGTGTTCAATAACCACTCCCTGTCTTGTCTGCTCTTCCTGTTTGTCTTACTGGCATTGGTCCCAGACTGCTCCTCGTTGATTTCACTTGCTCATCTAATAGTCTGGTCTCCACCCCTCTGCCACACTAGTTTGCTTGTGCCTCCTGAGAGACACTACCAAATCTTCCTGCCAGAATATTGGTGCCCCACCAGTTTAGGCACAACCTAGCCTTCTTGTACAGGTCCCATCTGCCTTGGAAGACAAGGATAATACGAGAAATGGATAGGTGCATTGGCCCCTTTTGTCCAAGAGATTGAATTTTATTTACCTAAAAGTCAGGTCTAACTTGTACCCAAGATGTAGGAAAATGAATGACTTTTCCCCAAAGATTGGGGGCCAACAGTAATAGAAGATGAGCAATATTCAAGTATAGATGGTATACAAGTGTATTATAAGTTCCTTACTCTGTAGTTTATGTTGCTATTAATAAGGCAAAGGAAGGATAGTGGATGCTTCGACAACCACTCTGTCAACCTATCCTGCTATCTTCAATTACTTATACATATGTACACCCAGGTTTCTGCTCCTGCAACCCCTTAGCATTTTCTTTTTTTCATTGCCTCTCCACATCCTTCGTATCGAATCACTTCACACTCTGCTTTATCTGCCATCTTTGCAACTTCAGGCTGAATTCATGGTAACTTACAAGGTTGTATACACTGAACTTAAAATATAAAAGAAAAGCTCAAAATACACAGTTCTTTGCCAGTGGCTAGAAAGAGAAAAGAAAGTTTAATGTTTTAGCTGTGTACCATTCAGCATATTTTATCTCTGATTTCTACCTTTAGTTCTTTACGCTGAATTTGTGATAAGTTTTTTTTTTAAAAAAAGCATTGAGCTGTTGGCAAAAATATCCTGCCGAAGAACTCCAACAAGACAATTATTTCACAATGAAAGATCAAAATAGAAATGTTTCAATGATGACCAATTCTATTCTTTGTGTGGTTTTGATTTTAGATCTTTCAATTAGAAAAACAATGTGCTGTTCTACTAAATGACCCAGGCACACCATTTATTGGAAAATGGGATATGGTAGCTTGTGGTGATAAGAAATTTGTTGCTGTGTGCCAGAAACATCGAGGTAATGTCTGAAATGCATTTTTACCAACTTTTATTTCTAACCTCTCTCATCTAATGAAGTGTTAAATCAATAATGTAGGGTCTTTGTGCATTAATTGAAGAGCATGTTTGTCTTCCAGTGATTCCTCCTAGTTTGAGAGGAGAATTAGGATTGATTTCCTTCCAGATAATCCTAGTTGTCACATTTTACATTATTTTAGAACTCAATCAGATTTTTTTTTGTTTTGTGGGATGTGGGCAGCCTTTATTATCCATCCCTAGTTGCCCTTGAGAAGGTGGTGGTGAGCTGCCTTCTTGAACAGCTGCAGTCCACCTGCTGTGGGTTGACCTACAATGCCATTAGGGATGGAATTCCAGGATTTTTACCCAGTGACAGTGAAGGAACGGCGATATATTTCCAAGTCAGGATGGTGAGTGGCTTGGAGGGGAACTTGAACATAGAACATAGAACATAGAACAGTACAGCACAGTACAGGCCCTTCGGCCCATGATGTTGTGCCGAACTTTTACCCTAATCCTAAGGTCTATCTAACCTCCACCCCTACCTTATACTATCATCCATGTGCCTATCTAATAGCCGCTTAAATGCCCCTAATGAGGCCGACTCCACTACCCTCTCCGACAATGCATTCCACACCCTGACCACTCTCTGAGTAAAGAACCTACCTCTGACGTCTCCCCTATATCTACCTCCATTCACTTTAAAACTATGCCCCCTCGTAATAGCTACCTCCACCCTAGGGAAAAGTCTCTGGCTGTCTACTCTATCTATACCTCTGATCATTTTGTACATCTCTAACAAGTCACTTCTCATCCTTTGCCGTTCTAAAGAGAAAAGCCCTAGCTCTCTCAACCTTTTGTCATAAGACCTTCCCTCCATTCCAGGCAACATCCTGGTAAATCTCGTCTGCACATTTTCCAAGGCTTCCACATCTTTCCTGTAATGAGGTGACCAGAACTGGACACAATACTCGATGTGGCCGAACCAGGCTTTTGTATAGCTGGAGCATAACTTCACGGCTCTTGAACTCAGTCCCTCTATTAATGAAAGCTAACACACCATACGCCTTCTTAACAACTCTATCCACCTGTGTGGCAGCTTTCAGGGAACTGTGGACATGAACATCAAGATCCCTCTGCTCCTCCACGCTGCCAAGAATCTTTCCGTTAACCCTGTATTCTGCTTTCAAGTTTGTCCTTCCAAAATGAATCATCTCACACTTTTCAGGGTTAAACTCCATCTGCCACTTCTCAGCCCAGCTCTGCATCCTATCAATGTCCCTTTGTAACCTAGAACAGCCCTCTGCACTGTCCACAATGTGACCCACCTTCGTATCTCCTGCAAACTTACTAATCCACCCTTCCACCCTTGAAGATGGTGGTGTTCCCACATGTATGCTGCCCTTGTCCTTCTGGATGGAAGTGGTCATGGGTTTGGAAGGTGCTGTCTGAGGATCTTTGAATTACTGCAGTGCATCTTGTAGGTAATACACACTACTGCTATTGAGTGTCGGTGGTGGAGGGAGTGGATGCTTATGGATGCAGTGCCAATCAAGTGGGCTGCTTTGTCTTGAATGGTGTCAAGCTTCTTGAGTGTTGTTGGGGCTGCACTCGTCCAGGCAAGTGGAGATTATTTCATCACAGTCCTGACTTGTGCCTTGTAGATGGTGGACAGGCTTTGGGGAGTCAGGAGGTGAGTTACTCGCGGCAGTATTCCTAACCTCTGACCTGCTCTTGTAGCCACTGAGTGTTTGTGGTGATTCCAGTTGAGTTGCTGGTCAATGGTAACCGCCAGTATGTTGATACTGGGGGATTTAGTGACGGTAACACCATTGAATGTCATGGGGTAGTGGTTAGATTGTCTTTTATTGGTGACGGTCATAGCCTGGCATTTGTGTGGCGCAAATATTACTTGCCAGTTGTCAGCCCAAGCATGATATTGTCCAGATCTTGTTGCATTTGGCCATAGACTGCTCCATTATCTGAGGAGTCGCAGATGATGCTCAACATTGTGCAATCGTTGGCGAACACTTCCACTTCTGACCTTGTGATGGAGGGAAGGTCATTGATGAAGCAGCTTAAGATGGTTGGGCTAAGGACACTACCCTGAGGAACTCCTGCAGAGATGTCTGGAGCTGAGATGACTGACCTCCAACAACAATGACCATCTTCCTGTGTGTTAGGCACGATTCCAACCACTGCTCCCCGATACCCATTGATTCCAGTTTTGCTAGGATTCCTTGATGCCACACTCGGGTGAATGCAGCCTTGATGTTAAGGGCTGACACTCGCACGTCACCTATGGAATTCAGCTCTTCTGTCCATGTTTGAATCAAGGCTGTAATGAGGTCAGGAGCTGAGTGGCCCTGGCGGAACTCAAATTGACATCACTGAGCAGGTTATTTCTGAGCAGGGGCTGCTTGATAGCACGTTGATGATTCCTTCCATCACTTTACTGATGATTAAGAGTAGACTGATGGGGCACTAATTGGCTGGGTTGGATTTGTCCTGCTTTTTGTTTACAGGACATACTTGGGCAATTTTCCACATTGTCGGGTAGATACCAGTGTTGTAACTGTCCTGGAACATCTTGGCTAGGGGAGCGGCAAGTTCTGGAGCACAAGTCCTCAGTACTATTGCCGGAATGTTGTCAGGGCCCATAGCCTTTGCAGTATCCAGTGTCTCCAACTGTTTCTTGGCATCACGTGGAGTGAATCGAATTGGCTGAAGACTGGTATCTGTAATGCTGGGGAGCACTGGAAGAGGCCAAGATGGATCATCCACTCGGCACTTCTGGCTGAAGATTGTTGCGAATGCTTCAGCCTTATCTTTTGCACTGATGAGCTGGGCTCTTCCATCATTGAGGATGGGGATATTTGTGGAGCCTCATCCTCCTCCAGTGAATTGTGAATGGTAGTGGACGATTTAATGATTGGATGTGCCAGGACTGCAGAGCTTAGATCTGATCTGTTGGTTGTGAGATCACTTAGCTCTGTCACTTGCTGCTTATGCTGTTTGGTGTGCAAGTAGTCCTGTTTGGTGGCTTCACAAGGTTGAAACCTCATCTTCAGGTATGCCTGGTGCTGCTCCTGGCATGCCCTCCTGCACTCTCCATTGAGCCAGGGTTAATCCCCTGGCTTGATGGTAATGGTTGAGGGGGGATTTGCCAAGCCATGAGGTTAATACTTTTAATGGTGCACAGTGCCTCATGGATGCCCAGTCTTGAGTTGTTAGATCTGTTTGAAGTCTGTCCCATTTAGCATGGAGATTGCCACACTAGGGCAGCACGGTGGCTCACTGTGGTTAGCACTGCTGCCTCTCAGCGCCAGGGACCTGGGTTCAGTTCCACCCTCAGGTGACTGTCTGTCTGTGTGGAGTTTGCACATTCTCCCCGTGTCTGCGTGAGTTTCCTCCGGGAGTTCCGGTTTCCTCCCACAGTCCAAAGATGTGCAGTAGGTGGATTGGCCATGCTAAATTGCCCATAGTGTTCAGGGATGTGTAGATTAGGTGGATTATAGGGGGATGGGTTTGGGTGGAATGCTCTGAGGGTCGGTGTGGACTTGTTGGGCTGAAGGGCCTGTTTCCACACTGTAGGGATTCTATGATGACAACATGCTGGAGGTTATTTTCAATGTGAAGGTGGGACTTTGTCTCCACAAGGACTGTGCGATGTTCACTCTTACCGATACTGTCATGGACAGATGCATCTGCAGCTGGCAGATTGGTCAGGATGAGGTCAAGTATGTTTTTCCCTCTTTTGGTTCCCTCACCACCTGCTGCAGTCCCAGTCTAGCAGCTACGTTCTTTAGATGTGGTATTGCTCAATCAGTAGTGCTGCTGCTAGCCACTCTTCGTGGTAGATATTGTAATCCCCCACCCAAGAGTACATTTTGTCCCCTTGCCATCCTCGGTACTTCCTCCAAGTGTTGCTCAACATGGAGGAGTACCGATTCAGCAGCTGAGGGAGGACGGTATGTGGTAATCAGCAGGAGGTTTCCTTGCCCATGTTTAATCTGGAGCCATGAGACTTCATGGGGTCTGGAGTCAATGTTGAGGACTCCTAGAGCAACTCCCTCCTGACTGTTTACCACTGTGCCACCCCCTCCCATCCAGGGATGGTGATGGTGGTGTCTGGGACATTGTCTGAGTGCTATGATTCCATGAATATGACTATGTCAGGCCGTTGCTTGACTAGTCTGTGAGACATCTCTCCCAATTTGGCACTAACCCCAGATGTTAGTGGGAAGGACATTACAGGGTCGACAGGACTGTTTCTGCCGTTGTCTTTTCCGGTGCCGAGGTCGATGCCAGGTGATCCATCCGATTTCATTTCTTTGACACTGTATAAATACAAGTTTTTTTTTTGTGTAAATATTGAGTGTTTCTTCTAGCTAAATGCTGAGAACACTGAAGCCTTCGTCATTAGTCCCCACTGCAAATGTCATGTGTCCACCATTGGTATTATGCCCCACCATTTCATTATTCATGCTGAACTAGACTATGTTTATATCCTCGCTGACCTGTTAGACCTTAAGATGAATTGCTTCCCACATCATTTCGGCACAGATGACCTGCTTCTGCCTCAGCTTCAGCCTTTCAGCCATTGAGACCTTCAGCCATGTCATCTGTGTAAATCCATAGGAGATTCTCAATGCTTACTGAGCCAGCCCCCTCTCTGCCATTTTTAAACAAAAAACAAAAGGTGTCAGAGACACTTAACAGGTCTGGCACCATCTGTGGAGACAGAGTTGGCATTTCAAATCAAATGTTACTTCTTTGAAACTTATTCCCATTTTACATTCTCTTAATTTCAGATCATCCAACACTCTGACCATGTTTAAATCTCCATCACACATTTCCTCACAGACACATTGTGCCACTTTGTGTTGTGTGATGAATGTCTAAGGACCAATTGTCTGACTTTCTCCGTAGAGGCTAATTTTCTTGATCAGATTTCAATCTCCATTAAAAGTCAGAAGAACCAACTAAAAAGTCTCTTGTGTGGTTTGAAATCAAGATTCTGAAACTTGTGTAGAAGGATTTATTTTTGTTGAAAGAAGTTTCTGACTAAATTGGAAGTGATTGCTCGTCTTTTGCATTTTAATATTAAACTGTGAAACAGAAATTTGAGGTTGAACTTTTAAACGTAATAAACACATCTTCAATCAATAATTATAGATGAAGAAGAATTTTATTTGGGATAAATAATTGTTGAAATAAATTGCACCACCTTCAGCATTCTGTTCTGAAAGTTTATGTCATAGGCGATACTGCCAACATTGTTAACTTGCACTGTGTGAGTTGTTCTTTAATTTATGCATTAAATATTTAGCTGACCCAGCATTAATAATTTTTCCTTCCTTCCTTTTCTTTAGATATCATCAATGAGGAGGATACCCATCCTTTAAATGACACTTTGAACTTTCTCAACCATACCTATACAATAATTAGAAAGAATCTTACTTGGGAAGAAGCAGTAACTGAGTGCCAGAAAAACAATAATGAGTTGGTTAGCATCACTGAACCCTACCATCAGGCTTTCCTCACAGTTACTACAAATACTCTGGGTTATCCAGTGTGGATCGGACTATACAGTCAAGATGTACGTTCCTGTTGTATAATTTTCACTAATTTTCTGAATAGGAAACATGGTTATAGCCAGACCTGTGTTTTTTTTAAATGGAGCTAAAGAAGGGTACAGTGAATATTGTTACCATCCTCTTAACATTTAAAAAGAAATTTGAATACCCAGTAATCAACTGAAAGAATTTGTGGCACAAGGTTCTGCAAGTGAAAATAAATGTATTTTGCTATACAAGGAAAAAGCAGAACAAACACCAGTAAACAAACAAAATAAACATAAAATAATGCAGATGCTGGAAATCTGAAACAAGCACAGAGAATGCTGGAGGGAGCATCTGTGAAGAAAGTTAATGTTTTGAGTCCAGTATGATTCTTCCTCAGCATTGAAAGATGTTAGGAATTTTGTTTTATACTTGTGCTGGAAATCAGAAACAAAACCAGAAATTGCTGGAAAAATTCGGCAGGTCTGGGAGCATCTGTGGAGAGAAAGTAAAGTTAACGTTTCTGGTCCAGTGTGTCTAAACAAGGGTCATTGAACCCAAAACTCTGCTTTCTCTCCACAACTGCTGTCAGACATATTGAGTTTTTGCAGCAATTTCTGATCTGGTTGATACCTTAGACTAACCTCCCATTTTTCCTTTTGACTTTGCCTTAGAATGTCTTTGGCTATTTTTCAGGCTCCTTTCCTTCATCAGAGTAAATCAAAGCACCACACCTCTTGGGAATTGGTTTCAATTTCCCAGTATTCCTGCTATCCTCTGAAGTATTAGCTTTCTTGGGGTCCTTCCTCCTGCCAAGTGACTCTTCTTCACTCCTTAAAAAATTGTTACACTCCTGCTCAATTGTGGGGTATCACTGCTTCATTTTAGCTTAGTGTCTCTACTTCAGAAAAACTTCAGATTTCTGATAGTCCTTTTGCTTCTGGTGTACAGTGCTTAACCTGTTCCTGAGCTAAACTGTTTGTTTTTGTGTAAGTAAAACATGCAGGAAATATACCAAAATAACCCCCCTAACACACTCTCTATCTCCATGTCAACTTGGGATGTTTCAAACAAGTCTAAATTAAATTTGGTATTTTTTTAAACCAAAGCAACCCTTTGAATTTGGTTTCTTGCAGCCCCTTTAGCCCTTGTAGCACACATGACTAATTTGGATATCTAATGAATATAATTGCCTTCTCTTCCAACTTGCTGTTCTACAAAGTAACCTATTTTATTTGCAAAGATATCATTTGCTTCAAAGTCTAGCCTTTCTAACCCTGCAGCCTCCATGAATAATTGACTTCTCCAACAAAGACAGGAAAAGGCAGCTTAAGCATCCTGCATGTTTTTTCTCCCTAAATGAGTCCATCAGCCATTCTTTCTCTCTCTCTCTTCTCTTGAATGTTATAAAATAAGTACAGTCATCCTTTCAACTGTTTTCATTTGAGGTTTTCTGGGAGTTTCTAAATTTTCCTAAAACTTAAAGTTACTTGTAAAATATTGTTATATATCTGAAAACTAGAATAGGACAATACACAATTACAGTATACTTCTTGTATTGACAAAACCCATGCCACTCAAAACAAAGAGAAAAGCAAACTTAACGCAAAAATAAATTTGTATATGTAGCTGTGATGTCAGCACTTATCTTTCAAGTCTAAATTTCCCAAAGCAACACTTTTTTTGCTTTCTTTTAAAATTTCTGTCATTATTGTAATATAGTGTAATTTCTTGCAAACTGTAGTTAGTTGTTTCTACATTTGTATACAATTGACATCAGGCTTGCTTGTAACTTTACAAACTATCTTTTTCCACTATGCTCCCGTATATATTTTCCAGTACCACTGAAGGTGTGTTTACAAATAGTGTTACACTATCAGCTTGGGATGATGGATGTTTACAATCAGCTTAATGATATCCCTTAAACACTTCAAGGATATTAATAGGTTTATGTAAAAATGCAAGCAGTATTTGTTGTGAACAGCAGTGCACAAAATGTTGGGAACTCATTCATGCTTCCACATAGAGCGTTTGTTTTTTTTTTAAAGCTGTTTTGTTTAACACCAAGATATTCACCTAAAACCTTCATCATTTACTTTGATTCATTAGCACAAATTAGGGTATAATCAAAGTGTAGTTAGACACTAGTCAAGTGTATTACATGCTAATTATTAAGAAAGAGCGGTATTATTTGAAGTTAATTGAATCCATTCCACCCTCTCCCTTGCCCCAAATATTGGCTTTTCAAAAAAAAGTCCTAAAACACTAAAAACTATTTTAGAAGAATCTTGCCAATTCTGAAACCTCAGCTGGACTGTTTGGGAAGGTATCCAAAAGGCAAGCAAAACTGTGTTGAAACTGAAGTGCATGTGGACTTCCTAATATCTCTTTGCCTTCTACGTCGCCAGTTGAATATGAACAAACAACGGCTCCTAAAACTAAATCACAGCCCAGTAGAGAGCCACCATCCAAAGGCTAATGTAGAGATTTTTGTTCAAAATATACCAATGATACCAATTTTATAATCCATATTCTCAGAATTCAGATTGCCTATTGAAGATCTTGGATTTGGTTTATTTGTCTCTTATTGTTTAATGAACCTTGAAGTCCAAATATTGACTTTAATTTCAGAATTGAAGAAAGCAGCCAGTAGACTACTACTTGTGAGTGAACTGTGTGTAGACCACACTCTTACTCTCTTTGGTGTTTTATAGATGCAGGTATAAACTGTGGATCTATTCAATCTATTAGTTTGTGATGAGCAATGTAATGTTTGTTTTGCTTTCAATATCAAAGGATGGATTACACTTTCGCTGGTCAGATGGAAGACACACTACATATAGTCACTGGAGCAAAGATGATTCTGTGCCTGTTGACAATTGTGTGTACATGGGCATTGATGGGTACTGGAGAACTTTGAGCTGTGATTCAATTTTAGAAGGAGCCATTTGCCATGATCAACAAAGTAAGTATCTTCCTTAATCGATATTCATCACGTTTATGTCTACGGGAATGCTACACTGCCAAAAGTGTCCTCTTTCAAATGTGAGATGAAAGTTAACACTTAGTTGATATAAATAATTCTGTAGCACTATTCAAAGTAGAGCAGTTGAAGTTCTTATTTATGGTTAGCATTTATCTGCAGTGAATATCTCTGAAACAGGCAATCTTACTTCTTTTGTTTTGCTGTTTTTGAGATCTAACTAAGCAACATTTGTCTCTCACTTTACCTTACCTGCCAGCAGTAACAATAATTCATTTGTGCTTAATGGTTGTAAAGCAAAGCAATTTGGGATATCCTGATGATATATCGTTTAAAAAAAGCCTTTTTTCTCATTTGTTGGACCAGTGATGAGCAACACTCCTAACGTAGAGAATCATCTCAAGATGCACCTCAATGGACAAATGGAACTTTGTCAGCTCTCTTTGTTGACCAAGCATGATTTTTTAAAAAAACATTTTTGAGAATGTAAACAAAAATAATGAAGTGAATGGGTTTACTGAGGAAGTTCTAGGGGAAATTTGAGGTACAAAGGAAACTGATTCAAAAGATCAAAAGGGTCTTGGGCCTGATGGAGGCTATTGATGCGAAAGGATGAGTGAGGCTTAAGAGAGATTTGTAAACCAAGATGTTGCTGATAAATTCAGTCCTTTGAAGGAAAATTATTTGTGGAATAATTGATTATTTTGTTTCTGTTTCTTTTATAATCTATTTGGAATAAAACCACTTTATTATATATTTTAAAATATGCACTTCAATTTGGCAGAAGAAACTGCACCTGAAAAGCCTGATGTTGAAACTATGAAGTGCCCTCATAAGATTGAAGGACCATTATGGATACCATTCAGAAATAATTGTTATGCCTTTCTACTGAATGCTGAAAAGCCGAGGTTTTTTCAAGAGAGCACTGTCCACAGCATGTGCAAGAAATTGGGTAAGAATTATTCTGCATTTCTTGCCGGTTGTAATTCGGTTACTTGCTTTGACAGCACTTCCAGGCAAGAAATTTGCATACACGTTTGAACCAGTAACCTCTTTAGGAGATGTGTTTTAGAATATGAACAGTTACAGAGCTAGAAAATACTGTAACCAGCTGATTCTTAAATAATTTATTATATTTGTAGCATGGATGCATGTTAAAAGCACGTGAAAGATAAAATTTATACAAATATCTTTTGCCAAACAGATCGCCAGTCCAATATTTTGACTATTAGAAGTGAAGAAGAAAACAACTTTGTCACAGATCAGCTAAAAATTCACAGTTATCTCTTTAAATGGGTATGGCTAAGTGTTCGATATAATGGTAAGTAATGCACAATGATTTACTCCTAGCTTATGTGGTTTGAATTCCTTTCTTGATGCCTGGATCTGTGATAGATGGTGTGTTCTTCAAGCTAATATTGTAATAGTGTCGATTTTTCTTCAAATGTGATGGCTGGATTGTTTATTATTTAACCTTTATTTCTTCAAGAAATGCATTGAGTGCTGAATTGATCTAGAAATTATTTCGTCATTTGAAAAGTTGTGATTATAGAATTAATTTGAAATTGTACTAGATGTGTAGGATTATTCAATAATTGTGAATTAAGTGACATTTGTAAATCTAGTTTAACTAAGAGGCTGTCTTAATCATGTCACAACTTATTGTAATGTACTAAGTCTGATAAAATCATCCAAGGATAGAACTTTTAAAATTTAACATTTGCAATTTTTTTGTTGTTGTTGCATTTCAGCCACTCACTGAGGCAGAATATTGGGGTAAAGAACTGTAATTTGTGTATATTAACTGTGTTCCAGGAAAGAAAACAAACCCATTTGCTGTGTGTCAGAAAACTAATGGGACCCTGACTGAGCGCAGTAGGCTTAACACAGTACCATCCATTTTTCTCTGGAATTTCTGTTGACTAATCAATTGAAATTATAGCTATAAATTTTATAAATCTGAGATAGCTGAACTTGTGTTAAGCAAAAGTATTAAGGGATATGAGCCAAAGGCAAATAACATGGAGTTTGGCCAACAATCAGCCATGCTGTCATTGAAGATGGAACAGGCTCAAGAGGCTGAATGGCCTACTCCTGTCCCTATGTTCTTAAAACAAAGACAACTTTAGAGTGTTTGCTCAGTGTTACTCCAGCTGAGTACATTGTTGATAAGCAAGAAATTCAGCAAATCAAGCCTGCTCTGCCATTTGACCAGATTATGGCTGATCTGAATTTGGCCTCAACTGCACATTCCTAATTGCACCCCACGAGTCGGATCTGACTTCTCTGGTATTACCGTCACTTAGGATGAAAGCAGTCTCAGGATAAGACTCATTCATTGAGATGAGAAACTTCCACTCAAGGGGTTGTGAATCTTTAGTAGTCTTTACTCAAGAGGTTGTGGTACTCCATCATTGAGAACATTCAAGGCTAACAGAGGTAGTTTTTTTTTGGTTTCTCAGGGATTCAAGGAATATGAGAGCAAGTAGGAAAGTAGAACTTAGGTGTAACATCAGATATGATTGTATTGAATGAGGGACCAGGCTCAAGATGTGCGACTTATGTTTTTAAAAAAAGTTTATTTTTCATGTTGCATTGAAAAACTGTTTATAAATTTGCAGATTTTTTTGAAGTTCTAGAAACAGTGTTAGTAAGTGTTTTTTTTCTTTCCCTGCTTTAGGTAATCATACGATATGGTATGATGGTTCTTATATAAAGTATTCAAACTGGCGCTCGGGTAGACCCAACTTTTGGGATGCACAAACATTTCCAGCAGTTGGTCTTGATATGGATGGTTTCTGGTACCACTTTAACCATCCTTTGCTACGTGCACAGTTGATATTGCAAAGCATTTTTGTTTGCAAAATTGATAAAGGTAAGGACCAAATCTAACTCTTCTGACCACAACTAAACCAGTGATTTAAAATTATTTCTAATACATTGTATTTGATGCCAAAAAGCATTTAAAATCATTCTATTGAATGTGATTTTTATTGAGTGTGAAATCTTCCAGTCAGTGGTGGAGAGGGAGTACCTGCTACTGACTGCGATTTTACAGCCCATTTACACTGGAGCCTCTGAACTTTCCAGTTACGGCTCCAGTTTGAATTCAGTAACTGAGTTGAGAGTCTTGGTGATGAAAGATAATCCTTTAATGTGAATGCCTAAAGACGTGTCTCTTAAAGTCTGCCTGTCTGCTGATTTCTAACCTTCTCATCATGATCACTGTCTGAAACAGGATAGTCCCATCCCTTGATGTTGCTAGTCCCCTCCCCCATTAGCCCCCAGCTCAGCAGCCCACACCAGCCAACACACCCACATCGCTGGTGAAACTGAATTTCTGAACATAAGCCAGGATAGCTTCCAGGGATTCTGTAACGCAAGTCAGGAGAGGGTGTTGAGGGTGAGTGTATCTGGAGAGAGGGTGAACACTGTCAGGAACAATAGGCCTCCTTGGAAATGATCATTTCATCCCACCGTCATAGGGAGTCCTGCAACAATCTGGACAAGGTAAAACCAGCAGTCAGGAATTTAAACATACTGGGTAAGTGCAGCATGTTGGCATTCATGAGAATTTCTATAGAGTCCTGAGGCACGTCGAGTCCTGAGGCACGTCATCAACTTGTTTGGCCTGAATCTTTGATAGAAGGAGTGGCAATATGTTTCTTTATATTTAACAAATGAAAACATTTTCATATCAATTGTTCAAAGTGCACTATTTGATAAGGGCAGGAATGTTATGCAGTTTATGCAGGAGCTTTAAAGATGGAGATATTGAAATTCACATGTTTTAGTCAAGCATGAAGCCGCTGACACCTCAGAAAGCAGAGGTCAAAATTTGAGATTTAGATGTGTTGGTTTTATGTTCAGTTTTAAATTAGTCAATAAATCCTGCTGTAAAGGAGCATAAGATTCCCTGACCCTATCTGAGCAACCATGGTGATATACGACAGGATGACATCACAGACCAAAACTTGACATTTTTTATAGAATAGAATCCCTACAGTGTGGAAACAGGCCCTTTGGCCCCAGAGCATCCCACCCAGACCCACACCCTATAACCCACCTAATCCAGACATCCCTGAACACTATGGGCAATTTAGCAAGGCCAATTCACCTAGTCTGCACATCTTTGGAATGTGGGAGGAAACCAGAGCAATTGGAGGAAACCCACGCACAGACGGGGAGAATGTGCAAACTCCACACAGACAGTCACCCGAGGGTGGAATCGAACCCGGGCCCCTGGCTCTGTGAGACAGCAGTGCTAACCACTGAGCCACCGTGCCACCCCTGAGACACACAGATTGAACACCCACACTGTTGGGACTATTCTGTCATTCAATAAGGAAATCCACCTTGGCTCTATCATTTTATAATGTTCATCAAGAATGCATCAATCTCCAATTCAAACATATTAATTGAGCTAACATTGCCTTTTGGAGGAGAGAATTGCACACTTGTACCATCCCTTGTCTTCAGAAGTGTTTCCAAACTAGTCTACTGAATAGAGACAAAAATACTGCAGATGCTGAAATCCAAGGTAGACAAACAGGAGGCTGGAAGAACACAACAAGCCAGACAACATGTGGAGGAAAGGAGCAGCCAACGTTTCGCGTATTACTCTTCTTCAGGACTGTCTACTCTCCTGAATACACTGACTCTGATTTGAAGACATCCCTTACCAACGGAAAACACTGTTTGTAGCTACCCATGATGTCTTTTGTAATTGTGAAAATCTCATTCAAATCAGCCCTCATTCTGCTTTTTCATATTAGGCAGTACAGCCAGGATTTTCAAAAGGAGCAGGGTCAGGATTTGTGCACACACACATTAAATATCCATTCCGTAGATCAGCTCCACATCCTGAAGTCTCTGGAATGGTTCAAATTTTCAAAGGGTTGAAAGGGAGCAAGGAAAGGGACTGACAGCAATAAATGGGCCAATGTAGAGCAGAATTGAATTTTTAAGGGCTTTTTGGATAATTCTGATCAATCTCTTCCACATCAGTGTACAGCTGTCCAGCTCACCATGGGACCCAAATAACTTTATGAACAAGCTGACGTTTTGGGTTGGGACCCTTCTTCAGAAGGTCCTGACCCGAAACATCAGCTTTCCTGCTCCTCTGATGCTGCCTGGCCTGCTGTGTTCCTTCAGCTCCACACTGTGTTATCTCAGACTCCAACATCTGCAGTTCTTTCTATCTCTAACTTTATGAACAGTAGTTTTTGAAATAGATCTTTTAGGACCAACAGCGCAGAACTTACCTTGCTTTGTAAGGACATTGTCCATAAAAATGATCTGAACTTCCAGTAGCCTGCCACTTCAATACATGACTGTGTTCCCATGCCAAAATTTCTGTCTTGGGCCTGCTGTACTTCTCCAATGAGTGTCAATGCAAATTGGATGGACAATACCTTATCTTTCGCTTGGGTACATTTTAGCCTTCAGAACTCAACATTGAATTTAACAACTTTACAGCATGAAATCCTCCTTCCATGTCTATTACCTATTCCAAACCCAGGTCCTGTCATGGAATGGGTTGCTTTCAGTGCAGCCAACCCTTTTCAAGTACTCATACCCATTATCACCTATCTAGCTTCTTCTCTTGCTTGGATTACTATCAACGATATTTGTCTGCCTACCCCTTTTCTTTTTTCTCTCTCTGGGATCTGTCTCCATCTAACTGCTCATTCCTTTGCCCCTTTCAGCCCCTGCCATCAACATAAATACCATCTTTTCCTAGCCACTATCCATTCTGAACAAGAGTCATTGAGTTGAAACATTAACTCTGTTTTTGCTTCACAGATGCTGCCAGACTAGCTGAATTTCTCCAGCACTTTGTTTTTGTTTTGTTTGTTTCAGATCTTCAGCATCCGAAGTTCTTTATTTTGATTTTGTAAGGCTGCTGTTTGCATCCTCCCAATTCAAAGGAGCTGCCAGTCCAAACTGACCAGACAACTGTAGCTGCTGTCTGTCTTTGCTCCTTTTGCCTAGAGGCACTGAGCTCACCCCTGGCCAATTAGCCTGGGCAGTGATAAGGAGCTAGAATTCATCCAACTGTTGGATTCTTTACACTGCATCAAAAATTCAACCCAATGAGTATGCTCTGGGAAATTGCTATTTGTTCATGGAATATGGGTGCTGTGGCCAGGCCTGCATTTATTTCCATTGACAAGGTGATGGTGATCTGCCTTCTTGAACCATGCAATCCTTAGGGGATGCAAGGTTGCTAAGAAGGGTGGTTCAGGATTTTCACCCAGCAACAATAAAGGAACAGTGATATTGTTCCCTTGTCAGCATGATGTGAAACTTGGAGTGAAACTTGCAGGTGTTTCCATGCTGCCCTTGTCCTTTATAGGTGAAAGAGGTCACAGGTTGAAAGGTGTAGATCTGGATGAACACAGCAGGCCAAGCAGCTTGGCCTGCTGTGTTCATCCAGCTCTACACCTTGTTATCTCAGATTCTTCAGCATCTGCACTTCCTACTATCTCTGAAACAAAGGTGCTGTTGAAGGAGCCTGGATGAGTTACTGCAATGCATCTTGTAGACGGTACACACTGCTGCCACTGTTCGTCACAAATAAATGGTATAACTGTGTAAGGTTGCAGATGGGATGCCAACTAAGCAACTGCTTTCTCCTGGATGGTGTCAAGTTTCTTCTGTTGAAGCTGCATCCATCCAGGCAAGTACAATATTCCATCACACTCCTGATATATGCCTTCTAGATGGTGGACAAGCACTTGGGAGACAGGAGTGAGTTAATTGCCTCAGAATTCTTAGCCTTTGACCTGCTCTTGTAGCCATCATTTATATGGCTGGTCCAGTTCAGTTCCGAGTCAGTGATAACTCCCAGGATGTTAATAGTGGGATTTCAGTGATGGTAATGCCATTAAATATCAAGAGGCAGTGGTTAGATTCTCTTTCGTTGCAGATGGTCATTACCTGGCACTTGTTACTTGCCACTTTCACTGCAAGATTGGATGTAGTCCAAGTCTTATTTTATATGGACATGAACTGTATTACTATCTGAGGGGACACAAATGGTGCTAAACATTATGCAATCATCAGCAAACATTGCCACTTAGAGTCATAGAGTCATTGAGGTGTACAGCACAGAAACAGACCCTTCAGTCCAACTCGTCCATGCTGACCAGATATCCTATGTAAACCTAGTCCTATTTGCCAGCATTTGGCCCATATCCCTCTTAAACCCTTCCTATTCATATACTCATCCAGATGCTTGTTAAATGTTGTAATTGTGCCAGCCTCCACCACTTCCTGTGGCAGCTCATTCCATACACGCACCACCATCTGCATGAAAAATTTGCCCCTTCGGTCCCTTTTAAATCTTTCCCCTTTCACCTTAAACCTATGCCCTCTGGTTTTGGACTCCCCTACCCTGTGGAAAAGACCTTGGCTATTTATCCTATCCATGCCCCTCATGACTTTATAAACCTCAGCCTGCGATGCTCCAGGGAAAATAGGCCCAGCCTACTCAGCGTGTCCCTATGGCTCAAACCCCCCAATCCTGGCAACATCCTTGTTAATCTTTTCTGAAGCCTTTCAAGTTTCACAACATCCTTCCTGTAGTAGGGAGACCAGAATTGCATACAGTATTCCAAAAGTGGCCTAACTAATATCCTGTGCAGCCACAACATGACCCTCCCAACTCATATACTCAAAGCACGACCAATAAAGGCAAGCCATACCAAACGCCTTCTTTACTCTACCTGGGATTCCACTTCTAAGGAGCTGTGAACCAGCACCCCAACGTCTCTTTTTGTTCAGCAACACTTCCCAGGACCTTACCATTAAGCACTTCTGACCTTCTGATGGAGGGAAGGTCATAGATGAAGCAGCTGTAGATGGTTGGGCTTGAGACGCTACACTGAGGACCTGTGGGGCTTCTGTGATGCAGCGGTAGTGTTCCTATCTCGTAGCAAGGAGACCCATGTTCAAATTCCGCTTGCTCCAGAGGTGTGTAAGAATATCCCTGAACAAGGTGATTAAAAGAAATATGCTGAGGACCTCTTGCAGTAATATCCTGGGACTGAGATGATTTCTAAAAACTTCCAAAAACAGACTGAGGAGGATTTTTTTTGAGGGTTGAGTGGTTGTAACTCCTTGCCACGGAGAGCTGTGGAGGCAGAATCCTTGTCTATGTTTAATCTTTGATAATTAGATTGATAGACAGATAATCAGTAAGAAAATCGAGGGTAACCGGGAAAATGCGGAAAAGTGGATGTCAGGAATGCCAGATCAGGCATGATCTTATTGAATCGCAGTGCAGGCTTCAGGGGACAAACAGCTTATTCTTGTTCCTATTTTATATGATTTTACCATAATCATTTTCCTTTGTGCTGCATATTGCTCCTGTCAGTGGAGAGTTTTCCACTTATTCTCATTGACTCCAGTTTGCTAGGGTCCCTTGATGCTATATGTATTTGAATGCTGCCTTGATGTCAAGGGCAATCACTCTCCCTTCATCTCTGATTGTTGCTAGGTTTCCAACATTTTGATGAATCTGTGCTGAATTCCTCTCAATGCCAAAATCTTGGGTACAGTGCCTAGAAGCGTACATAGTACTCTTGGTATGGTTGAAGCAAGGCTTTGTAGAAATGTTTCAAGACTAGACCTGCTACACACACACTTTATATTCTAGACCTCTAGTTATAATTGCTAATGTGCCATTAATGTGTGATTTTCATCATGTACTTGACTCTTCATTAGTGATTTGTCAATTATTGCCTCTTGAATCTGTTTGGACCTCCACTGTTCCTAGTTTTTCACAATTTAAATTATACTTAAGTATGTCTCTTTGGTCCAAAATTGATAGCTTCAAGCACACTTATCTGCTTTGAAACCCAACAACTGGAGATTCACCCGCTCACTTCTTCCAACAATGCCTCTTAACTTTACTCTCCTGTCTACACCTCCTGAGTACTACTATCACATAGCAGGTCAGAGAGGCTGATGTTGTCTTACGTTGAGCAATTGTTATTAGAACAATACCCTCAGGCATTGTGTCACTGCTTTGCTGCTTTTGTGCCTAGTTTTGCATATTGTCCAATTTCTGAGTCTATCCATGCTGATGACTCGTTCTCTCTGGGAGGCACTGAATCTTTGATATTGAGTCTGGAGTTATATGTTGATTGCTTTGCTACATCTTCTTCCTCAAGTTTGCTATCTTTTCTTTTTTGGTGAATTTCTCTACATGAAAAGTGTTCTTGGAACTTCAACATGAAAGCATTAGCCTCCAAGGTGAAGATTAGAAAATATATTTTTTGTAAAATAAAATCTAAATATTATATGCTTCTAACTTCCTCTGAGCCATCTCCTGCTCTCCCACTTGGCATGGGCTGAAGACGTTGGCACTGATCTGCAGAAACAGATTTTATGAAATTATACTGCTTAAGCCCTGTATTATGTTATCTCCCATCTGATACAAATATAACAGAATGGTTTCTGACAGTACTTGGACTTTTGTTGTTTTATCATTTGAGGTATGAATGCCACTAGTACTAGTCTGCACATTGATTTGGTTCCAGGGTCATATAGACAGTGATTTTTCATGTTGCTGCAGAGAAGGATATTGAACTGTTCCATCAGCCTTGAGCATCTGCTGCACATTTTCAGAGGTTTTGTAGGAACTGCATATGTGCTTTGTGTTCTGCCGGTAGAATCTTCATGGCAGGTTCCCTGAGAGTGTTCTTTTGGCTGCAGGGTATTTGATGATATTTCCTTAACTTCTACTTTAACTGAAGCAATATTGGAGTCCTCCTCTCAAATTTGGTTTGTGCAGAAGTAATGTTAAACATTTTAACTAAAAATCCTTTGCTTCTGATCCTACTTTGCACAGACTTCTGCGTAACATTACTGTAACATTTTTATTGCATTGCCATTTCTCTTATCGAAATCAAGGCCAGAACTGTCAACATTTTTCAAATCTTGAAAGTGTCTTTTTCTCAATTGTAAGCCAAAGTAATAAATGTGCTGAGAAGTAGCAAGCTGTGTTTGTCCCTTGGTCCAAAAGGGTTAGCTTATTTTGATTAATGTAACATTCCTTTTATTTACCCTCTTTTGCTTAATGGTATTGATTTTTCTTTGTGTTGTTCTGAACAGATCCAGCCGAGCAATGTATACTCCATAAACTAGGCAGCAGTCTTCCTTGCAACTTTAACAATACTGACTTCTGATTGCAATGGGGTAGATGGAGGGTCTTAAAAAAGTGATCAATTTTGGAACAACTTGGGGCAACTGTATGAGCAACTAGTGTAAGCTCCAAGAGTGTGTGGTCACCTAAGACTTATCTAAACTAAGTCATGTTCAAATGCTTTAACTTAGTCTTCACTGTGGAACTGAGTAGATTACAGTATGCTCAACTTTACCATGTCCTTGGGCAGTTGTTGTAGAACCTAATAATATTACGGTAAAATAAACATATTCAGTAATCTAACCTGACTTTTTGCCTTCATATTTTTCTACACTGCCTTGCTGGCTGAACACCGTGACAAGCATTCTAACATCTTTCGATCTCTAAAAGTATGCCTTCACCAATACTGTCCAAACATGCAAAGTGTTTTTCTTCTAGAACATAATGTGTTATGAGTGTTGAATAAAAATGCAATTTACTTTTAATATTTTTCACATGTTTAGATCCTGACCCAAGTCACTTTGAGGCTCCACATGCAAAGGCAGAATATGGAAACCATACATACCAGTTAATTCAGAAGAAGGTGAATTGGTATGAGGCACTGCAACAATGTCAAATGTCTGGATATCAACTTGTCAGTGTCTATAATGAATCTCAGCACTTGTTTCTGAAAAGCTTGGTGAAGTCAGATGGTTTTCCTCTTTGGATTGGCTTGTTCAGTCAAGATGTAAGTCTTCTAAAAAGACACCTTATATATCATAACTATATCACATTAATACAGTATTCACAAATGACAACAGTTGCTGCTTAAAATTCAATACAGCTGTACGGGTTGTTTTAGTGTCTTATTTTAAAACTTTTGTTTATATTATTTACTTGAATGATAACCCAGCAATTAGCCACATCTGAACTTTGAACTGGAAAGTAAAAAGGCTATGCAAAAAGTCTAGGGCGAATCAGAATCTATTGTTTTTCTATGTCAAAAGTCTGTAAACTGTGATCTGTTGCTTTAGAGTAACACTTGGAGAAATCTGGGCAAATTTTAACTTTGTGTAATAGTGCAAAATTTGTAATAGCAGTTCAGAGATTCTGCAGCATCATGAACAGGAAGCATTGTTTTTCAAACTAAAATACTGAAGTCTGAAATTTGGTGCAAATGGGATCTCTCAGGTAAATACTTCTCAAGTTGTAATTCATAATAAAACTTAGAATTTGACTTTAAAACTTTAAAATTGCAAAAGGAACTGTTAACATGCATAGTTAACAGAAATTGCCTGGCAAGCAATTAAAATTAATTGTGTGAATAAGTGTTAATTACAGTAAGGAAGCCGATTTAGCAGTTGTAACTTGGGTGAGAGTCATAAAATAAGTGGCCGATGTTTGCTACTGCATTGTGTGATCAGGGAACAGTGTTTTGTAGCCATTGTGTTAACATTGGGAATTTGGTGAGAAAGGAAAAGAGTTGTTGCATTTCTATTGTTTAGTTTTAACCTCCAGTAAATGGTAAGTGTTCCTGTTTCACCTCCAAAGTAAGAGACTAAAACTTGCTATTACATTAGTTAATCAGCTAATTTAGTAATCAATGAAATAGTTAAGGAGATACATGTAGCAGCACTAGTGGTATGATATGAATGTGATACAAGGAAGTTTTTGGAAAGTACTATCAATTCCAGACAATCATAGTTGCATAACTATAGTGTTATAAACTGTAGCCTCCTTTTTAAATCCAAAAATCCACCCCAATCCCATGCATTATGTTGTATATCTGAAGAATCTTGGAGGTTCATTCACTTTTCCCGTGTCTAACCCAAAGTACACCATAGCACTTTGGAATTCACTAATTCTCATCAGTTTTCCAGTTTTCTGAGGTATAAAACTCCAGAGATCCATCCATTAGCTTTTGGCTAGGCAAGCAACAAAATCTCTTCAAAAACTCAACTGTGGATTGCTCAGCTCAAACTTAGCTTGGAAAATGCAGTGAAGCCTTCCTGATCATTTGAGCTGAGGGTTACTTCAGCATTTTTACCTCTTGTCCGAGCTAGGCAAACCATCCAGCTTCTTCCTTTGTCATGAATTAAGCATCCAAATCGACTTTTGCCAGAAGTCTGAGGACATCATAGCTACAAGCTAGGCAAATCATCCAACCAAATTGTCTTCACCTGAATGCCATTGCAGTGAACAATATGGTACCGTCTCCACTTCAGATGGGACCTGTCAAAAATTGATTTCCTTTGCTTCTCCCACCTCAGAGCTGGAGTCTACACCAAAACCGCAACTTCCTTCGATATGAAAACCAAACTCAGGAAAGCAAAAGAACCTGCTACCTCAAAGCCTAACTATATGACATGATATAATTTGGAATGTCCTTAAACAAATGAAAATTACTTTATTCTCAACAAAACGGTGATTCTGCAATTCGTGTATAATATATTGCTGATGGATTTACAACCCTTTCTCCAGACCTTGTGGCTACTTTTTAAATCTTAAATAGATCATTTATTATTCAACTGCTTTCACATCAACTTGAGTTAGAATTATTTTTACCATTTTTCAAATGGATACTCCAATTTTTCTACAGTTTGAAAACTTTAATTCCTAAAGCTAAAAGTTATTTTCTGAAACATGAATTTTTATATTCACAACACATTGGTCAGTGCTAAGCAAGATTTAATTGGAGCCTGTAATTAAATTGTGGGGAAGTTAAATCATCATCTTAAATTGGACAAACCAAATTAACAAAGATAAACTTGAAGATGAGATTACAGATAGGTTGTAGAAAGCAATATGCGCCAGCCCCAAAGCCAATTATGTTGGAATGAAATGAGTGCTGGTTGGGGTGCATTAGATGGATAGACAAAAACAAGTATGGCAATGATTGGTAGAAAATATTTTAAAGAAACAATTCAGTATTCAAAAAAATAAAACTGTCATCTTTTTAAAAAAGCTTCTAGACCAATCCATTCATTAACCTACTCAAGGTAGTTGAGATTAACATTGTATTTACAATGCTAATAATGTTGCAAAGAAGTGTAGTGACTCAGAGAACTGTATGAATTTTAGAAGCCAGCATAGTATGACTAAAGAATTAATTTTAGAAAGAAGACAAAGTTGAGAGTAAACCAGCTACAAATAAAACAGATTGTAACAGCTTTTACAAGTACATAAATACAGGAGTATAGCCAAAATAAATATGGATCACTTAGAGACAGAGACAAGAGAAATTTATCATGGGTAATGAGGAAATAGCAGAAAATTGTGCATATGTTCACGGTAGAAAACACATTACGTATCAGAAATGGAGGGTAACCAAGATGCTAACGAGATGCGGAACTTGAGGTAATGCATAGAAACTTGAGGGTTTAAAAGCTGACAAATCCCTTGGGATCTCATGGCCCAGATCCAAGGGAGCTAAAAGACTGCTGTAGAGATGGTGGATGCGCAAGATATAATTTTCAAAAAACCCTAGATTCTAGTACTGTCCCAACGCATCAGAAGGTGGTTCGTGTTAACACTAATATTCAAGAAAGGAGGGAGAGAGAAACCAGGGAACTATACACCAATTTGTCCAACAGTCATCGAAAACTATTGCAATCTGTTACAAAGGAAATTGTTCCAGAATCTATAGAATTAAGAATTGGCCAGCAATGCATCTATTAACTTTATCACCATCTAGTTCAACACTGCCGAATATGAATTGTTTGGCCACAGGTATTTGTCAATTTTCAGACCCATTCATTTCTCCAATGATACTGTTGACTAATATTGACTTTTGGTTTTATCACTGATGATTGTATGCTGAAGGCTCCTAGTTTAGGGTTGCCATACTGAAAGTTAGTCTGTTTTGAGTAACTGTTGTATTTCCAGTGACCATAAGAACTTGGTTTAAAATTAAGTATGTAAGAGGAGATCTTAACTAGCTCATTGCAATTGTTCAGTTGTTAAATTTTCCTTTTCTTATACTAGGAAGGATCAACTTTTGAGTGGTCAGATGGATGCAATTCGGAATACAAACCTTGGGAATATCAAAATCTTAATGCAGATGGAAGTTGTGTATTTATGGATACTAAAGGATTCTGGAACCGTGCAGATTGTAATAGTGTGGTTGAAGGAGCTATTTGTTATGCCTCCCAGAGTAGAAGTACGTATCAAAGTTGGAGAAAATACTTTAATCTCTCAGAACTGTGAAAGTAAACTGCTTATGTAACCTCCAAATCTTATTTAGAATAATTTAATATAAATACTGTTATTTTATAGATATCAGAAAAGGCCTGGAGTTCCTAAGAAAACTCATTTTCGTTTGCAAGCCAACTAGTAACTTATCATAAGCAATAGATCAATGAACTTAAGTTTATTAAAAATATTTTGCTTCTATAGATTGTTATATTTTGACTACAAAATGGAGGGATGAATATTCAGTTCATTGATCTTGTTAATAACACAGAATCATAGAATTTTACAGTACAGCATGAGGATATTTCAAGCATCATGTCTGTGCCAGCTCCTGAAAGAGCTACCCAGCTAGTCCTATTCTCCAGCCCTATCTCTACAGCCCTCTAAGTTCATCACTTCCAAATATATATCCAGCTCTCTTTCCTACAGAATCCGCCTCACCACTTTCCCAGGCAGCGATTGTTCGGTAGATTCTAACAACTGTGTAAAATCTTTTTTCTCTTCACCTCACTCCTAGCTGTCTTGCTGACAGTCTTTGAAATTGTGACCCCTAGTTACTGATATAGCAACTAGTGGAAGCGAAATATCCTTCTTTACCCTGTCAAAATTATTCATAATTTTGAACACCTCAATAAGGTCACCTCTTAATCTTCTCAGCTCCAAGGGGAATTTCTCTAATCTTTCCTTCTTATAGAATCTCTCATTTCTGGTATCATTCTGGTAAATAGACATGCACTGTTTCCAGGGCTTTAACATCATTCCTTAAATAAGGTGCCTAGAACTGAACACAATAATCAAAATGTGATGTGACCAATAATTGGTAGAGGTGCAGCATAACTTTGTTGCTTTTATGCTCTATGCCTCTGTTTACAAACAAGCCACCTTAACAGCTGTTTCAACTTGCCTGACCGCCTTCAGAGAATCATGCACAGAACCTCAAGGTACCTCTGTTTCTGTATGTCTCAAAGTTGTACCATTTGAGCCTGTATTGTCTCTCTGTGTTTCTTCTACCAAAATGCATTACTTCTCATTTCTCTGCATTGAAATTCACTTGCCTGGTGTCTGCCTATTTGGTCAACTTGTCAGTGTTTGTCTGAAGTCGCTCAGCATCATCCTCACAATTCACTATGCTCCCATCACTGACTCCCTAATTGCACAATGCAATATCTTGGGTCCACTGCATTTCCCATGACAGAATGCTACGTTTCCAGTTAAGAGACTGTATTTTCATATGTAGCGCGTTCTTGCAAGCTGCTGTTGCTAAGTGTCCTGGACTCAGATGTTTGAAATACCAATTATTATGGAAATCTCCATACTAATCTCCTATAGTCTTTATTTTTTATATATAATGTAGCATTTTAAGTCAGGGCAGGAAAAATTTAGAATGACTAATTATTCAAATTGGCATGGGTGAGTGGATTTCCCTTGGATTTCTGACTATTGCACAATAGAGAATGTAATAAAAATGTGATGCTGCCTGACTCAATCTAAAAACAAATGCACAGAGCTTGAGGTTTAATTAGTCTTGTCAAAATGTGCCACCATTTCCATCTGTATTTGGTCTCCAAGCAATAGAGGCTCCTCAGTGTGGAGCTGTTATGTTCTTTCTTTTTTTCAGGCCTGGAAAAAGCTGTACTTGTTCAATTCCATGAAGCAAATACCACCACATGAGGCTGATACTGAACACGATTGGCATGCCACTGATACAAACTTTCTTACAGGGAAACTCTGTCAGACTGTGTAATATATCAATCTCAATGGAGAGAACCAAAAGCATGCATAATCAAGTTTGTTCTAATCAAAAATATCTTCAGATAAAGAATCAATATAACTAATTTTCTTTTTTGCAGAAACATCACCTAGTCAGCAGGAAAAGAGATCAGACTTCTGCCCTCAGAAAAATGGGAAGTCCTCGTGGGTCACATTCAGAGGACACTGCTATGCATTTGACATGGGCTTGTATAACTGGTCTGTATTTACTATGGAAGAAACCAAAACAATCTGTTCTAAACTGGGTATGTTCTTCCTTCTTTGGTTTAATTTACTATGTAGTAATTTGTAATACTAAGAAAATGTCCAGCATTTATGATGTGGCAGTCTTCAAATATTGTGTACCAGGTTAACTGTCAAAGAGGTTGCTTTGTGCTGTTTCCTGTCTGATTTGGAATGCAACTTTATAGTAGTTTATGAGATCTATTCATAAAGAATTTCAACTCGTGCCCACCCACCCGCAACCTCCCTCCTCCAAGTCATTTGTAAAGCCTAAGATTTTAGAATTCTGCATTGTATAATGCTGTTATGTACCTTTTTATAATCAACTCAGTGACACATTTTAATGATTAGGAGTACAGCATCCATCAGGTAATGGCTGTTCTGCACCATAGTTTACTCCTTTTGTGTTCGCAAGACTTGTGGAGAAAAATATTCGATCCATTTTTGTCTTAAACTTTTTTGCAATCTGGCATCTACAGTCTTTTATAGGGGGAAGAATTTTAGATTCAATTAATCTTCTTGTGGAAGATTGCTTTCTGATCTTGCTTTTGCATAAACAAGCTCAAATTTTAAGATTACATACCTTAATTTTATTTCATGTTCTCCCCCTTCCATAACTGAAGTGGCTAGTCATCCTAAAGAATATAACTGCTAGACAGGCTTTGTGTCAGATGGTGAGGGAGCCAACAAGAGGTAAAAACATCCTTGACCTCATCCCCATGAATCTGTGTGCCACAGATGCATCTGTCCATGATAGTGTCAGTGAGAGTGACCACTGCACAGTCCGTGTGGAGAAGTATTCACTTTGAGAATACCCTCCATCATGATGTTATATAGTACTAGCACCATTGTTCCTTGTCAGGAAGTCAGAGGGTCTGTGCACACCTATCAGCATTGGGATGTATTGACCTCTGGCTCAAGAAGTTGCTGCCACATACTCTGTGTGGTCCACAGAGGAGCACAAAAAGTTAGAGTTGCCATGCTCAGCAGGATATACTTCAAACAGAACTAGCAACTCGAGACTGGGCATTCATGAGGCTCTCTGGGCCATCAGCAGCAGGATTGTATTCCAACACAATCTGTAACTTCATGGTTGGCATATCACCCACTGTACCATTATCAGCAGGCCAGGGGATCAACTCTGGTTCAATGGAGAGTGCAGTAGGGCACGCCAGAAACAGCACAAGACATAACCTAAAAATGAGGTTTCAACCTATTGAACACAGGACTACGTATGTGCCAAACAGCAAAAGTAGCAAGTGATAGACAATGCTAAGCAATTCCACAGCCAATGGACCAGAACAAAGAATCACAGAATCCCCTACAGTGTGGAAACTAGCAATTCAGCCTATCAGTTTCATATCAACCCTCTGAAGAGCATTCCACGCAGACCCACATGCTTCCCCCACCCCCCAACACTATCCATGAAGCCCGACATTTCCCACTGCTAATCCACCTATCCTGCACATCCCTACATGCTAAGGGACAACTTATAATGGTCAATCCATCTAACCTGCGCACCTTTGCATTGTGGGAGAAAACCAGAGGAAAGCCACATAGATACTGGGAGAATGTGTAAACTTCACACAGTCGCCCAAGAGTGGAATCGAACCTGGGTCCCTGACTCAGTGAGGTAGCAGTGCTGGTAGCTGTGCAAGTGCTGCCACATCCAGTCATGAATAGTGTTGGATAATGAAATATACGCTAGAGGAGATGCCTCCACAAATGTTCCCATTGTCAATGATGGGGAATGTCCAGCACATGCGTAAAAGACGAGGCTGAAGTATTCGCAACAGTCTTCAGCCAGAAGTGCTCCGTGGATGATTCAGTTTGGTCTATGCCAGAGATCCCCAGCATCACAGATATCAGTCTTCAGCCAATTCAATTTACTTCACGTGATGTCAAGAAATAGTTGGAAGCACTGAATTCTGCAAAGACCATGAACCCTGACAACATTCGGGCAATAGCAATGAAGACATGTGCTCCAGAATCTTTCAGTACAGCTATAACACTGGCATCCACCCAACAATGTGGGAAAATTGTCCAGCTATGTGCTGTGTGTAAAACACAGGACAAGTCCAACATTGCCAAATTATCTCCCTATCAGTCTACTCGTGATCATTATTAAAGTGATGGAAGATGTCATTAACAGTGTTATCAAGCAGCATTTGCTTAGCAATGACTTGCTGACATGCTCAGTTTGGGTTCCACCCAGACCACTGGGCCCTTGACTTAATTACAGCTTTCATTCAAATCTAGATGAAAAAGCTGAATTTGAGAGATGAGGGTGACTGTCATTCAGGTTTAAGGCCACATTTTGGCAAAACTGGAGTCAATTGGAATAGGGGAATCTCACCACTTGTTGAAGTCATTCCTGGCACAAGAGAAGATGGTCGTGGCTGTTGGAGGTCAATCATCTCAGCTCCAGGACATCTCTCTGCAGGAGTTCCTCAGGGTAGTGTCCTGGCCCAACCATCTTCAGCTGCTTCATCAATTACCTTCCCATCTTCATAAGGACAGAATGGGGATGTTTGCCAATGTTTGTACAATGTTCAGCACCATTCGCGACTCCTAAAATACTGAAGCTATCCATGTCGTAATACAGGAAGAACTGGAGAATATCTAGGCTTCAGCTGGTAAGTGGCAAGTAATCTGTGTTTCGCACGAGTGCTAGGCAATGGTCATCTTTAACAAAAGAGCCTGCCATCACCCCTTGACGTTCACTGGTATAACAATTGCTGAATCCTTCCACTGTCAACATCCTGGGGGTTACTGTTGACCAGAAACTGAATTAGCCATATAAATACTTGTGCCCACAGAATAGGTCCGAGGCTAAGAATCCTGCAAAGAGTGACTCTCCTCTTGACTCCCCAAAGTCCATACACTGTCTGTAACACACAAATCAGGAGTGTGATGGAATACTGCTCAGTTACTTGATAAGTGCAGCTCCAAAACACTCAAGACATTCAACACCATCTAGGACAAAGCAGCCTGTTTGATTAGCACCACATCCATATCTAATGTAGCTATGTCATTAAAGGAGTCTAAAATTGTTTACAGTACTCCAGATATGATCTCACTACTGCCCTGTACAGCAGTTGCAAAACATTTCTATTCCATTACTCTTGCAAGAAACAATTTGTCTGGATTGGACTCCAATCTCTGTGGTGCTGTACAATTCGTAGTTTCTTACTTTAGTAAATATTGATATTATAATTTCCCATTTGTTAATAGCAAAATATTAACTTTAAAACCTAGATCCCTCTGCTGATATTCTGAGCATTAAAGACAGGGAAGAAAATGATTTCGTAACCAGTCAAATCCGAGAAGAACAGGGAATCACAGGACGCGTGTGGCTAGGAATTTCTCCAGGTCAAAAAGGTAAGGGAATGTGAGAGTAATCGAAAGACACCTTGCTAAATGTTGGAAATGCTGCATTTTTAAATACATAATTATGCATGTCTATGTAAACAAACAATCATTGATACCCTGCAACTTCATGTTATTTTCCATCTACACTGTTTTCCTATTAGATCTCGAAACACCACCACAATGAAAGACCACTGATCAGTTTGTTTGGAAGTTAATGCAAAAGGAGAGACATCATTGTATAACTAATGTAATAGATATGGTTATGACCGAAATGGGAGGTGTGCACTATCTTTCTCTGGTGCCACTACTGTGGGTCACACAATCTAATTGTTGTGATATGGATTTATCTATTAGTCTTCAAATAAAAATATCCATCAACTAGGTCTTTTTAATAAAACACAATTACAGATTATAACTAATTCTGCACCTTCATGGACAATGTTCATCAATAATAAATGTGTGTTATCAAGGAGCACCAGCAAAGTAGGAGACAATGGGAATTTGAGAAACTGTCCAAAGATTGGAGATATACAGAACATGATGGAAGATGGTTGTGGTTTTTTTCTGGAGGTCAGTTATCTCCATTCCAAGCTATCTCAGCCACAGGTTCTTAGGGTAGGCCCAAACTTCTGCTGATTCATCAATGTTCAGCCATTCATGAGTCTTCAGATACTGAAGCAGTCCATGTCCAAATGCAGCAAAACAATATCCAGGTTTGTGCTGACAAAGGTGCTCTGCAGAAATTCACCAAGACACCTCAGACTTTCCACTCCATGACCGCTGCCATCTAGAAGGACATGGGCAGCAGATAAATGGGAATACCACCCACCACTTCTCCAAACCACTCATCATCCTAACTTGGAAATATCACTTTCTCCACAGTCACAAAGTCAAAATTAATAGTCATATTAGTACTGTGGATATACCTCCATCAAATTGACTACAATAGTTCAAGAAGGAAGCTCACCACCACATTCTCAATAGCAACTAGGGATGGGCATTAAACACTAGCCCAGCCAGCGAACCCCACATTCCCTCAGTTAATAGCAAAATTCCCAACTAGGCTACTTCAGAAATAGAACAGATGAACCTAGCAAGTTATTCTTCAGAAGGCTTGCCTTAACTGAAAACCAAATCAAACTCTAACTGCCTGCAAAATGTTTTTCAAACAAGGTGGCCATAAAATCTAGTAAAGGTGACCTCCAGCAAAAAAGTCTAGCAATTAGCTGAAACAGTGTGGCTTTCAAAGAAAGCCTTGCTTTAAAAAAAATCATTGTGCCTTTTCGTTGACTTTTCAAAAAACAATTTCACTATCCCCGTGGAACTTGAAATAAATCATTCGTTCCACAATCCTTCAAAAGTCAAGTCTTCAGAATATTAAATATGAAGCCTTCATAATAATATTCATTTAGCAAAACAGGAAGCAGGAGTTGGTCGATCTTCCTGTGTTTATTTGTTCTGATTAGTCCATGTGACCCCTGGGGATTTTGATTTATTTTAGAAATCCACAACCAATTCATCACTTCACCCAATCAAAGGGTTTTTTTAATCAACTTGTTTGGAGATGTGTTAGCACGTCTGTGCATAAGGTAGATCTTGAACCTCAGATGCTCTAGCCCATAGGTAGGGTCATTACCAATTTGCGATAAGAGCTTTAAAAATGTTTGTTTTATAGATATTTTCCAACCAACCCCTAATCAGAGATGTTATTACTCTCCTGAATCTGGATATCCTGGCTCAGAGTTAGGGACACTACCACTGTGCCACAATAACCTTTTCTTTTTGGAAATGGATTTTTATTTTTTAATGGCCAAAAGTGCTCTTGCACACCACTGAACACTTCTTTCTCCCCTCACAAAAACACTTGTGATGTTTCTTTTCATCTATTATCCACCACCAGTAAAGCACGAGTATTTTACAATTGATTAATTTAAATGTAAAGCCTGTTAAGGCTGATGCAGGCCACCAAAGGTGAGGGAGGGATTTTAGTGTCTGGAAGTGCTCTTACACACAACTGAATGAATGGTCTTCTTTCCCGTTCACCAAAGTACCCATGGTATGTTTTCACCCATAACCCAGTACCACCAAATCATTTGTGTTTTTAGTTGATTAATTTGTCTGCAGAGCCCATTAAGGGCAGTACAGTAACACCAAAGGTGAGGGGGAGGGAGCCAAATCAAAATGGAGTTGGAAGAGGAGATGAAGCACTTTACCCTCTGCAGTGCCCACCTCTCTTTATAGGCATTGGAGGACACTGCATGCTCTCATTCCGAGGCAGAAACGGGTTCCTGAATCTGTGTTCCAGTTGGCAGTACAGTCCCAATGGGTTAAATAGACTACATCTGCTCCCATGTCTTATGATTTTATGCTCTCATCCACATTTGACAAGCTCATCATTTGTAATTCAGTTTCCTGTTCTTAAACAAATAAATATTTACAGACCATGGAAGGTAATTTTTATATTCCCAAGATTTAAATTACAAGGCATCCTTATAGGAACACCCATATCTTTTCACTCGAGGCATTCCTTTTATTTAAACAATCCAGCAATTTGATTAGTCGTAATTAGCCAGTTGAGTTTGGAGAATTTTTTTTCTGTCCAATATTTGCTTCAGGCTTGCAAGGTGAATTCAAAGTCTTTTTATTTATCCATTTAAAGGAAAGCACATTATCCCAAAGAGGCCAACTGTCTCTACTGCAGATCAATAGGTATTCGGGGCAGGTGGGAGTGACTGACCCGAAACGTCAACTTTCCTGCTCCTCTGATGCTGCCTGGCCTGCTGCGTTCCTCCAGCTCCACACTGCCTTCTCCCTTTTATATCTGTTGACTCATATTTCCATGACACAAATATTCTGTAAATATGTGGAGCACTTTTTTGTGACAAATTGGATTACTGCCATCTAACACCAGAAAAGAAGCTCTGCATGTTATGTCTCTCAGCTGATACAGTAAATTTTACAATAACGGCAGCCCATAACACATAACTAGGCAGTTGCTGCCTGCAATTGGAATTTACTACAATTGAAATTAAGCAGCAGAACTATCTGTACAAATGCAGCTTTAAAGTTAAAGCCCAGTACTAGAGAAACTGTGGAACACAAGACATAACAGAGAAACTTTAGTATTGGTCCATATTGCTAAGCTATAAGAGTAATTTCAAACTGTTGCTTGCACACTTGAGAAAGGCATTATAAATGCAGTTTCTATAATCATTCATACCCTTTTTAAAGGTTTTCTTGATTACCATGATTTGTATATTCGAATCTTAATATGTTTTGTTAAACTATTTCATATTTTTGTCCTGCCACACAGATAAATCCTTACTATGGCCAGATGGTTCAAACCTTACTTATGCTAACTGGATTAATAACAATCTCTCAGTTCCAACTGATGACAAGTGTGCTGTTATATCCTCCAAAAATGGAACATGGATTGTAACCAGCTGTTCAAAGAGTCATAGCAGACTTGTCTGCAAAGCTCCAATGAGTAAGTTTTACATTAACAGCCTTCAATGATTCAATTCTTTATTAAGATGTTAAACTAGATTTTACTGTCTATTAATTTTTTGGGAGGAAGGGGAGTTGCGAATGCCAAGTAGTTTATAAAAGTAGAAAGTGTTAATAAACAGTCAGTCAGTCAGTGTTAGCAAAGATTTATGGAATCTTGTCACAGAATCAAAAAATAAATCATAAGCATGTGAGGAATAAACATGTTTTAATTTGTGACCACAAATGTCATGTGCCATTCTGTAGCTGGGACAGTCAAATTGTGTTTTGTTCCAGATTAGGTTTCATGTTGTGGAGTTAAGCAAAGAGGGAGAATTCCAAATAGCATTTTAATGATAAAATACAGTAGTGTTTTCTAAGTGGCTTCCTGACTACATAAATATTTCGAAGAGGCGGGGATGGAGCCAGGAAAGGTGAGTGTAGGTAGGGA